GACAACTGTACATGAAGAATGGTGACAGGTTCCATGACTTCCTGTCTGAGTTCCTGTACCTCACCACAGAAGCAGGAGTTGCAGAAGACACTTGGAAAGATGAGCTCTATGTGAAGTTGACAACCAAACTCCAAGAGCTGTGTATCATAGCAAGCTACCAGGATGGACCCTTTCAGGATTTCTCCAATGCAGTATCCCAGACTGCAAGCCGACTTGAAGTTATCAACCACCGGAATCAGAGGAATCGATCCTTCAACTTCCCATCAACTAGCAATGATACGACCAAAGGAACCAACCCTCGAAGCGAGGCTCCTTTCCATCAGTGAGCACTGGGGGATCTGGGATCTTGGTTGACTTCCGGGTGACAGGCATGGAGGTCGCTCCTTGATTTCCTGGAATGCCACCTCGCACAACCATCTTCGCTAACTGGTTGGCATAGAGGTGTCGGTCCTCTGTCACTTCTCCCATTCTCCTCACCAGGTCGGTCTTCTCCAGGTGGAGTTCCTTCAAATCATCTTCTAAGGATGCAATCTGAGCATCCCGATCTAGCAGTTCTCCTGCACTCTTTTGGTGCACCTCCAAGAGTTTGGCGTACAATCCTCGGGGATTCATTCCGTACTGCTGAGTGAACTCATCATAGTTCAGCTCTTGGAGGTCATCATCATCCTCTATATAGATGGAGGATCGTCGGTCCGGGGGCGGAATATCGCTGGCTCGGGCCATTCTTTCGGGTTCTTCGTATCGTTCGGTTCGTTTCGATTGACGTGGCAGTCAATTATCAGGTTCGGTATCAGCTACACCTGCAGCTTATCGGTTCGGAGTCGAATTCGGCGTGGCGATCAGCCAGGCCGTCAGGTTATCTGTCACGGGCTCGGAATAGAAGATAATAACGAACTGAATTCCTATCTTGACTATTGTAGCCATCAACGAGAATATCGAATCTGGGGAGGAAAAAGGAGAGGAAATCTCTCTGGCGAGTGCAGTCTCTATATAAGCCTTTGTGCGATGCGGCTTGAGCCCTTGTTTGTCCATATTGCTTGTATGGCATCTTTTGGCATGTTGGCACTGTTTGCCTGGTCGTTGAGCCGTCACATTATCAGGATCGGGTTGATCGGTCGGATCAATCAATCAACGCGTCTCTCAACCTGTTCAACCACCACCACAACAACAACCAATATACTACCCTAAGCAGAAACCAGTGGTCTCTATAGCGAGAGAATTACGTCCACCATGACCAACACTAATCCCCTGACCACAAAATGCAGCATCTGCGACAAGGACGACAGCTTGATGCGCTGCGCTCGTTGCAGGGTCACGTACTACTGCTGCCGTGAACACCAATCCTAGCCACAAATCCGCCTGCGGTGCCGTGGCCAAGAAACGCACCAAATACGAAGATGAATATGAGAAATTTCGCGACCAGCCTGGCGATGACTTCTTCATCCCTTCCAGGCTTTTCGAGACCGCCGTTGGCCACTTCTGGGGCATGCTGGGAACGTGTGACTACATGAGAGCACGGTTCGGTTTCATCGATGCCCTTGGCCGTATTGACACTTGTGATTCTGTTGAAACGCAGCTTGATCACGCGCGGGACATGATCCGCCTGTGTCGCAGTGATAACATGGGTATTCGGGAGTTCGTGCCCTTCCTCATGCTCCGCACAGACAGGGACCAGGAGTGCTACGACTTTGTCAAGTGGTACTTCATCACGGGGAGCAAGCCTGATTACGACTGGGGAAACATGGACCTACGGTTCCTGGACGTCAAGGACGCAAGTGCCTTCGAGGACATTATGAATCTGGGTCTTCGTGGATTCTGCAAACTCTCGCATGTCGTTGCTCTCACTCTACTGAAGGCCAAGATGCTACTCGATCTGAATACGCTGGAGAGCGCCACAGACGTGGTCCCGCGCCTCAACGACATGCCGCGTGAGCTCTTCGATTCCGTCCGCTCGCTCGTCCCGCGCAGCCCCATTCTCTCTCGCGTATCAGCTTTATTGCATTGTGCACACGATCAACCCGCACTTCTGGGGCATCTTGTTCGATCCGCAATCGCATCTCGCACAACGGCCAGCCACCTACTCATGTGGGAGCCTCGATGAAGCGCAGTTGGTCTTGGGTTTTTTGTACCGTGCTTGGGTGGAGACACGCGGAGCCTTGGAGTTGATCAAGGAGAAGGTTGATTCTGGAGAGTGGGTGCTACTCCTGGTACTACTCGGACCAGTAAGGTGCCGTTTGTCCACAATATCAAGTCACCCTTTTCCGTCTAATTTTCTTTTGCGCTGGGGAGGGGAGTCTGGAACTGCATTTCGGGGTGGAACAGTTATCATGGTAATTCGGGGATATAATTGTGTATGTAAGGAGTATTAATATGTTAACTACGGAATAATCAAGCAATCGAATCCTAAAGCAAGTTTATCAAAGCCTCTACTTCTTTTCATTTCCACATCGTCGGGGGGCTTCCTTTTCCCGTGGAGTAGGCATTCCCTCCCATCTAACAGGAAACCGTCAAAGTAATCAAGAGAAAGGTCGTCTATTTTCAGATGCACTGCTTGTCAGTCTATACAAAAATGCACAAAAAAATAGAAGAAATCAATAAAAAGATGAATGAAATGAAATGCTTAGTTAGCCTCCGTTTTGTTCACCTCCTCCCGCAACGACCCAATATCAGCCCCCTTGTGCAGCCCCTCCAGAACCACCCGGATCTCATACAAGAACTTGGTAACTTCCTTCTCAGTACCAACAGTAACCCGCACAGCTCCCTCACAGCCTAACTCCTTACCCCGGAACCGCACCACGACACCTCTCTTCTCCGCCATAGCCTCGTACGCAGCCAGTGCAATCTTGTTACTAGCCTGTCCATCTGGCTTGTCCAACAGCTCGACGAGCAGAAAGTTCGCATCGTATCCACCAAGGAAGCGACCAACACCTGGGATCTTGGGGAGTTCTGCGAGCAGGCGATCGCGCTGCGTGACGATCTGTTCGCGGTAGTTGCGCATGACGGACATGTTTTTCGGGGAGAGGGCTGCCTGGGCGATTGCACTGGTGGGGCTGGAGATGTTGTAGGGGGCTTTGAGGCTGTTAAGCAGGCGGGCAATTGGTGGGCTGGTGAATGCAACACCGAGACGGATACCGGCCAGACCAAAGGCCTTGCTCAGTGTCTGCATGACGACCAGGTTGGGCCACTCGGCTACCCATTCAGCCAGACTAGAGCCCTCGGGGGCGAAATCGATGTATGCCTCGTCCACCACGACAATGCCATTCCACGTGGGGTGCTCCAGAACCTTCTGAACATCCTCCTTGCGGATCAAGTTCGCGGTAGGGTTTCCGGGCGAGCAGATGTACACCATCTTAATCGACTCATCCGCCGCTAGTGTCTCGTTGATTTTCTCCGGCTGCAGCTGGAACCCATTGGCGGCGTCCAGAGGGACCTTGACGATGGCGACGTCGTTTACATCGGCGCTGACGGCGTACATACCGTATGTGGGAGGGCAGGTCAGGATCTTGTCTTTTCCAGGAACGCAGAAACATCGCAGCAGGGCGTCAATGGCTTCGTCCGAACCGACTCCGACAAAGAGGTTATCGGGGGTGATGTTCTTCTGGGTGTGGACGTGGGTGTTGCGGACGTTGCAGAAAAGTTGTTTCAGTTCGACCTGGTGCCTATTGCATCATCGATTTCTCTTAGCATGGAGACCTTGTGTAAACGAGTAACGGTTGATCGACAGTACTCACGGGTCTGGGTATCGGTTTAACCCCAGGAAATCAATATCAGGCTTCGACGACCCAGTCGCATCCCCATCGACAGTCGAGTGCTGCAGCGCACCCTCCGCATTCAGGGCGAGACCAGGACCGTAGGCATTCTCGTTGGCATCGAGCAGAACATTCGTCCCATCATCTTTGTAGTCACTGACTCATTAGTTTTCCGTCGCGGAATGCGATAATTGGACGGAATTAAGCATACTCTCTTGCACAGCGGTAGGGCTCCAGCTTCAGGATATTCTTGCGCGCACACTTGGATAAATCGAACGGCATTGTGACGGCTCTAAATTGCTTGTGGTTGTTGATAAGAGGAGGAATGAATGCCGATGCTGGCAAAGATAGTGGGGTGGCGGGGATATCGTCGGGAACGGAAAAAGGACTATCTTGACTCACAATCCATAGTTAGTTACATTGTAAAGACATAGTTCAAGTAATAGTAGTAGTATATACATGCATTGATAAAGTAAAGCCTATTCTGGAATAATGCATATCCAAGAGAATCAACACTAGACACATATGTACCCCATCCTTCTGTGGAAACAACAAACGCCTTCTTATGCCTCATCTACAATCATCGTCGTGAGAAGATTATATGCCCGTCATAACAGTGAAAAACGAAAAAGTTAACCGTGGGATCTAGAAGAAAAGGTTTACTCCTGCTTTTGCTTCGGCTCCGGCTTTTGCGATTCCACTTCAGAAGGACGCTCCTCCGGCTTTGATGGTGTGGAATGGCTGCCGGACCCCTTATACTTCTTTTGCTTTTCCCGCATGTATCGCCAGGATTTGCCAAATCCCGCAGTGACTGGCCCCTTGGCACTTTGGACCGTGCTAGGCCAGCGGATGGTTTTCATGATCGATGTCTCTACCTCGTGCTTAAGGCTCGAGTCATCTGCGATGCGCCGTTCAAACGGACCACCCTGTCTCCGACGGAAAGCCTCCGGTTCCTTACTGCTGTTTTCCTCCTTCATCTTCTCGAATTCTGCCCGCGGGATCTGATATCTTGCTTGGTACTGGAAGTACAGCTTTTCCCGGAATGCTGGGGGCAGCCGGCTGACCATGTTGCCGCGCTTCACCGGATCCACGTCCTGAGAAACCCGCACATTGGTTTCGGGATCATCGATCCAGTCGCGTTGAGTGCACCGCGGATCGTTGAAGACGACATTGGGCAGGTTTTCAATCAGCGGTGCGTACAGCCGCCGGAAGTTAGCCATTTGCCCAGAGACAATGTTCTTCACCTTCTGGGGGTCCTCGGCTGGCAATGACATGCGGATGTCGCCCATGTAACTCAACCCGGCAATTGTACTATAGAGTTCAAATTCACTGAACTCCGCGGGGAGCAATAACAAGGCTACCCGTAAAGCGGAGAGCAAGTTCATCTGATTCGCCAGGCGTACCTGCGGATGATCCCGGAGAATTTTGACGGGCTTCTGCAGTCGTCCCGCGAGGTACATAGTGTCCCAGTTACTGAGATCTTTGCAGAGTGTATCCAGGTTAACGACTCCATACTTGATCAAAGTGCCATTGACAGTGATATACGGGTTGAAATAGACCCCAGCTCCAAATTGATCCTGTACTTGGGACACCACGTAGGATCCCAGCGAACCTAATCCAGAGTAATGATCACGATGCTGATGCAGGTTCAGAGAGTGCCAATGCTGACTATACGAGACTCCGAATATGAAATCAATCATCTTTCCCTTGCCCTGCTGCATGTTCTTGATTGCTGCGGGAGCTGATGGATGGCATCCGTCGGATCCAGGTGCGCTTCCTGATTGAGGGAAAACGCCTGAACCATATGCGAATGCATACCGAATCGGTGCCCGGAATTTCCAAAGGATTTGACGGAGTGCTTCCTTGAATTCTTGGTTGATAACCATGTGTTGGTTCACCCCGAAATCTTTCGTTGGGAGCTCTGAGAAAGCTGAAATGTCCAAGTTCGGGTTCGCATCCCAGTCGGGCTCGGACAATCGTGAGGAGGTAGAGAACGATGTAGCGAACAGCGGCAGGCCAAGCTCTCGATCAACGGATTTTAAGGCCGAATAGCCGCCTCTGTGCTGGAGGACACTGCGAGAAAGCAGTATTCCATTAAAGGGAGTTGTCAAGCGAGAGATCGATCGTCGGGAAACCGGGAAACGATAGTATCGCGAGGACGGCGGGAAACTCGAGCGCAAACGACCTGTATTCGAAAGGAGTGGCTTGACACACGATACCAATTAGCACTTTGAACCCAATAGCCAGAATTATTCCATTGAAGTAAGGGAGCGCACATACAGTGACTTCACGCATAATTGCGATTCGGCAGAAGGGAAAGGATGGGAAACACAGCGAGGGCTGTAGACGGACGAAATAAATCAGGGAGCATTGGAGAATCACAGTCTCACAGCATAATTCCCAGGACAATCAAAGTAGAGGCGAGCAAATAATTTTGGTGAATCGAGACAACAACGAAGATGGTCTCGATTAACAACCGCACTAACTGCCGTCACGGACTCTGACGTACGTTCTCGGCCTGAAAATCCCAGTTACTAATCAATGCGCCACACTCAAGCCATATTGCACGTGACTCCGCTCTCCGCGGCGCGTATCGGCGGAGAGATCAAAACAACGGAGTAAACAGAGCGCAACGCCGATAACAACCACCCCGGAGCCTTTTGAGACCACAAAAACGAGAATATTCGGATAGATATTGCGCCTTCTTTTTGCGGACGGGACGAATTGTTCCCGGAGAGCCCTTTTTCGCAACAATGAGCCAGGAAATGGAGACGCTTGACGCCCGCCTTGCCAGCTTCGAGACGGTACTGCCCGGGAGACGACGAAATTCGAGTGCAAAATCCACGAAACCAATTAGTTGGCCACATAACAGGCCTTCGCCAGCTGAGGTATGTATTGTCTTTTTCTTTTCTTTTCAGGCGTAATGACTGACGATTGTTCTTTCTAGCTGGCGCATGCGGGTTTCTACTATGAACCCCACGAGACGAACCCTGATAATACGAGATGCTTTCTATGCGAGAGTGCACTTGACGGATGGGAGGAAGAGGACAATCCGATCACAGAACACCTGACACTTTCGCAAAACTGTGGATGGGCGATCATGAAAGATATCGAGCGGCATAGCTCGAACCCCGCCGAAATTGAAGACCCGACAAGCGAGAGGATTTCCGGAGCCAGATCAGCAACATTTGGGTTATACTGGCCACATGATGGGAAGAAGGGTTGGGTGTGTCAGTCGGAAAAGGTATGTAGCTCTGTTCTCGTCCAAATCTCGAAGCTATGGTTCTGATGCGCATCGTTGCGATAGATGGTCGCAGGTGGATGGTACTTCTGCGCCAACGAAGAGAGTAACGACTTGGCTAGCTGTGCCTACTGCAAGTTGTCTCTCGATGGATGGGAACCTAAGGATGACCCTTAGTAAGTGCATATGGTCGCTCCTTCCCCATGAGTGCTTCTAACCCCTGTTAGTGAGGAACATTACCGAAGATCTTCAGATTGTTCTTTCTTCGTGTTTGCGCAGAATCCCAACAAAAAAACAAAAGCCTCCCGATCGAAAAAGCCACGAACCTCCAAGGCGTCTCGTCTCTCGACACAGTCCACCGCCTCGGAAGCACCTATGGTGGATCTTGACGACCAGATTGACGAGAGTATTGTGTCTGAAACGACCTCCAAGACAAAGAACACCAAAAAGTCATCTAGATCCAAGGCTAAAACCACGAAATCCAAGAAGACGGACACGGTGGATACGGATGACCAGATGGATGTTGATGGCGCCGCATACGAAGAACCCGAACCCCCCAAGCCAAAGCGCGCGACCAGGGGGAAGAAACGCACGAGTGAGGAAGTTAGCCAGAGCTATGGGAACGAGGTCGATACAGAAACGACGGAACAGCCCGAGCCAGCCCCTAAAAGAAGAGCAACAAGAACGCGCAACAGCACTATTCAGCAAGATTATAGTGCTTTGAACGATGCGACCCCAGCGGTTACACAAGAGCAAAGCGAGGTGGCACCCCAGGAAGAGGAGCCCAAGAAGGGCCGTCGAACCAAGAAGAACGCATCAACAAAAGGCCGCAAGGTCTCTGAAGCCTCAACATCAAAGGCACCTCCGACCTCACGTACACCTGACGATGCCGAGCTAGATGCGGCACTTGAAGCTGACCTTGAAGCGGATCCGCTAAGCTCCGAAGAGGAACTCGCAGAGACAACCACTAAGCACACGTCGAAAAAATCAAAGTCCAACAAAAAATCCAAGCCGAGTCCGGAAGCACAAGACCCCGCAGATACGTCAGAACACGATGAGAGGCAAGATAGATCGGGCGAAATCCCTGAGGATCAGGTAGAGCCTGTCGAAACAGAGCCGCAGACCCAGGTAAAATCAAGCAAGAGCTCCGGCAAACGCAAAGCCAAGGGACCTAAGTCGCAAGAAAAGGACTCCAAATCTCGGGAATCGCCCGAGATCGAGAGGGAGGATGCAGAAGCAGCCGCTCCTGAACGCCATGAGCCTCTCGTGTCCGTGGATATTGAAACCAGAAAGCCGGAGCAATTAGCTAAAGCGGAACCTCTAAGCGACGAGGAAGCACCGAAGCCAAAGAAGGCTTCTACAGGCAAGAGCAAGAAAGCAAAGAAACCAAGTGAATCGCCAGCGGAACCACCTGAGCCCGAAGAAGAGGACGAAGGACACGTCGAAGACGTTCAAGACCAAGAACCTGCACGAGTCGATTCGCCCGAGCAGAGAGAAGCAACACCAGAACAGGAACCGGAGCAAGAGCAACGACCCGAAGAGCTATCTGCTCGTCGCCGGTCATCACGTCGGTCATCGGGTATTCCGCCGAAAACGATTGAAAGGTACAGCGACATTCCGCAGGAGAAGCAATTAGCAAAAAGCTTGACAGACTCGCATACCTCGGATACCCCCGTTCAGCCAAAGAATATCAGGCAATTCGAAAGACAGGCCAGCGGTTCCATCTCACCTTTCCCATCAACTCCTCGAGAATCACAGTCTCTGTCGCCACAGTCCTCTGACGCTGAAAACCAACCGCCGTCCACCAATCCCTCAGCATCACGGAATTATGCGCTGTCCCCATCCAAACAGCCTTCTGAGCGGACTCCATTGGCTGTCAGCACACCATCACCATCCAAGCGGAATGCGAACGCAGGCGGCTTGAAGACATCGCACCCTTGGACTCCGATTGATATCGAGAGTATACTTTTTGCGAGAGACGGCGACAAGGAGAACGCCAGTCCGGGGGGTAAAGCAAGCGGAAACTTGACAAGCCCGGAGAAGAAGATGACGGTGGAGGAGTGGATCCACTGGAATGCAAAGAACGGAGAGGAGCGATTGAAACAGGAGTGCGAAAGGCTTGTCAGCCAATTCGAAAAAGAGGGGGGACGGGCCATGCGTGTTTTGGAGGGTATTGAATGCATTGATTAAACGGATTGGGATATCATTTTGGTTTTGGGTAATGGGCATAACGAGGCGTTGGGGGCGTTTTAAGAATCATATATGCTTTGTTTCTATTCTTGATGTTAATCAGTGGTACATATTTCGAACCAATCTTACCAATGGAGCTTATAAGCGACCCTTTCAATTCTCGTACCTTGATCCAAGCCCAGAACGCCGTTAAAAGATATGCCAAACATGCCATGGATATACAATTCGTCGAATGAAAAATGAACCCCAAACACCCGTAATGGATTATGCGATGATTCCCAGTCGCCCTTCCCAGCTCTCTTCCTCCTGCTTGATACCATCACCACCCTTCCGACGCTTCTCATTTCGCTTGCGCCTCTTCTCCTCTCGCTCCTTAGCATCCTGTTCCTCCCTCTCCTTCAACCTCTCCCCCAAATCCAACTGCCAAACACGCCTATCCTCCTCATCCCTAACCCTCCTCTGATGCGCCAACATCCTTAACCTCAACCTCACATCCTCCACACCCGCCTGCACAACCTCCCCACTCTGCCCCGTCGCAACCAAATGCTGCTTACTATTCAAATGCTCCACGAGCTGCAAATTATCCTTGAACGTAAGATCACAGTCCGCGCAGTAAAACCCCGCCCCGCGACCCCGTTTGCCCACCGCCGAACCACTGGGCACAATCGTCGTCTTGCCAACCATCGAGGCGACATCGAGACGGTTCTTGCGCGAGGTTGTGGCTTCTAGGGTGGAGTAGTCGACTGGGGCGTGCCATTTTTTGCCGAGGAGTTTGGCTTCGTAGCGCGCTTTGCCTTCTTCTTTGCGGCGGGTTTCGTCGTCGGCGGCTTTTTTGGCATATTCTTCGCGATCCCAGGTTTTGCGGAAGGCGGTGTCGCTGGAGGGGGTGGCGGTGGGTTGTTTGCTCATTTTGGTTCGTATGGGGGATAGGGGATTAGGTTGAGAGATTAGGGATTAAAAGTGTTCATAAGTTGTTGATGAGTGGATGGTTTGTAGTGGTGATCGTTGATGGTCCGAGACTTTTGGCCGATAATAAAAGGCGGAGTGGCGCATCCACCGCTATCGCCGTCTCTATCGCTATCAACAACACTCCTAAACCACAAGTGCAGTACGGAATAATAATTGGATGAGAATTTACAAATTCTGTTGTTTATTTCTCCTGAGAAGAGGCTCTCGATGACGATTGAAGATAAAATGCTGCAGTCTTATACTGAGTGCATAGTTTGCTACACAGTGACCAGCAGTGTATGGATATATACCTCTCATACTTTGTCTCCCATCTTTCACAGGAAAATCGAGAATAGTCCTGAATTCTCCCCGCGATTACCCCAGTGATATTTCCAGGGCAATAGTTGATAGCTACTTAAGAGACACAGGCCTGCTGCTCGGCACAATGCAAAGAGAGCTTAGAGGAAGGAAGACCGCTAGGGCTCAGATACCTCAACTAACTTGCCAGATATGGGCTCGACTTCCAGGTCCTGCCTTCGGTTGTATTATCCTCATGTCATTAAATAGTCTCTCTTATACCTTTACTCCAGTTGGAATACAAGTTCATGCCATAAATCGGGTCTAGTATACGGGTACTGTGTAGCCATGAACTATACCAGGACTATCACTCTCGATTGAACACAATGACAATAGAAACACAAGACCCCCGATCCCATCAGCCGATCAGTCAATAACCGAACAGAATCTCAATTGCAAATTCTCGATGAGTTCATATCCCCAACTTGGGTTGGAATCTGGTTGAGGACTGTCACCTTTGACGTCACCGCTACGCCAGACAGGGAAATGTACCCCAGGTATATATTGCTCTATTCGTCTCTACTATGTATCTCATACATACAAACTACAGAGCTCTTTGGTTTCAGCTTTAATAGACTCATAATCATATTGAATTGAAAATGGTCGACTCCATCAGCACCACCAACAAAAACGCAGCCGTTGACCCCTACAAGGCGCACAACTACGAGGACCTCCCTCTTGACCAAAAGATCAACGAGCTTGTCATCTTCGTCCAAGGAATTAAATATGGCATGTTGACGACCAAACTGTCCAGTGATTCAGACCTCCTAGCGTCACGGTGTATGGCCTTGGCCGGACAGGTATGCATATACCCAAAATCCAACGAGGTTAGATGAAACCTAACAGAAGTCGATAGGAAAACGGCGGCATCGACCTCCTCTTCCACACAAACCTCTTCTCCGGCAAAACCATGGACCTCACCGTCCACCCCACCGAAACCAACATGTCCTTCCTCGACCCCGTCAGCGGTGCCTGGGCATCCATCTCCGGCACAGCTTCCATCATCGGCGACCCCAAGGTCGTTGAGAAATACTACACGCCCGTTCTGAAGACCTGGCTAGGCGATATGGGTGATGGTGTGCATGATGGTGGTCCTGCTGATCCGCGGATTGGTGTTATTAAGCTGGAGGCGAAGTTGGCGACGTATACCCTTGCACGGAAGGGGATTGTTGGACGGGCGGTTGATGAGGTTAGGGGTGTTGTTAAGGGTGAGGTTCCTGCGATTAACAAGATCCGGGAGGTGAGCCAGTCGGAGTTGGCTGAATGTAAGTGCCCTTCTTCCCTTTCTTAATCCTTTCTTCGAGTTGTGCTGACTTCGTTCTAGGGCGCCGGACGCACAAGCAAACTAATTAAGACCCATTGCATATGGAGTCATGATCTCACGAGCCCATGCTTTTTGTCACATGTTCTATTATGGTGTAATAGTACCTGGTTCTCATAATTGAAGTCAATTCAACAAGTCTGCAGAGTAATTATTGCATTATAGTGTAAAGTCATATATAAGTACAAGAGTTTGGGAAATAAACCAAACCCTCAGTATAAATCGATCTGAGATGCATCCGTCTGCCCAGGGTATCTAGTAAAGGACCAATCCAAACTCCTCGAGAAGCAATATAACCAATTATCCAAAATTAACATAGTATAGAACACTGATCAAATCTGTGATGGACGTTAGTTAAGCCACAATATACTATGGATAGCCTGGTAGCCAACTCACCAGTCTCAAAGGAAATCGCGATGGTATACGCCCATTGTGAAGAAGCATGGCGACCTGTCTGTTAGGGGTTGCCTGAAGCTTTCGGTATGCCTCGCGTATATGCCTCGGCTCTACGGGAGTCCGGCCCTCCTCTGGGGGATCGAACAGACCAGTCTCACGCTTGCGTTTCTTCGTGTTCTCGCCCCCATTATCTGCTGGTCCGCGTCGGTTCTTCTCGTGATCTTCCCGCTCCTTGACCTTCAGCGCCTCTTCTGTTAAAGTCTGGACGATCTCAAAAGTAAGGAAACCGAGGATGTCGACTATATCGTCATTAGGCTTCGACTCAGTCACAATACCGAACCCAGCCCATTCACGAAAACGCTTGCTCTTGCGGTATGTAAATGACGCTTGCCGACATTCAGACCAAAACACATATTCCTCTTTTGTCATGTGCTTGGTTCTTTCATCTGCAGCCGCAAGACGCTGAAGCGTTGCATAATTTTGTTCCTCCTCTTCCTCATCCTCTTCATCATCCCTTTCCGGAACCTGCACCGAGTAGAAACTGTTCACATCCCAAACAAGACCGACTTTAGCCCTCTTGTTCTTGGGTTTAGCTGCCATATCTTGCGGCCCAGCGACAGCACCAGCTGCAAGAGGATCATCAGCACCTGCGAAGTCGGCTGCATCGCCGCCGCCCTTGTCGTCTGAGTCCTTGACGTTCTTTCGTACATCTTTCCAGGAAAGGAATGTCCTTAGCCGTGAGACCTTCGCTTTGTCATGGCGGATTAAGAAGATCAGATCATCTGTGGAGATTGAACGGACTCCACGACGGGTGGCTAAGGCCGTGCTTCGTATAAGCTGCGACTGGTTAGCATGTGATGCGTATGCGGCGCAACGGGGAGGGCTACTTACAATCTCAATGACTTGTTGGCGCACGATCTCTTCGATCAAAGTTGTTGTTTCAATTGATGGTTCTGCGGTCTCTCCAGAGACGAACATCATCTAGAAAGAAGCGATTAGCCACGTGTGTCGTATATACAACGAGGTGACTATGACCTACCTGCTGGATCTCCTGCCGATACTTGGGATTTCGATCCGACATCTCGACGGCTTCGTTTTATAAATAGCCCCAGAGTCACAATATGCGTGTCAAAATAGCCCAATGCTAGTTAGAAAAAGCAATAAATTATAATTGATAGTTTGCGACAGCGATGAAGTATGGAGATGATGCCTCCGAAGGAGAGGCCGACGCGATAACAGACTCGGGAGCTTGGTTTCTCCGCAACCCGGCCCTCCGCCGCATATGGTGGGGTGAAGAAGAGGAAACTTTCTGACTGCGACACTACATTGCCCGATATACCAGACGAATTTGTTGAAAAGAGACCAAGATGCTGTACCTCGTGGGACTCGGTCTCGCCGATGAGACTGACATTACGGTCAAGGGATTGGAGGCTGTCAAGAAGGCCGAGAGGGTCTACCTTGAGGCATACACCAGCATTTTGCTCGTGGAGAAGGAAAAGCTAGTATGTGTTGATTCTCATTTGCTTATTGTCGCATGCCTAGGGAGGTTCCATGGAAAAGATCAAGGGCTAATATTTGTTGGTTCATCAGTAGGAAGCTTTCTATGGACGCCCTGTTATTGTAGCAGACAGAGAACTAGTCGAGAGTGGCAGCGATGAGATCCTCGCAGACGCCGACAAGACCGACGTCGCATTCCTGGTCGTCGGCGATCCTTTCGGGTATGCATTCATTCCCCCGTGAACATTGGTAAGAAGTGGGATCTGACAGGTCGTCAGAGCGACTACGCACACAGATTTGGTCCTCCGGGCTCGCGAACTCGGCATCGAAAGCAAAGTCATCCCCAACGCATCGATCATGTCCGGAATCGGTTGCACCGGTCTGCAACTCTACAACTTCGGCCAGACAGTGAGCATGGTGTTCTTCACCGAGAACTGGAAACCCTCGTCCTACTACGACCGAGTGAAGGAGAACGTCGACTTGGGTCTTCATACGCTGGTTCTCCTGGACATCAAGGTTAAGGAGCCATCGCTGGAGAACCTCGCCAGAGGACGGATGATCTACGAACCCCCGAGGTATATGACGGTCGCACAATGCGCCAGCCAAATGCTGGAAACTGAGGAGGAGAGGAAGGAAGGTGTGTTTGGACCGGACAGTCTGGCCGTTGGTGCTGCGCGGGTTGGTGCTGCGGACCAGAAATTGGTTGCAGGAACTCTGAAGGAACTGGCGGAGGTGGAGATGGGCCGGCCACTTCACAGCTTGGTCTTGTTGGGACGGAAGACGCACGATCTCGAGAGAGATTACATTCGCGAATTTGCTGTTGACCAGGCGACTTTCGACGCGTGTTGGCAGAGAGCGTATGGGGCCAGCTCGTGATGATGAATGATGAATAATTATCTAGCAAAAGTTTATAATACGTGTAAAATGCTAGTCGCATAGCAAAATGATCGCTTCCGCAAATGAAATGCCCAGATTGCTCAACAATTCCTTTGTTCACGACATTAGTACATGTCGCATCTCGGAATGCGATTTATCAAAAATTTGTAGCCGTCCATCGGAATCCAGAACGAAGCACGTGACCGCAACAACAAACGGCCGACAATGTTGCACACACACAACGCCTCAATTGACAGAGCCTCGTCAGTAACACGGCAGGCAATGCATCGTAGAAAATACCAAGGATAATATGAACTTGCGCGTCGATCCACCCGGGCACCTACACCCTCGCTTCTTCCACTGAATTCCAATATAAGCCGAGCCGAGCAGCGCAGCCACCTCGTCCCGTTCGACGTTTCCTCTCCCCGTCTGCGCGCGCAAACTGTGACAATGCCAGTATATCTCCTTTATGGCTTCCGCTGGCCGCGCGCCGGCTTCACAGGCGTTCGGGTCTACATCGTCCTCAACAACCTGGAGAACGCAACGGCCGAATACCTGCAACAACCGGAGACCGCACGCCTACTCCTCGAATCGTTCAAGAAAAACGAACCCGATATCGTGGCGAGACTACCGGAAGTACGATTCATCGAGCAGTACGACCCCGAAGACATCTCGAGCGAGACCGCGGTTAGCCAGCCGTACGCCTATGTTGCGGCGAGAGTGATCGAGATGCCGGACCTCAATACACCCGGGAACAACATCTGTTGGGATGTGGAGGAGCTCAACAAGGATTCTGGGTTAATGGAGGAGGCATCGAACGCAATAACGGAGTTTCGAGATAAATATGCCGCGGGGGAGAAGCTTGGGTGGTATATTGTGTATAATGGAGATCCGGAGAGGTATTTTCCTGAGACGGATGAAGAGACCGTTGAAGAAGATGACGAGGACATGATGGACGAGGAGTATACAAGTAATGATGTTGGCTCCAATAATAACTCCGGAGAACCGGAAAGGCCTAAGACTTCTTCGGGGGTATGTTCATTTCCATTTTCTTTTGCGATTCCAATGACCAGGGGGATCTGACTGACCTATTTTCTAGTCACGATTCTCGGACAAAATCACGAGGCTGTTCAAGAAAAATAGCAATTCTACTCCATGAGAAGTCAAAATGTCATGCTGATACGGATCCACTATGTTACAAATTCCTTTGTTCTACCCTGGTCACTTTTTTTTCGTTTTCTAGTCTTTCAATCTAATATCAAAGCCAAAAATATCTTATCCGAAAAAAGCATCCAACGTCTCTGTATCATGGCATTTGAGCGCAAACTTAGTAACTTTCACAACCATAGCATAGCCAGGCAGTTTTCTAAATAGTAAAAGTAACAATCCGTCTATATAAACCCACTTCACAACTAAATCCATCCATATGGCCCAGCAACACTTAAAGATCGCCAAAAAACAATGACATAAAGGCGGTGAAAACCGACAAAACCGAGTCTCGGCCATGAGCTTCACGGGGTACCGCGGAGAACACCCCGATAGCATCGAAATCCAGGCTGCGCAATTAACGAGAGTCGATTTACGCTCTTTTAATCTATAGCAGCTTAATCCGCAGCATAACATTGTGGGCGGGATGGTTCTCTCTTTTATCTTGGTACAGAATCGCCAGTAAGTGTGATGCCCCTGAGCCCTGACTTGATTGTTGTACTTGAGCGCTAATGCGATGAATTGATAGGGGCAAGACGCGCCTGGCGAAATGGTATGCGCCGTACAGTGTGAGTCTACACAAGACGAGAACGAGGGGATAAACGTTCAGTATATTGCGATGGGAGCGTTGGCTAATGGGTTTGCGTGGGTAGGATGAGGAGAAAGTGAAGCTTAAGGGCGAGGTTGGTACATACTGCTCGTTTGTTTGATGTTTCCAGCGTCGATATTAACGTGTTTTGCTTTCTTAGGTCCACCGTCTTGTCGCGCCGAGAGATCAGAAGTATCAATCGAATTTCGTCGAGTTCAAACGGAGTACCAAAGTGGTGTACCGACGATATGCCGGGTTATTTTTTTGCGTGTGTGTCGATGCCAACGATAACGAGCTAGCGTATCTCGAGGCGATTCATTTCTTTGTCGAGGTTTTGGATCAGTTCTTTGGGAACGTGTGTGAGCTGGATCTCGTCTTCAACTTCTATAAGGTGCGTCTTCTTCGGGTGGTGCTATTACGCCTGGGATCTTGGACATGGCTGACGGGATTTCGTTATGCAGGTTTATGCAATTCTGGACGAGGTCTTCCTTGCGGGCGAGATCGAAGAGACCAGCAAACAAGTCGTCCTGACAAGGCTGGAACATCTGGATAAATTGGAGTGAGCGGCATACGGGTACAACCATGTTGACTGGTGCTATAATATACGGCGCATAATTGGGAAGGTTTTCTGGCATCCGCATACGGTTACCACCGGCTTGGAGTTTGGAGTCTTTGATGCTTTATGTCAGGTCTGTACAGTGTCTGAGGGGCCTCTGGGGCCATTGCCGTCAATTGACCAGAGGAAGGCAGTATCTAATTGCATCGTTAATAATACCTATTATATAATCTTCATCATCTGAACATACACAAGGCATTGCTACTCTACTGTACTACTTGACACAGAAGAAGTACTTGGGGAGGGCAGGTTAGTCATCCTCAGCACAGTCCATAGTTACATAGCACAGCCCAACAGCCGAATTTACCTGCCGGCAGCGGGCAACCAGGGTCCAACGCGTGTTTTAGACTCAAATAACCTTAAGAACCTTGATTTTGACGGCGGGAAGAACAATGGTTTGGAAGGGGTTATCTATGAGGTGATCAAGGATAGCAATTGCGAGTGGATGTCGTGACTGGGCTTGGCGGGGGACATTTAAGGCTGACAGCGTCCGCCTTTGGGCTTACTCCCTTTGAATGCTTCTTTTTGCTTTTTTTGCTTCTCTGTCCTTCCCTTGGAGAGAAAACAGAATTATTCTTGTCGACTAACCTCAAGAGCCAGGTGTTGTCCACTATGGCGAACACTTTGGACATGCGACTTCGTTACAAACCTACTTACTACCAGACCGCCACTGGACCCCAATTAACTTGGATCTACAGAGCACAGAGCCCGACAACAGTCGAGGACCCCTAAAGCGGTATCCTGTTTGTTCTCACATTGACGAGGCCCCATATGAACTTGCTTTCCATACCAGACCACCAGTATCACAGATATATTGTTACCAATGCCGCTCACTGCTCCATTACGATGACTTGTATCGTCTTGAAGAGTCCCTTTCCCACTGCGGCATGGCTCTAGCACAACTGAAAATCTGGAACGCCACATCTAAACGGGATAGTTGGAGAAGATCGTCATGAAGATTGCGAGAATTCTTACCACATCCCATCTTTCGGACGGAATACATACTACAGGATGGAGTACACGGACCCGTGCATAATAAACTGGTTACCTTGGCATTTCCCATGATAGCGTCTCCAACCAGCGGATACAGGCGGGCGGACGGCAGAGAGGAGGGAGCCAATGCCTTCCCGAAAAGGAAAGAAACGGTCAAGATCCTTGAGGTTGATTGAAGTGTGGTGGAACTGACGGGAGCCATGGGAACTCGGACGCTGTTACCGCCTGTCGCTACAAGTACTTTGTATGGGCAGGGGTATCGTGGACGGACCACACTGGCCTTCTGATATCATCATGGCTGGATTTGCTGGACTGATTGTCTACAATACCACAAGAACCGAGAATGGTGGCTGGTGAACTGAATGATTGACAATGTTGCTCCCATTGGAGGAATCTTGACACGAGTTCAGTTTCCATTTCCCCTCTGCTCTTCTTGGCAGGTCAATCTGAAATGAAGCTCAGAAATGACTCGGGAGACTCTATTCCAAGTCGAGCCCAACCATCGACTTCCGGATGGGTCCTCTCCGTGCCACTTTTACGGTACCAAGCCGAGGAAGTACCTTGGGCCAAGCAGATGTCCAGAACGGTTGATTGATTAAAAACAGAAACAGCACGCAAATTATGATGATGAGGATTGATACGTATGGCTTTATCGCCAACGTCAACCTACAGACACGTACGATCCTGCGCCTCAAAATCGAGAACACAACACAATGCAACTCCGATACATCCGCCACCGCAGCGCATTGTTCCAGAATGCCCCTAAACTTTCTTCACACAGACTATCGACCGGGGATAGGTGGAGGTTAACCTCCCGTTTCACACTTTACCGGATTGAGAGTGTACGCGTCGACCTTTATATCCCCGCATCCAATCACGGGGAGGGACGATCGTTTCGTGGAGTCGAGCCTGATTGAGAGCGTCCGTGTTATACGCGGCGTTGGTCTTGGCATTTCCTCCCCTGCCCGGTAGGGCGGCGGGACAACTACAGAGAGCACAGAGAGCACTATGTACTTGGCGTATTTACCATACAGTACAGGTACATACTCTGTAATCGATTGAATGCCTCAGTCGGTACATGTGGAGTTTCAATCTTGAATTGTTCCGACCAATCAGATTACAAGTCAGTTTTTTTTTAAAAAAAAAAAGAACACTGCTTCTTCTGTGCCCCCCTGACAATCAGCGGTTATCCGTGGGTGCGTCAGCTCGTGACGTTGTGGTTTGTTTATCTGTGCCTGTGTGTGTTTTGGCTACATTTGCGCAGAATAGACTTACAGCACAGCACAATACTTGTACTAGAGCACTTGTACAGTGTTGTACCTACAAGTATTGTTCTCTTCTATGCATCCTCAGGCATCAGCATCGTGGGAGCCAAGACCAGGAGCCGAGCAAAGGGCGAGTAACACTCGCCACCGTCAACCACTGGGGGCCAACCAATACGTATGTAACTTTACAATTTAGCGCGGGTCTAGAAGGGGCAAAAGAAAAATTACAACATTACACTTCGAAGCCGTTCTGGTTCTCTGCAAGACCCGCTGCCCCCAACTTATCTAAAAACGGGGTTTACGATAATGTATCTTTTTTTTTGATCTGCTCTCTCTTGTTCTATTCTCAGGGTGACGGACTTTAAAAAGAACATTCCCAAACGGCTTGAGCACCTCCTGAACTCTTTTCTCTTTCGTTTTATTCTCTACTTTATCTTCCCCTTTCTATCTCTTCCATACTAGTCCATCCCATCGCTGCTTTGCGCGACACACCTTCGTTATTACCGACTATACACAACGCCTTCAGATCTTATACTTAATACCATAATCTGATTACGATCTCAACGCCGTCACTATGTCTTTGACCTACTCCGACAACCTCGCCCCGCAACCTATCACCGATGTCTTCACCAACGACACATGCATCGACCGAAGACAGTGTCACCGGACGGTGCCCATGAAGGTGCTCGCTCTCGGTGTGGGACGCACAGGAACGGCTTCGCTGCGGATTGCCCTTGAGCGCTTGGGATACCTCAAGTGTTACCACATGATGTCTGCGAGCATGGAGAACCCTCCGGACTGCTTGATGTGGCACGATGCTCTTCTTGCCAAGTACGATGGTGTTGGTGAATTTGGTCGCAAGGAATGGGATCAGCTTTTGGGTGACTGCCAGGTAGGTGATATTGGATATCTTTGGAAATGGTTGATCTTGAGCTAACTGTACTAGGCTGTCTGTGACTGGCCTGCTTGTGCCTTTGCTAAGGAGCTTATCGAGGCGTACCCCAACGCCAAGGTTATCCTGACTACCCGTGATGTGGACTCGTGGCATGCGTATGTTTACCATTTACCATTCTAGTCAAATGATGGATGCTAATTGAGTACAGTTCTGTTATGAAGACCGTCTGGTGGCGTGTCTCCGACTGGGAACACAGCTTCGTTTCCAACTTCAGCTGGGCTGCTGGCATGTACTACCCCATGCTGAGCAAGTTCTTCCAAACCTTCTTCCGCGGCGACTTCCCCAACAAGGGCAAGCAGGTCTACGAGGACCACGTCGCTCAGATCCGCAGTATGGTGCCTCCCGAGCGTCTGCTCGAATACCAGATTGGCGACGGCTATGGCCCGCTGTGCGAATTCCTCGGGGAGGAGATGCCCGACACCCAGTTCCCCCGTGGCAACGACATGGCCGACTTCTTCAAGCGCTGCCGCGGCCGTAACAGGCGCCAGATGATGAACGCTGCTCTGCAGGCGTTCACCATGGGCGGTACCATCTTGGCCACTGGGTTGGCTGCCACTATGGCCTTCAAGCGCTTTGCCCGCTGAGAGGTTGACGGGGTATTGACCTCATTGCCACTCATTGGTAGTATGCGCGGGCGTTGCTATCAGTGGTGGCTGTTTTGCTACATTTCTTGGATATCTTGCCACATTGCTTTTTTTGGGACTGCGACTACCATATACGTATAATCTGGGCGATGGCCAATTGGGGTCATTTATTTTTGTTTATCTTTCTTGTACAGAGAACTTTTTGCTTGGGATCAGTTTGGATATGTAATTACTGTTGCCTGGGCGCTCATGGAGTGAACGACAAAATGCATTCTTCTTATTTGCTATGAAATCCCTGTTTTCTCTTGGTATTCTCAGCCAATGCATACCTCGGAGATAACCTGTTAGCCGAGGCGGGTGTATAAGTAATGCACAGTTATGCACTTTAGACTGTCGTAAGATTCTTATCTGCTTTCACGCATCAAATCAAGCATTACGCCGTCGTACATACAGTAGTCTAAACAGACCTCGGAGCACATACAGAGTACAATCATGAACACGTTGACTGTGGCTAAGTCAGCGGAAAGAAAAGTCGTTGTAGACGCCTCCGCCTACGTATTTCCCTGCCAAGATCCACAACTCTGCATCGTCAGGGGAAAGAAGAAAAGCAGCACTAAAAGAAAACGGCGGGTAAATACTGATGCTCCGAGCCAATGGAGTGTATCCGGTGAATGACAGTTTCCACTTTTGTGTGGGGAGAGTCTGGCCATTGATATGGGCGTGACGTGGCTTGATTAGTACTGTGCGGAGTACATAGTATCAATATCTGTACAGGATGGCTGTGTTGATTTGTTCTCTGGTTCTATCAGAGTACTCGTGGATATGGATGGGCATCCAGACGTTAAAGATACTGGAGAACGTGGTTCAGTGGCTTATACCAACCTTGTCTCCTGAAGGATCTGTATGCTGTATGTGTATCGATGGTGTATCTGTATGTAATGCACGGATGCCCACCCACGAGTTCTTCGAGAACGTTGGTAGAATCCGTTCGTTTCACTTGTTTCACCTTATGAGGACAGAGTGTATGAAGAGAAGACTGTACGTAGGAGAGTAGAACACTCAATAATGGTCAGTCGGACAGTGTTTGAGAAGTTGATCTTCAGTAGGACTAAGCAGTAGTGGTAACTAAGTACTAAAGTGCTCCCCTGAAATACACATCTCCGAATAGGGTATCCTCTCGCATGGCTCCTCCATAGGTACTCCGTACTCTGTACTCCATAGTACTTTATGCCTGAATACGTAGACCTTTAGAAATGAAAACAGACACCGATTGGATGAATAACCGCTGTCTGGACTTGTCTTATTTTAGCCATTTCCTCTCCTGTTGCTGATCGTTGCTCTTCTCTCCCTCCCTCCAGATCTACTCTATACTGCCACTGCCACCAGGGGGTAGGTAGTAGTAGTATTCTTACTCCCTCAATTGCATTTCCTCCCCTTCAATCCACTCAATTCCCTCGTTCTCAAGTAATGGGCCTCCATGTTCGCCTTCAGCTTTCTTGCCGGGGGACTTTTGCCTCTCTTGGTTGCATTCTTGCTCGTTTGTTGTACAGCGGTCGCAGAGGAAGTCTCATCCTTCAAATCGGTAATGATCACTGCCTAGGCGATTTTCCCTCCGCATTCCTTATCGTTGACGTGATTGATGTGGCAGTCTTGCTAATTGTGCTTTATTTATTCTAATAGAGACCCGATCTCTTCGCTCCAACGTTCACCGTCGAGGTTAGCGATCCGAGAAAGCTTAGCCCTGGGTTTATTTTTGTTGGGCCGTACCAGCAGGCTTATAGTCCGGGGCCATATCTTTATGATAGTTATGGGGTATGTCTGGCTTTCTCTCTATAGCTGAGGAGGACGACACTGATGAGGAATAGAACCTAGTATGGAGTGGTTGGGGTAATTCAGGTCCTGGAAACGCTCACGGGTTACACGTCTGTCGATACAAAGGAGAAGATCACCTCTGCTTTTTCCAGGGAAACCAGCAGAAAGGATACTGTCGCGGCCATGGCGTTATCATGGATAACCAGTATCGCATCGTGCGCTCGGTACAGCCTGGTGGTGGCATGGCATCAAGCGACATGCATGAGTTCAAATTGATCAACAATGGAAAATCTGCCCTGATGACCGTCTACCAGCAGCGTCAATTCGACATGAGTCCTTGGAACGTGCGGCAGGGTGTTGGTTGGATTATGGAGAGCGTCTTCCAGGAGATTGATGTTGAGACTGGCAAGTTGTTGTTCGAATGGCGCTCTCTCGACCATGTTGATCCGTCGCTCAGTTACACTTATCCTGATCATACGGATACTTCAGGTACTGGGCTGAGCCCGTTTGCGCCATGGGATTACTTTCATATCAACTCGATTGACAAGAATGAGGATGGTGATTATTTGATCTCGTCGCGCCATACGTCTGCGATTTACAAGCTCTCCGGCAAGGACGGTTCGATCATCTGGCAGCTGCACGGCCAGTATCCGTCGTTCACCAACATCAACTTTAGTTTCTCGCAACAGCACGATGCGCGCTGGTTGTCTGAGAATGCGACACATACATACTTGTCGCTCTACAACAATGGGTACAATGGCTTCAACCAGACCCATCAGTACTCGTCGGGCATGCTCATCCTCATCGACCATGTGGACATGACGGCCACCCAGCTGCGAGACTACATGCCTCCAGGCAAGAGCATGCTCAGTTCCAGCCAGGGCAATATGCAAGTCCTGAACAACAGCCATGTATTCATGGGCTGGGGCAACAACGCATACGTATCCGAGCACGATGTAGAGGGCAACCTCGTTTTCTGGGCCTTCCTCTCCCAGGATCCAGGATTCATGAACTACCGTGCTCAAAAATTCGAATGGGACGCTAACCCAATAGACGTTCCAGCTCTATGGTCCTATTCCAGATCTACAGAACCATACTCCCCAATGACACAGTATGTCAGTTGGAACGGCGCCACCCGCGTCAAATTCTGGCGCTTCTACGGCTCCATGAACGCCACGGGTCCTTATACCTTGCTCGACGAAATACCCAAAGCGGGGTTTGAGACTGCTTACACCGACGTGAACTTCTACCCTTGGACCCATGCGGAAGCAGTAGACGGGCAGGGGAAGTTGTTGGGCAAGTCCCCCAACACGTTCACATTCGTGCCCTCACCGGAGTTGCAGAGTTACTGCTCCGAGAAAGACTGCGGCAACGCACTGGGTTACGGCTTCCAAGATGATACAAATACCAGGCCGCTGATTCCGCCCATGGGCGTCAACACAGTGCCCTGGGTTGACCCGGATAATCCAGAGAAGTTGTTTGATTATGGGGTATCTGGTGGGCAGCCCGAAGAGACTTCTTCTTCTGATACCGCTTCTGGTAGTGTATACGGTATGTTTTGTCCTCCATCTTTCCGTTTCTCTGAGGTTATTAGGATTGAAATTAACATTCGCAGATTATACCAATTGGGCCGTTGGAGCCGTGGTTGTGCTTATTGCAGCCGTGGCAGTGCAGGTGATCGTCAGCTGCTGTCGTTGTCCGCAACGGCGGGATCAGACGTACCGGGATAGGCGCGATTCGATGGACACTCTGGATGACATGTCGGAGGACGAGCCGAAGCCGTCAGAGACGGGAGAGCGGCGGTGGTGGCAGCGGTGGACGGAGGATGACTACCTGCCATTGCAGGAGCGCGAGCGACGGGAGAGGTGATGATACCCTTGTTTCTTTTTCTTGTCTGTATATATACTGTAGATAATCTGTTCTATACTTGTCCTTGTACACTTTGTTGTATGAATCTATATTTGTACTATAAGTCACATGATTACAGTACCATACGCCCAGCCACTGCCGAGTCATTACGATCCACCACCCCCCACCACCCACATCTCCACATGGACAGGGGCCTATGGCTGGAAATTACCGGTACCAAGCGGTACAGTATGGTCAGTAATACTATACCATACTAGAACAGTCCCGTGATCATCCAGGCTACTATTTAAATGATACAGACATGATACGTAGTCTGAGCTACTCATATGCGTACAGTTGAAATATAGCTATGTAGAGATAGCACAGGACAGGATAGGACATGGACACTAAAGAGGCATATCAACCGGCACAGTGATGAGTGGGGAGGCGTCGCAAGCCCAGCTGCGCCGATCCAACGAAGATAACTCCGAGTTATCGTGTGCAGAGCACGGAGTAAAGTTGTACATACTCTGTACGGAGTAAAAGTCAGTTGTAAAAAAAAGTAACCCAAACGCAACGCTCAGGCTCTTATCTTTTCTTGTCATTTTCTTTCTCTCTTTTTCTCTCATATACCACAGTATATACATGACGTCGGCATGCCTCGCATCTCCGTTTCCGGCACCACCACCAACCGCCGACTATCCTCTCCTCTCGTCTCCCCTCTACCTACCACTCCTGCTGCCAATTCTCAACTTCACGTAAACCGGGACCGGAATGCCCGCCATTCACGCAATACTTCCTGGTCGACTGGTCGCGATATCCTCTCCCCTGCCGTAGGCGAGTTCTCCACTACCTTCGAGTCCACCGCCGGGTCTTCCACCACGCAGCAACGCCGTCGCCGCGAATCAAACTACTCGCTCGCTAGTGTCTCCGAGAGAGGTGGTGGCAGTGGTAACGATTCCGACGCGGACAACGACTACAACTACGACGCAGACGAGACTATGGCACTGAGAAATACCTCAATGGATTGGAAGGGCCATGCCCGTCGACGCTCCCAGAGCCAGGGCCAGCAGGAATTGCCCGTCCTTGAACCGCACCCGTCGACTTCAGCTGCGGCGTCGCCGTTACACCCCTCCGGTCCTCATTCACACTCGTTTGTTTCGGCCCCCCCGCCGGTATCGTCGACTGCGCGTCCCGGGCCTGTGACGTGGATGTCGCTGCCGAGGAAAAAGCAGCTCGCGATTCTGGGTCTGTGTCGCGTGTTCGATTTCCTACAGATCGCCTCGTTGCAGGCGTACATGTTCTACCAGCTCAAATCGTTCGACCAGGATCTTTCAGACTCGGATGTTTCCACGCAAGCGGGTATTCTGCAGGGTGCGTTTACGGCTGCGCAGTTCGCGACGGCGATCCCATGGGGTCGAGTTGCGGATGCGGAGTGGGGAGGACGGAAATTCGTGCTGCTTGTTGGGTTGCTGGGGACTGCGGTTTCGTGTTTGGGGGTCGCGTTTTCGACGTCTTTTGCGCAGGCGGTGTTTTGGCGGTCGTTTGGGGGTGCGATTAATGGGACTGTGGGGATTATTAGGACGTCCATTGCGGAGAATGTTAAGGAGAAGAAGTATCATTCTAGGGCGTTTTTGATTCTGCCCATTGGGTTTAATATTGCTTCATTGTTTGGGCCGGGTAGGTTTCTTTCCCCTCATCTTCTGGCATTGGGTTCGATATGCTGACTGGTTGCTAATTGACAGTCATGGGTGGTATGCTCTCTGATCCCGTCACGAGTTATCCTGCACTGTTCGGCCCGAATTCGTCGTTTGGTGGCCAGTCCGGTGTTCAATGGCTGGTCACTTACCCCTACGCTTTGCCCATGTTGGTCAATACCATTTTCCTGTCGTTGTGCGCGGGTTTTGTTGCCATGGGCTTTGAAGAGACACTGGAAGCCTGCAAAGGCAAGCCTGGCTTGGGTGTCTTTGCCATGCGACTTTTCTCCCGTGTCGTCAAGATGGTCGTTCCATCCTCGTCTCCGCTATACTCTCGACTTCCCTTCCGCGATTACGACGAAGAAGGCCCGCTGTTGAACCGCCCATTGGACCGCACAGAAAGCTACGAGATGGAAGAAAAGGCCAAACCCGCGCGGCCGGCCCGCGTGCTGTCTTTCCGGAGTATTTGGACCAAGAATGTGCTCTGTACGCTTTTTGCGCAGGCCTTTTTTGACTTTCAGATGGGGTGAGTTCTCAGTTCTCTTTTCGGTGTAAGAACCTTGCTAATAACGACAGTGCTTTTAACAACCTCTGGCTTCTCTTCCTCTCTACCCCGCGCTACGACCCGAACGACCCCGCCAGTCTGGCCCAGAAGCTGCCGTTCATCTTCACCGGCGGTCTCGGAATGCTTCCCCAAAGCGTTGGATTCGCAACAGCCATCTTAGGTATCATCGGAATGCTCCTCCAATTCACCATCTACCCCACCATCAACGGCCGTCTAGGAACAGCGAAAAGCTACCAATACTTCCTCTCTCTCTTCCCCCTCGCCTACGCCTTCGCACCCTACATCGCCCTCGCCCCCTCCTCAACCCCACCCCCAGACCAAGCCAACGGCATCTGGGTCTGGTTCTCCATCATCGTCGTCCTTTTCCTGCAAGTCACAGCCCGAACCTTTACCCTCCCAACCTCCATCATCCTACTCAACAACTGCTCCCCGCACCCGTCCGTCCTGGGCACGATACATGGTATCGGGCAGTCTGTTTCTTCCGCGTTCCGGACCCTCGGGCCGATTTTCTCGGGGAGTTGGTATGGGTATGGATTGGAGATTGGGACGGTGGGTTTTGCTTGGTGGTTGATTGCGCTGGTTTCGGTGTTTGGGTGTGTTGCTGCGATTTTCGTTTATGAGGGGTCTGGGCATGAGATTCTGCTTCCTGGGGAAGAGGAGGATATGCAGATGCAGTGATCTCTTCCTTTTCTTCCCGTTTGCTTCTTTCTCGACCTCTTCCGATTCCTTTCGACTTCGGTTTGATTCATCGACTATGCATAACTTGTATATATGGGCGAAACCGAGCCCAGATACCGATCTTGGTCTGACAACATTCCGCAGGCTGTATTGTATTGTTCCAGGTTTGGCTGGACATATCCTGAAAAAAAGTTATAAGGGGGTATGCATTGCTTCGCATCGCTTCGCTTCGCATCTCTTCTGTTTTGTTTTGTCCCTTTTTGCTTTCTATTTTGGATTTCTTTGATACCATCTCTGTTTGATGTACTATATTTATATTTCCTCGCTTTCTCTTTTTTAGCTTGTGTTTTACTTTGCCTTTTTCTTTCTCATGTTGCATATATTTGCTGTTGCTTTTCTTTTGTTGCTTTGTTTATTATGCATGATATGACAGACAGGAAGAGTATAGAGGCAGTGTATCTTGATCAGTTTGGTTGGGATGCACTTAGTACAATACCATTTATTCCAATGCTCAATCATCAGGGTATTAAAATAGATGCTAATGCTAGATATTTATCTCATGTTCGTGCTCGCATCTAGGGTTTTCGCCTCAACTCCGCAAACCGACGACTCAACTCATCCACCTCCGGTATACGATTGGGGTCATTGTCCGCACTGCTAGTGTCTGGTGTACTCTTGCTCGCCGTATTGTTAGAATCCCCCGAGGATGAAGGATCTGGCACCTTGACACGGGGATTGAGGTTATCAGTCCTCGGACCCGGAGGCGCAACACTGACGGGACTTTTACCAGACTGGACGGGTCGTCGCGGCGGGGTAGCTTTGTTCAGTTCGTTGGTATCGGAGGCGCGTCTTGTTTTTTCTTCGGGGTTGTCTCCGTTTTCTCCGTCTGATTGTTGGTCGTGTGGTGTTGATGGCCGATCATCCACGAATTCAGGTGCGTTTCCCAAATCCTCCTGTTGCTGCTCTTCACCCCATGAAATGCCATACGCCTTTGCAATCTCCTTTAGATATAACTCGACCAAGTCCTGTGTCGGCGGCCGCACCCGTAGACTCTTCGCGACTCGTTCCGGTACTTTCACGTGCTCGACTTTATTCTCCTGCGCTAGCGCCATAAAGTCCTTCCCGTAGCGGTCTGCGAGCATGGTCCGGACGATGTTTAGTTCGCGAACATCGTGCGGGAAGCGAGGCCAGGCGTAGAAGACGACTGCGGCGGCTTCGTCGATGGCGGGGTCAATATAACACAGCTCCTCCGGGCTGAGGTCTTCATCTTTGGTAAATTCTGAGCTGGGCTGCGCATCCTCAGATTTCTGTTTCTGCTGCCCACCACCGAAAAACGGGAACCCAAAAAGACCTCTCGAATTCGAACCACTGCTTTTGGTATCCTTCGCCGCAGATCCAGCATCAGCACCCTGCCTCTTCCCAACCTCACTCCTAACCTTCTCCTCCCTCGCCCGACTCCTCGCCCTAACCCCCTTCTCCCCAAACGCAACCTGATCCAACACATTCGCCCTCGCCAGCAACAACTCACAATAAAGCTCCACTATCTCCATCACCTCGACGGCTGTATCTGTGGAAATGACATTTTCGACGCGGATGCGCGCGGAGGCGTCGCGGCCTTCTTCGAGGAGTTGGGCGAGTTCGCGGCGCTGGACTTTTGAGAACGCGGTGTCTTTTTTTTGGAGGAGGCGGAGGCGTGGGACTAGGAGGCGGAGGGAGGAGATTAGTTTTGTCTGTTGTGTTTCAGAGTGGTTAGTTGGGTTTGTTTGGGCTGGTTTTTGGTCTGGGGATTAAGAGGGATGGGGTGCGGGGTAGATAGGTTGGTATAGGTGGGTGGGTGGTGCTCTTGTAGTGAGGGATTGTAATGGACTTACAGTCTGCACGGATGGAGGCATTTTGACCTGCCTGCAGCGTAGAATATGATAGTGTATTCGGTGTTGTTGTTAGTGTTGTCGCAAAGACCAGAGCAAAGGAGGCGGGGAAACTACTCGGGCTAGACCGGTCAAGTGACCTTTTAGGAAACCAACTCTAGACATCATCGCATTCATAACTTCACTCTCTATTTTATATACGCAACTTCACTCTCTTAAAATATAAACATTAAAATTATCCAAAAAAAAATTAAAAAAAAAAAAAAAAAAAAAAAAAAAAAAAAAAAAAAAAAAAAAAAAAAAAAAAAAAAAGGGGCAAAAAAGCCATCTGGCCGAAGAATCAAATCAAATCAAATCCTCAAGTCAATGAATCATCCAAGAATGCTGTCAAGCAAAAAGCTGCTGAAGAAGAAAAGAATAACAAAAAGGTATATAACGAAGTTAATCGAAGCAAAACAAAAGTCGTCAACGTGCGGATACGTTAATCGTCAAGGAAAGTCAAGAATGGACAATGTGACAATATGGAGAAGAGAATGAGTGACCCTCTGGAGGAAGGACTTTACAGCTGCAAGACAGCAGCGCAAACACCCAAAATCATAGCAAACAGCGAAACAGTGGTCGTGGCGGCACCGCTATCACTGTCATCGGTGCTGTCCTGGGTCGCTGAAGGAGTAGGACTGGCTGTCTGTACGGCAGGCGTTGCAGATACAGCTGCAGCCGTTTCCGACTCGATAAAAACATGGGGCTCATATGTATAACTAGCCGATGTGGAGCGGACGCTGGTCGACATACCAATCGAGATACCCAGATCCAGACTTAAGAAGGACGTGTTGCTTGCCGATTGCTGCGTGGTGGTGGAGGCAGTCGAGCTGGTGGTTGACGACGAAGAGCTGGTGCTGGTGCTGGTGCTGGTGCTGGAAGTCGAACTGGAAGTGCTTGTCGGAATAGCCACCGTGGTGGACGACGAGGTATCATCGTCATCGCCAATGAAATCCTTCTCCCAAACGACAATGTTGGCCTTTTCGCCCTTGGGAACGGTCACCACACAGAAGGAGCCACCTCCGGCACCATCCGTGGTAGTTTCACCGGTGATTTCATTAACGCCGTTGCTGCTCGGGTCGATCTTGCAGGGAAGTCCTTCACAGTTGTCGCCTTCACATTGAATCTCAGCACCGAAGTCAGGGACGATGTCACGGAAAGGTGTAGCGGGCTCGAGGTAGATTGGGTTCCAGCCAAGCTTGACAAAGGTACGATCGTCTTTGTCGGTGTTGGCGCCAACCACGTAAGGAGACCAGTTGCCGTATGGGTTGGATGAAGTGCCCCAGGAACAAGCGATTTCGGATTGCACGCCTGGTGGGTTGATATAGAAGCTGACCGCTGTTAGTATTCGATTGTCGAGGTACAATGGCAAAGACAAACTTACTGAGCAGAGGTTTCACACCAGTAGTCGGGGTCTGGGACAGCAAGAGTGGCCAACTCGTTGACCAAGGTCGGGATCAACATGGCCTCATTTCCGGGAAGCACTGTTTGGCAGAAGGAGACTGGCGATCTGCACTTGTTTTGGACACTCACGGCACCAGTTCCGTCTTGACAGTAAGGCCTGTCAGGGAATGGCTTCTGGATCTCTCCGTCCTCATCGCAATAGAGACCGCCATTCTATGCCTGTTAGCTCTCGCTTTACTCCCATATGCAGATTGCAACCCACCATCGACATCGGATAAGAGTACGAGGTGGCCTTAGGGTCCCATTGCATAGACATCTGACCCGGAGGACAAGCGTACGGGCAGTAATTGCCCGGAGTACACGACTCATCCGGACTCATAGCCCAGCCCTCATTGACAGCGCCCGGTGTGACGGCGACCAACCCGGCGTCGGAGGGAAATTTGCATTTTCCGGACTTCTTGACAAGCGACTCCTTCACCTTGCCGTCGCTGTGGATGCGGTCGTGTGCATGATGGTTGTGATGGGCTGCTTCGGCGCCGGCGAGGAGACAGAGGAGCGCGAATGCGCGCGAGGATGTCATCTCGAATCTCATGGTGGGATTTGCGATTTTCGGTAAATATACTCGTTTCGGTCTTTTTATCTTAGGCTATGAGGATGGGCAGATGGGATCGACCGTGATCAACCAAATCGCAACGAACGAAAGACTAAGGTCAGTAAAAAAGCACAACAACAACAACCGCAAAGACCAAAGACTTAAAAGACGACAGAAGAAAAAGAGAGAAGAAACGCCGAAGGAGCAATATAAAAACAAGCACAAGAAATTAAAGAAAAAAGGGACCAGCCCACCTACAAAACCACCTTAACCCAAACAGGACCTAACCTCGAATAACGAATTTCCTAATCGGGCTAATCATGAGGCTAAATTGCCCTATCCATGATTCCCCGCCACACCATTGGCAGGCTATAATACGCTAATCCAGGGGTCTGCCAATGGGGTTTCGCGGAGACATTGCCGATTCATAGGGTTTGTGAGGCTAATCTCCGACAGGCCAATGGGAGATGCCTCCTATCATGGAGCTGTCAGTGTTGTTGTTGATGGTGTTGTTTACTACTATCACGTGGATTGCTTACTTTTGGTTTAACGGTGAGTGAAAGAAACTACGGAATAGGGGTCAGCGATGCACGGACGGGTTTGTATGGACTGAATCGGATGTGACTCGAAGCATAACTCGAGCATCACGGCAATGCGCAGTTCGTATAGCCGGGTAGGATTGGATCATTAAACTAACAGAACAGACAGGGATCTTGCTACCGCCTACCCAGCATGCATACGGACAACTAGACTGTTTGCTCTCCTCATCGACCGCCTCTATCAACCACTTGTCTACTATGTATAGCATAAATCCCTACACCATGCCCAAGGCACCATCAACTCCCCCACGCCAGAACTCTGATCGCCTTACCCGAGACGACGCAAGCTACTCCTACCAACAAATAGCGACGTAACCCACAGCCAAGTCGAATGCACCTGCATAAACCGAAAACTCACGCCCCGGAAGGCCCGCGGGAGACTATTCCAATTATCCGGTGAAAAGGACGATGGGATAATCGTAAATCGTGTGATACACGGCCTCCGAGGAAAATCATAGCCTGCCCTATCATAGGGTCATTCAGGAGTTTGCGCTGGCAGTTTCCGAGGACGTGCTGGTTCGTGCGCTTAAGAGGAGGAAGTATTGGCGTCGTAAGGCTTTGGAGAATGCAAAGGCGAAGGGAGCTGCATGGAGGACTAGTAGCGGATCGGGCCCGGCGCGTGAAGCGCGAGGAACTTGATGGTTCCGTGAGTTGGTACCAGTAGTAGGAGTGGGTTATATTAGCGGGCTTATCGCAATTAAATCCTTCGAGAATTCCGGGTATTCGGATCCTTGATGGTCTGGGTTCTATTGACCACCGAACTTTGAACGCGGATCTATGCGCCGTATCCGATGCGATTCTACCGAGACTAGTCCTTTGTACTTCCGCTAAGGCCTCTATCCTACGAAGTACACGTCCGGAATACATCCGTACATCCGTCAATATACAGTCCAGCTCAGCGCTACTTCTGTCCTTGAACATCCCTCCAACAATCAAAATCATCCCCCCTCCACCCCCAAGCAACACAATAATGCCCCGCCAACAACCTCCACTCCTCAATCTCATCCAACATCTCCAAACCCGCAACCCTCTCCTTCTCCCCCTCACTCACCCAGCTCTCCCATATAAAATCAATATCAGCAGCCGCCTGGCCCCCCTCGAACCCCTGCTCTCTTAGCCTCCTCCGCTGCGCATCCAAACTAGCGTACTTATTCAGCGTTTGCAGATGGATACCCCGCGTCGCGAGGTTGGATACCATTATCCGGCCGAAGGGGTCGTCGGGACGGATGGGTTCGTAGATGATTAGGCCCAATGATGTGGTTGGTGGGAAGATGGTGGTCGTGAAGTGGTGAACGACAGAGTCTGCTTGGTCGGGGGGGAGGTAGATGAGGCAGCATTCGGAGATTAGGAGGGTTGGGAGGGTTGGGTCGACATCTTGAAGCGTGGGGATTGGGTCTGGTGTGGACTTGGATAATGAGCGTAGGTCGAGGGGGTGGATGTGATAGCGGGGTGAATGGAGTGCGTCTCCTGTGTCTGAGATCTTTATGTCGTTTGATACCCCGGGGCTAGAGTCATTTTTCAATGCGCCCTGTAGAGCGGGTGATGAGCGGATAGCCTTGATCTTGGCTGCCGTGTTGACTTGGAAGTCGATCTCATGGTAAATCACATCGGAGCGCGGTGTTGTCGAAGAAAACAATCGGAAAACACGCGTATCTGTGCCTGCTCCCAGCGAAATAATCTGTTTCTTCGTATGCTGTTCCGTATGCGACTCGACAAACCGAGAAACAAGACGATCAATCGCAGTCGTTCGAACGTACGTTCCTATCCAAAACCAATCTCGATTAGCCAACTGCCATCCCACTTCACACTCATCCGCAGAACCACGCACACACCTCGATTGATAATAGGAAACCTCCTTGTCTCTAATCCAGCAGGTGTCAATGGCTGCGCAAACCGATCCTCGATATATCCCAATCGCACTGCGCTCAACCGCGACACACTGGCGTCGTTATCTGTGTTTTGCACCACGCGGTCTTTGGAGGCTGATGATGCGTCGGGGCCAACCCCGCCGCCGCGAGATCGGAGGCGACCTGGACCTTCTCTGCGTCGGAGGCTGTTGAGGTTGGGGATTTGAGGGGCGGACATTTTAGAAGGGGTGTGTGTTTATCTTAGGAATGTGGGAGGTGTTCGTGGGGAATTTTGTGAGGGGAGACCTTTCCCCGCAGCGGTGACATAAGAGGTCGCCCTGAATTGTTGATTCTCTTATCTATCTAGCTACACAAGTCTAGCAATACATTGATATACATAAACTAAACCACTGTCCAACAACGCTTTTATACATAAACAAAGTTGTTCCGACACAGCGGGCAGGTGCTCTGGTTGCTGCTCTTGAACCACCGGAACAGACAAACAGAGTGGAAGGTGTTCTTGCAAGTAGCGCACCGCTTGTTCGGTGTCTGCATATCCGTCGAGATGACCGAGTAACAGATCGCACACTCGCTCTGTCCCTTCAGGGCTCCCTGTACGTTTCGTCGGAACGCCATCAGTCCATCCTCCAGGTTGCCGTTGGCAAACATGATGACTCCTTGGATCGTGAGCAGCCAGCCCTTCCACTTCCTTTCGTCGACCAGGACGCGACTCCGGCTCACGACTAGTGCGGGCTGGAGGGGATAGGCGGGAGGCAAAGAGAGGGAGATTGCGACTGGTGGTGATTCCTCGTCGACTTCGATGCTAGCGATGATCTCTGCTGTCTTGGGGGAAATCTTGACGGCCAATGCTCGCTCCTCGTTGGGGTCTTGTGTCGAGACCCAGTCGGAGACGCCGCGGAGAGAGTCTTCAATAATCAAGGGAGAAATGCATTTCTCTGTCCAGGCTTCCATTGGCCCCTTGATGCGCTTCTTGGCATCAATCCACCAGTTCTTGGTCATGTTGGCCAGGTGCCTCAAGCACAAGAAGTACAGATGGATTAGAAGCCATTGTGTTTCTTTTTCCGCAGTCTCGGCCTGGTCAGGTTCGAATGTGCGAATGTCGAATTTGGAAGCATCGACAATTTTTCCATGTGACTGCTGAAGGAAGTCGAAGATGAATTCAAGCAGCGGAATAAGACCGTCATTTTCCTTGATGTTCGTGACATAATTTTCTTGCAGAGCAAAGGACTGTTGTTGATATTAGCACATGTAGTTATTGATTATACATAGATGAGGAAACATACCGCGTTGGTGAAGTGGTCAAATACCACCTTCCAGCTGAGCAGATAGGACCGGATTCCAGTCCACATCTTATCCTCCCCATCGGAAGTATTGATCGATTCCATCGTTGGGGCTTCCAAAAGCAAAGATAGTAGCTCGAGGGGAAGTTTGGCGGTGGACTTGGACAGCGCGACATCAAACGACACCTGCTCTTGAACCTCTGGAATGTACCGATGAAGCACAATGTAGGCAGCACGTTGGACAGCCCGACTCTGGGCAGTCAAAAGAGGGAATATCTTGTTCACATCTTCCAGGCTCTTGATTGGGATAGTGTTGAGCAAACTGCATAGAAGCTCAACGGTCACATCACGAGGTTTATGGAAAGTGGTTGAGGAGTCTATTATTCACCAAGTCAGTCAGGGAAAAGGAAGCAGACCGGGATTTTGGTACTTACCAAATTTTCTGAGCGTGGATGTCAAATCATTAAAGAGAGTCGTCTTGCGATCCGACCAAGCATCCTTCACATCGTCATTGCTCTCCTCATCGTCCACTATCGACTTCAAGCATGCAAAGAGTCTGTACGAGGCCTCTAGCACCGGCAGACCCTCATCGCCACCACCTGTCTCTCGCCAGGTCGAGCTTAAGATCTCCATGCTATCTTCCCAATGCGAACCATAAATCTCGTTAAGACATGGGAGGACGAAGGTCAAAGTCCGCATAATCTCCGCTTTGAGACCCTGGGACTTGATCTCGGACTGGAGGCATGAGACGAGATGCTTGACTAGGAAGACCAATCGTTGGGTTGGAATGGACGAAGCCACGCTTTGCTCCTCTGCGAAGAGAAGGTTAAGTAGTGCCAATTTTCGAAGACCTATGATACGTTAGCAGATGTAATGACTTTTTCAGGGTTCCTATAGCTACTCACCATCCTTCCGTTCATCTTCAACCTTGAACCCCGTAGAGTCGGCAACGAGTTCATTGCACAGTCGTGTTCCAGCAGGGTTGGATACCACACTTTGCCTTAGAATCCTCATCCAAGCAGCTGAACGAATGACATTTGCAGTTCTTGTGTCCCTGCACAGCTGAGTGACGTCTTCCGGCGATTTGCTTGTCTTCGACGAGTCTGCGCCGGCCATGACCTTCACAAATGCCTCGCCGATCCGGTAGCTCACCGGTGAGTTACCGTCAAGATTGTTCAATTTTCTTATCCAGGATGCGATTAATCTGGATGAAACTGTCTCACCACCGATCTGACTGCTCGACTGTACCCACTCGTAGATCACTTTCCTGCCTTCCTTTACAATCTTCAAGTATTCCTCTCGTTGCTCTGCCAGTTGGATCCCGGTTATGCCGTTGCATTTCTCAATGCTCAGGTCGTCTTCAACAAGCTGTATAGCCAAGGGTAGGTTGTTGAACAACGCCTCAATCTCTTCCGCGCCGAGATGTTCAGTAACTGCAAACGAAGACAAAATTTTTGTTGCAAAATAGGATAGACGGAATGCAGCAGAACAATGACTAGCATCACGCGAGATGCTATTGTACTGTTCCCAGAAGGTCTCGGATAGCTCACGATCGATGAGATGCACTGTGGCCCCAATGGGATTTGTTATAGCAGTCGATGACCGAGGCGGTAGCTGAAGGAATGGTCCCAAAGCCTTCTCCCAGGATTGGGCTGAAGGAAATACGCTCTTTGTCGTCTGGCTTGCTTCCTCGGGTGTTAGGTTTTGCAGCAATTCCTCCGCGATGCTCAGCAAGGACTCGATTCTGTGGGCAGTTAGCAAATATGTCTTTGTCTTTTTAGAAGGAAGGCACCCACGAAAGTGATTCTTCGTTAACGTGATCGAAATTGTGTTGGAGGATTTCGATATTCGATTTGTTACTTGTCTCGCCCACCACATTCTCCTTCAATGTATTGGTCAAAGACTCAGCAAGATCTCCTACTTCTTCGTCACCAGATTCCGAAAGGAAGAGAAGTTTGCCGGCCAGTTTAGAGCCATTCGCTCCACTCTGGAATTTAATTATGGCAGCTGGGATGGACGTAGCGATCTGGGAAAGCCCATGCAAGGTATCAACCACTCTGTCTTCAGCGGACAATGAATCGATCATGGACAAGAAAATAGAGTCCGTCAATTCGCCATGCGAAGTGGGATTCTGAAGAACCGCGATAACAATTGGCCAGTGAGAACCACTGCCCTTGCAAGCTCTGTCTAGTGCCCGCATGACCAACAAGTTCAATCCAGACTTGTCACCAATCTCCTTGAAGTCAAGAGTTGCCAACAGCCTCTGGAGAACAAGTGCGTTCGACTGCTCGGGCTCGAGCTGGATCACTTGCTCGATAATCTTCTCGAAACTAGAACCATATCCATGCCAAGAGCGACAAGACAAGATAATGGTGATTATACGATCAGCGGAAGGCGAGAACAATAGTTCCGGTGCGTCATCTTGAACAAACTTCAAGAGTTCCTTTGAGTGTCGAGCAATCTGCGGAATATGTCGGACTGATTCTTCGACCACCGCAGCAGCTCCATATGGCTTACCATTTCGAGTCCGTAGGACCTGCAAGCAACTGTCAAGGACTGGCAGGGTCGTGGTTTCGAAGACCTTAGAGACTCCGGTTTCGTATTCTGTGGCTGATACCCGCATGAGTGCTGCAGATTCCAAGCCAAGAAGACGCTGGACTTGGGTGCAAATCGTGTCTTGCGATGCTTGGAAATCCTTCGACTGCTCAGGAGAAGATAATTTGACCGATTCAAGCAGGCTGTCTGATAGTCCCGTCCACAAAAGGTGTAATTCATTTTCATAACCGTCCTTGGCCAAGGTAACAATGTAATCGGCACAAACGGATTGGGCCAACTGAGGAGGTAATGACCATCGAGACTGGCCCGGGTCGGCTTTTACATGTTGCACCAATATTGGAGACAACCTTTCTTGAACGAGTGTTGTTCTTTCGGCTTCTGGGATGATTTTCGCCAGCCATATCCCGGTGTCGATGTACGATTTCCACCCTGCTGCTTGGTTCTGTCGAGGCTCTTCTCTGGAACTCAACCCCTCCTGAAATGCTTCCATTAGGGCAATGGCGCTTGATAGCCCAATGCCGTTTTCAGTGGTGGTCTCTGGGCGGATGTCTGCGAGTGTCTTCAACGGGGTGGCTTGCAGTAACTGATAAAGGTTCGACCAGAAAGAGCTTTGTCCACCCTGGGATCCCTTCTGGATGTACTGGAGTAACCTTTTTGTGGGTGAAGTTTTCCCGGCGTAATCTTCTGTCCATAACTGAGGTCTTGCGGATGTTATTTGTAACAACGATTCAGACAACTCTGTTGAAGCTCCAATTTGCGCTATAGACAAGGATTTCCCAATCACGGCCGCACTTATGATTCTCCAGTCAAGTTCTTCGGGGATTTTCGCAACAGCTGACCGAAGAAGAGCATAAAGAGAGCGACGAACAAATGGGTCTTCGTTGGAGCACAGTGACCACAATGACTTGCTACTGAGCAGAATTCCAATTGCAGGAAGATCTTTTTCAAGTTCCTCATGCGGTGTGTTCCCTAAACAAATCTCGAGTCAGAATATACGCAAATTTCTGTCTCCGGAGCGTCGTGACTGACCTATGATGCGGTTTAATAACAAGATTGCTGTTGCTGCCACACGAGCATATTTTGCTTGAGCGTCGTCCGGTTTCACGGTCCGCTCATCACTCAACGTCTGAGGAGTTTGTTGGAGAATGACGTCGTCTACAAACTCAAGAATCGAGCTTTGATAGATCTTCCATACACCAAGTCTCTTCTCGTCCGTTATGAACACTCGCGTGAATGACTCTACAGCAGATCGCTGAACTGGTCTATCATTGTCATAGAGTCCCGCGATCCATGCCCCAATCACCTTGGGTAAATAGCGAGCAATTCGCTTCCCCACAAGAGAGGCTACGGTACCCTGAATCGCATGAGATAGTTGTCTCGCCCTACGAGCAAGGTCAATCGATGCCCGCGGGTAGATTTTGATCTGCAGAAACAGTGTCACTAGGCCGTTCTAGTTTGTGTGTCACAAGGTGTATACATACCCATGCCTCTAGGAAACCATCATCCAGTGTCCCACTACGCGCTTCCACAGAGGATATGTAGTCATTCAAGTCATCTAACGACTTTGTTCTTGTGACTTCATCTTTCTTCAGAAAGTTCTTGAATGCAATTGCCAGTTGCGGCTCCGATATCCGCGAAAGATCCGGCGGTTCGGCCACATATGTTAGGGAAGACGGCTCTCTTCCTGCACCAGATGTAGACGAGAATCCACCAAAGGATCCAAATGTACTGGCTGCAGCACGACTGCTCGAAGCTTGTGACTTGAACTTTTTGCTCATAATGTGGGGGAGTTGGAGTAATGAGTTATGCGTAAAAAGATCGACGGGAATGGGCGAAAAGAAGCGCGGAAATGGCGTGCAGCTAGCCGGTCCTCTCTAAGCAGTTAGACGAGTAGTTTTTCACCTCCAAATAACTCTGCTCAGACCTGATTTGGTGTCTTTCTGGATTGTATCTCATTCCAAGGCGGCGGGGACGACTGCTGGATTAGTTATCGATAGCGGTCACGTGGGCTGGTGTCATCGGATCGCCCAAAGTGGAAAAGGCCGACGCGATCTCGCCGCGGCTTGAGAAAGTGAGAGCTTTGGCTGCTTCTGTCGACGATCTTCGTCCACCGGCCACCATGAAATTCTTCATCGAGTGAGTATCTGTCCTGAGAAACTACTGCGAAAGGTGCCCAACAGCCGCTAACTGTCCTATCTTCCATCAGTGACCTTCCCGTGCTGTTCCCTTACCCTCGTATATACCCCGAACAATATGCCTACATGTGCGATCTCAAAAAGACCCTCGATGCCGGGGGTCACTGTGTGTTGGAGATGCCTTCGGGCACAGGGAAGACTGTTTCCCTGCTTTCGTTGATTATCGCCTACCAGCAACATGGTCCGGAGCATCGAAAACTGATCTATTGCTCTCGAACCATGTCCGAGATCGAGAAAGCCTTGAGCGAGCTGAAAGCGTTGATGGAATTCCGTGCCCAGCAACTAGGATACACGGAAGACTTTCGAGCTTTGGGGTTGACGAGTCGAAAAAATTTGTGTCTACATCCGTCAGTCAAAAGGGAGAAAAGTGGTACAGTTGTCGATGCGAGGTGCAGGAGCTTGACGGCAGGGTTCGTGAAGGATAAGAAAGAGAAGGGAGAAGACGTCGATCTTTGCACATATCATGAGGTACGTACGTGTCGATACTTCATTTCTGATATTCTTACTGATTCGCGCTTGTTTTTAGAACCTAGATCTCCTCGAGCCGCACAACCTCGTTCCGCCTGGCGTATTCACCTTGGACGGACTTCTAAGATACGGAGAGGAGCACAAGCAATGCCCCTACTTCTCGGCACGGCGCATGGTAAATTGTCCCAGAACCTCGACGTTCGTTCTCACTTATGTTTCTGACACGATTGTCTTACTAGATGCCATACTGTAACGTTATCATCTATTCCTACCACTACCTTCTCGACCCCAAGATCGCCGAACGAGTATCCAGAGAACTCTCCAAAGACTGCATCGTAGTCTTTGACGAAGCCCACAATATCGACAACGTCTGCATCGAATCGCTCAGTATTGACATAACAGAGGATTCGCTGCGCAAAGCTACAAGAGGTGCTAACAACTTAGAACGAAAGATACAGGATATGAAGAGCTCGGATGCAGAAAAACTTCAAAATGAATATTCAAAGCTTGTGGAAGGTCTAAGGGAAGCAGAACAGGCAAGGGAAGAAGAACAGTTCATTTCCAACCCTGTTCTTCCGGATGATCTGCTCAAAGAAGCCGTGCCAGGAAACATACGACGAGCAGAACATTTTGTCGCCTTCCTTAGACGGTTCATCGAATACCTCAAAACGCGAATGAAAGTCACTCACACGATATCCGAAACACCGCCTTCATTTTTAACTCATGTCAAGGACTTGACTTTCATCGAGCGGAAGCCTTTGCGGTTTTGCGCCGAACGACTTACTTCGCTGGTACGGACGCTGGAGCTCATCAATATAGAAGATTACCAGCCTCTCCAAGAAGTCGCGACATTTGCGACTTTGGTTGCGACTTATGACAAAGGGTTTCTTCTGATCCTTGAGCCATTTGAATCTGAAGCAGCCACCGTTCCAAACCCGATATTGCACTTCACTTGTTTAGATGCCGCCATTGCGATAAAGCCAGTATTTGAACGCTTCAGCTCCGTCATTATCACTTCTGGAACCTTATCTCCCCTTGAGATGTACCCTAAGATGCTAGGGTTCGATACCGTTATGCAAGAATCATACAGCATGACCCTTGCAAGGCGGTCTTTCCTCCCCATGGTTGTCACCCGTGGATCCGATCAAGCACAGATTTCATCGTCATTCCAAATACGCAATGATCCAGGTGTTGTGCGCAACTACGGAAATCTTCTACTCGAGTTCTCTCGCATTACTCCCGATGGAATCGTCGTCTTCTTCCCGTCTTACCTCTACATGGAGTCGATCATCAGCATGTGGCAAGGAATGGGTATTCTGGATTCGATATGGAACTACAAGCTGATCCTCGTCGAAACTCCTGATGCCCAGGAGTCTTCTCTCGCTTTGGAGACCTACCGAACAGCTTGTTGCAACGGCCGTGGCGCTATCCTTCTCTGTGTCGCCCGAGGAAAGGTCTCAGAAGGAATTGACTTTGACCACCACTACGGACGTGCGGTCCTGTGCATCGGCGTGCCATTCCAATACACCGAATCTCGCATCTTAAAGGCACGTCTGGAGTTCCTCCGCGAAAACTACCGTATCCGAGAGAACGACTTCCTCTCTTTCGACGCCATGAGACACGCCGCACAGTGTCTGGGTCGTGTCCTGCGTGGCAAAGACGACTACGGAGTCATGGTTCTGGCAGACCGTCGATTCCAGAAGAAGCGCACACAGCTCCCCAAGTGGATCAGTCAGGCCATGCTGGAGAGCGAAACAAATCTCAGTACAGATATGTCTGTCGCAACTGCGAAAAACTTCCTGCGCACGATGGCCCAGCCTTTCAAATCCAGGGATCAGGAAGGGATTTCCACCTGGAGCATGGCCGACCTGGAGCGTCACAAGGAGAAGCAAAAGGTGGAGGAGGATAGAGCATGGAGGGAAGAGCTTGCCAATGTGCATCAGATGCAGATGAATGGTGGCCAGAATGGTGGTGTTGTTCGCGAGGAATTTGACGATGATATTGATGAAGATTTTATGGTGATGGATGCAGAGTGATCGTGGTCCACTCTGGGTAAAATAATAATCCTTTTGATTACATTTTGAGCGATGGCTATTAGAGGCGTTTTAGATTTTGTAGCATACTGCAACCAGTGATACCACAATCGTTTAATATTAAAATTGGACATGGGCATCTATTCTCTAAAATCATAAATGAATGACTTTTTTCTAATTTCCGCTAAGAAAACTCCGTATCATATAACACAGGTCAAATACACATAATCGAAATCTGCAAACATATACACAATAATAACAATAGCGTATAGCACATTCAAAACACCATCCACCACCTTACGCCACAGGGGCAAGAACATCAAATCCACCAGTACCAACAGTACCAGAACGACCAGTAACAATCCTACTACTAGGAGAAGCGAGGTTATCGAAATCCCTCTCAAGCACAGCATCCTTCAGGAAACCAACAGTAGTCTCGAAACTCATCTTCGCCAACGGCGACGAGCTATCCTTGACGAGACCATTCCGGTTGAACGCCCGGAAGTCACCAGACTGCGTCATCACATCACCAATCAGGTTCAGATGGCGGTTATCGACGGAGATACTGTGACCCTCGAAAACGTCGGACATTTCACGGACGATAGACGCACGCGCGGCCTCGACACCGTACAGCTTGAGCATGTGGTGGATCGAGTTGGTGTAGAGCGAGTGCGGCTTGATGATGTCCTGGTAGTCGCGCATGGCGAGCAGATTGACACCGTCTGTGATGACGTGCGCGGGCTCGCCCTTGACCGGGTCGGCTTCGACGAAGGTGCAGTCGCCGAGGCCGGGGATGGATTGGATGACGGCGTTGCGGGCGGCGTCTTCGACCAAGGGGAGGAGGAGGAGCTTGGGGGTGGAGATGTCGTATTGGAGCTGGACGGTGCAGGTGATGCCCTTGTTGGGGTTGAACTTGAACTGGGTGACTTCGGCGTATTTACCCTTGATGTCGTCCTCGCGCTTGATTTGTTCGTCTGTGTCGGCATCTTCGTCTGTGGCGTCTGTAATCTCCACGTCTTGCTTCTTGGTCGAGGGAGCGCCGGTGTTGTCGTCGTCGTCTTCATCGTCTTCCGAGGCGTCTTGCTGGCGAACCATGTCTACTTCGTCCTCTTCGGGGCCTTCGTAAGAGACCTGGTTCGACCGGTTTTGGCCACCCCTGGCGCGCTTGGCGTCGTCCTCGTCGTCTTCGACGTCGTCATCGGCGGGTTCGTCTTCGCGGTCAGGGCCCTGGGCCTGCTCGATGGTGCCAACAGACACACCAATCTCAGGCTGGGCAGCGGAGTGACTCTTGATTGACTTCTCGTCGATACGCTTCTTGAGCTCGGCCCGGGTAGACTTGACAAGCTTGGGGATGAACTTCTTCTGCAGAGTGTTCTGCATGTCCTTGGTGTTGATGGCGTATTCCGCGGTGTACTCCTCGGGCGGGAAGAAAGTGACTTCGACATCGTAGACCTTCGCCTTGGCGTAGCCCTGGCCAGCGGCGATTCTCTCCCTGACCTGAACCTTATCGACGACCTCAGCGACACTGAGTTTGCTGATGGCCTTGGCGAATCGCTCAGCCTGTTCCTTGGGGATCTCCTCGTTAAGGATGAGCGTCATGGTTGGCGTCATGATGTTTGCACTAGCAGTCATGACAATTTCACGTAAACGGGGAATACCCAGGGTGACGTTCTTTGCCGAGTGACCAGCCAAATGAAAGGTGTTCAGGGTCATTTGAGTCGAAGGTTCACCGATAGACTGACCGGCGACGATACCGACGGCCTCACCAGGATCCACGACGGACTTCAAGTACTTCATGTTCATCAACGTTTCGAAGGCCTTCTTGCTGATCACACCGTCGACATGGGTCTTCTTGTCGCGCAGAAGCTTGTCAGGGTTGTTGTCCTCGTACTGTATAATTATCCATGTTAGCTATGCGTAAATTCATTTCTTTGAGGAAGGTATCCTTACATCCTTGAGAGCCTGCGAAAACGATTCGGATGTACTTCCGAAGTTGCCTCCTGGGTGATAGTGGGCCAGCACCGGGTCCTTAGCATCAAGCTTGCCTTTACGGACATTCTTCATTGCAGATTTATGCCAATCGGCAACTTCTGATTTCTCCATGTTATGGAAGTCACTCGTAAGATTGACCGAAGACAAGACAGAGCGATGGTTTGAGGCCAAGAAATCGAAGTCTTTAAGGTGCACTTGCTTCGTGATATCAAGACCGTCTTCTCCGTACAAGAACTGAATAATAGACCCGTCGGAGACCTCGCGAACCGAAGTGTCATATTCTGCCTTCAAGCCTTCCATACCCTTGATCAGACAACGCTGCAGATAACCGGATCGAGAGGTCTTAACGGCTGTATCAATAAGACCTTCACGGCCGGCCATGGCGTGGAAGTAATATTCTTGAGGCTTGATACCAGTCAAGAAACGACCACAGACATAACCACCAGCCATAGGGTTCGTCTCGAATGCTCTGAACGAAGGTAGGGTTTTTCCACTGATCATAACAGGCACACGACGACCTTCCAAAACTTGTTGACCGAGGTTGCAAGAAATCAGGTTGGCGTTGACACCGGAACCCTTGGCTCCGGAGATTGTCATCGACTGCATTTGGTTCCGCGGGAACTGCTTGACTAGACCCTTTGGAAGACAAGCCGCCGTAATCTCGGAGGAGAGCTTAGATGTCCTAGCGTTCGTAACACTATCCAGGCCGCCTTGCTTCTCATCATCACGAAGAACCTCTTCCAACCGCCGCTGCAGCTCAGCATCCTCGTCGGGAATCTTGGTCTGATCCAGAGTCACATATTTCAGTGCAACCTCACGACCAATACTTGAGGCATGGCTAATCTTTTCCTTGCGGACACGATCGCCCTCCTTGGTCAACCGAAGATCGTCGATACCACAGGTGAATGCGCGCATGTTCAAGAACCTTGTCAAGAGTCGTCCAAGAATACCGATTAATCTCCCCGCAATTTCATGTCCGTAGATCTCGTGAATGGAATCAATCAATCCGCCAGCGGTAGGTCCAACTTGTTTCTTATCGAGGATACCACACAGCATTTCACCATCCTTGAAGATAACGGTTCCTTCTTCATTGCCCTCGCCCCATCGGTCGCCGGGGGTGGAAGACTTGCTCTTCAGATTCAGACCAGCTCGGCCTGGGGGCATGATGTTCTTAAGGATCGTGGTGATAATCTGCTTTCCGGTCCACAGGCGCTTCGGACGAATCACAGTCGGACTCACGAGTTGAATGCGCTCTGTGATCGTGTGAGAGTTTTCTGGTCTCAGACAATTATACAGCAACTGGTGATAATCTTCTTCATCAAAGAAGGAATCCCGGCACGTGAACCAAGTTCCCATCGAGATATGGTCCTGAATAAGACCTCTCAGTGGTTTACCCGATGTTGCAACGAGGTATTGGTGGTTTGCGTCGGCGAGCATCATAGCCTCGGATCGTGCAAGCTCATTTTGCGGGAAATGCATGTTCATTTCGTCACCGTCGAAGTCTGCGTTGTAGGTATTACAGTTGGCGTAGTGCATCCGAATTGTTCTTTCATTAGGGAGGACCCGAGCCTTGTGACCCATGATGGACGGCTTGTGAAGCGTAGGCTGACGGTTCATCAGAACGACATCACCAGTGGTAAGATGGCGGTAGACCTTCTTGTTTCGAGACCCCTTCATCCGCCAGTTCGAAGGAGCAAGAAGCTGGTTCGCAAGAGCTGTCCGCTCATCCAGACTCTTGAATTTGAGGTTGGTGACCTGGCCCATTTCGTTCTCAATGGCAGCGGCACCAGGGTACTTGTCCGGTCCGTTGATGACTGCTTGCTTCATCTCCCAAAAGTTATGGTTGGTGACAGGCTCAGGATAAGTCAACTTCTTGGCGAACACAAGCGGGACACCGATTTCGTTGGTTTCAATGTTGGGATCCGGTGAAATGACACTACGGGCGGCAAAGTTGACACGCTTACCCATCATGTTCTTTCTGAACAGACCCTCTTTCTTTTCCAGGATCTGCTTGATACCGTTGGGAGCACTCGCTGCTGCCGGACCCGAAAGACCGCTACGATCGCGGTCATGGAGACCATTGACAGTGTCCTGGAGCTGCACGATAGCATGGAGCAGATCACGGTAATCCCGCATCCGGGTGACAGAATCGGAACCAGAACTCTTCCTTTCCTTGCTAATCTGGTTGATGATGTCGCAGTTCTTCAGGATCTGTGTGAATGCTGTGTTTTGCTGCGCCTCCATGATCAAGCCGGGTCCCTGGGCGGCAGCTGGACGGTACTTGTTCGGTGGCACCAGGATGTTCTTGATGAAAAACATATCCGCGCTGACCTTGGACTCACCCTTCAAAATAGGTCTGGAGCTGTACACAAGGTTCAAAATTTCTCCTTCCTTCTCAAAGAGCAGGGCCATCGCAGCATGGACCTCAGGCGAAGGCATGAACTGCTGGGTCTCGCCTGCGGCTTGCTTCTGCTCGTCGATCTGGGTAACAACAGCATTACCACGAGCCACCTCTTCTTCCGCGCCCTGGAGCTCGTCGTTGGCATGTGCTTGCTTCTCTCTCAGGTTAAGGCTCTTGGCCTGCTGGAGAAGGATCAGAGAATTAGGAGCCTGGAAACCAGCTTGCAGCATCGCGAGTCGGGACTTCTCGGCCAGAGGCTTGCGGAAGATCTTCGAGTGTCGGTCTCTCCGGTATCCTGGCGAAATACTTGTCCAATGTCAGCGGCTGTACTCCCACGTTGAAGATTATCGGATATTTAGGCGTCAACGTACCCGCTGCAGTTGGTGCACTTCTTGAAGCTGACAATGTCTTTGAAGAATTCCTTGACCACTGTCCGTCTCTGCTCCGTCGCAATCGGATTCTTTGCGCCAGCCATCAGGCTCTTTAACCTGCCGGACGCCTGAGCTTCCCGAATGCACTTCTTCACATAGGTATTTCTGCGTTCAATCAAATCCTCCTCGTCTTCGTCCTCGCTGTCCGAGCCTTCATCTTTCGACTTCTTCTTGTCCGTTTTTCCGGTTCCCATGGAGTCGATAACACCGGCTTCGTCGACCAATCCATACTGTAGAAGCCGCAGCTTACACACGTAGGCATTGATTTGAACGCGGGACATTTGGAAACGATGGCAGTAGATACATTGCGCCCGGATTAAGCGGAAGAGCTGGTCGAAGAACGTAACGTTATAAACGTGAAGGGGCAGTTCGACATGTCCAGGATGACCAGTACAGGACCAAGAGTTCAAGCGACATGTTGTGCAACTAGATGCAATTAGTCTCTCATCACGTACACTGCAATAACAGCAGGTCCGGCAAGACCACCAAAAGCAGAAAGATACGATTGAACCGCAAGAAAGTGCACTTACACATGGTCACCCCATGCGCCTAGAGCTGGATCATAAAGACCACCTGGAACAGGGTTGTTGAAGGTATCCAATGTCGGAGTATTATGGATTCGCTTGACAGAGATAGCTTTGACGTCGTCGTTGGAATAGACGCCAAAGTCGATACCTCCAATCGAGGAGGCCACAGGACGTGCGAAAGTCGCCATGGCTCCCAGAACTGCCTGGCGCGACAGAAAAAGACTTCTTGTTTTCTTGAATAGGCCTGGAGGACGAAAAAGCCGATCTCCAAAAGACCCGGCGAAAAATTAACCCAAGAACTTTTTTCTGCTGTGCGCCACCGCCTTCAGTCCACTTCGGGAATCGGCCTGTGATCTCAACCTTGAGTTCTCCTGCACTGCACCTATCCCACTGAGTCCCTCACAGCGCGCTTATATATTCCTTTCCGACCTCATTCTTTATATTTGAGCGCATTTACTAGCTACGGACTGGGATCTGTGGGTGAGTGATTTCGACACGAGCCATGGACGTGTCAGGCAACATGCTGAAGCGGCCTCATCCCGAGGACGAAGAGAACAATACACAGAAGAAGAGCCGCTCCAACGATGGCTCTCCAACGCCGGCCCAGGGAGGCTCTGCCGGCGGCAATGTTGACTTGTCAAAGATGCTGGCAGAGGCAAAAGCAAGAGCAGATGCTATACGCGCACGGCTTGGGCCTGTGAAAGGCGCATCTCCGACCACCACATCATCAGCAGAGCCTACTCCCAGTTCTACTCCTCCCCCAAACCCTGCCATGTCTAGATTGGAACAGATGAAAGCTAGAGTAGCAGCAGCTACCGAAAAGGCCAATGCAGCGGCCCAGCAACGGCCAAGGGCTCCCCCTCCTCCGTCCTACCCGCCTCCGGAAATTGAAGAAGACAGCACACCGAAGGCTAGAGGAGGATTGGATGTTGGCTTACACCCGGCTTTGCTTTCAGATTTCTCGGCGGATTTTCGAGGCGCCAAAGGACGACAATCCCAAACGAAAGGCGCCAATCGACGTACTGATTCCCCGATGCCTGCGAAACAAGGACTTGATCTTTCGGGTCCGTCTCTGGAAGAAATCAAGGATAACCCGTATTTTGATCCGAGTCTTGGCCCGAGGACCACGATTGCGAAGCCGCGGCAGTCGAGACAACTTGTTTTCAACCAGAAAGGGAAATACATACAACAAGCAGCTGCTCTACGTCGGCAAGCTCAGCTTGAGGCTATGAAGAAGCGTATTGCGGAACGGACACGACAGGCGGGTATCGATGAAGATTTGGACGTCGAAAAAGCGTTCCTTGTTCCCGCGCCGCCCGCGGTTGAGTGGTGGGATGAAGGTCTGGTGAACGGAGGTGACTACTCTGCCATTGAAGACGAAAAGAATGTGAAGATCGACACACCCGATACAATTGTGACTGCTTATATCCAACATCCTGTCCTCCTTGACCCTCCACAAGAGAAGCATATGCCCCAACAAAAGGCCATGTTCCTCACTCCCAAGGAACAAGCCAAGATTCGTCGACAGCGGAGAATGGCCGATCTGAAAGAGCAACAAGCGAAGATCAGATTGGGTCTTGAGCCAGCACCGCCACCAAAGGTTAAGAAGTCCAACCTGATGCGGGTATTGGGTGAACAAGCCGTCAAGGATCCTACTGCCGTCGAAGCCCGTGTGACTCGCGAAATTGCCGAGCGTCGCGAGAAACACGAAGAAATGAACGCGGAACGTAAATTGGGCAAAGATGAACGCCGGGAGAAACTCGCAACGCAGCAAGAAAAGGACGCAGACAAAGGTATTCATGTCTCCGTATATCGGATCGATAACCTTGCGAACGGACGGAACCGCTTCAAGATTAGCAAGAATGCTGAACAGCAAGCTCTCACCGGCGTCTGCGTCATGCATCCTAGATTGAATCTGGTAATCGTCGAGGGCGGTGCCCACTCAATCAATGCCTACAAGAAACTCATGCTGAACCGGATCGACTGGGGCGAGAACCCTGGTTCCAATGGTGCCCAAGAGAACAAAAGTCGCGAGCCTCTCGCGTCGTGGCTAGAGGCTGAGGATGATAAAGGGAATCTGAAGGATCTCAGTACTAATTCCTGCGATCTTCTCTGGGAAGGTCAAGCTAAAGGCCGTGCTTTTAGGAAGTGGCTGGGAGCGCGTGTTTGCGAAAGCGATTCGCAAGCTAAGGATGTCCTGGCTAGAGGGAAGATGGAAAACTTCTGGGTTCTTGCTAAAAGCGCGAAGACCAATGAGTTCTGAGGGATCAACTCGGACGGTCCTTGTATGTATAATAACCGTAATTGATTCATTCATCATGCTCATATACAATCGAGCAAATGCTGGTCTATGATCTCTGTACAAAGTAGAAAAAAACTTTTATTCATCCCAAAGCAAAACCACATGACATAACCCTGCTTGCTCCTTAGAATGCAAACGTATTAGGTCTAACATAAGCATATCATCAATGTACTGTTACTGCGGAGGACGAGGCCCTTGGCCTTGGTTCCCATTACCCCATTGCTGTAAGAGATTCAATTGCGCTCTGACCTGGTCGAAATTTATCGTTGGAGATTGATCCACGGGTCCCGGTACCTGAGCTGGTGCCTGCTGAACTTGAGGCTGCTGCTGCAGATACTGCTGTTGATATTGTTGACGCTGTGCCTGTTGCTGCTGCAAGGCAGCTAGGACCAGTTGCGGATTGAATTGCGGATTCGGAGGCATCTGCTGATAAGGGTTTGCTTGCTGCTGGATGCCCTGTAGGTACGGCATCTGGAACTGGAATGGTGTCGGCGATTGGGCCTGAGGGTAGGGCTGTTGTTGTTGTTGTTGTTGTTGTTGTTGTGGGAAGTTGAACGGGGGGTATTGTTGGGGCATTCCGAATGCGGGCTGCTGGTTTTGTTGGTGGGGAGGTTGGGTGTAGGGTTGTTGAGGTTGAAGTTGCTGCTGAGGCTGGGACTGGGGCTGGGAGGCATGGGAATAAGGCCGACGGTCGTGATACGAGCCCTGGTCGCGTGGTCCACCCCTGCCACGACCACCACGGCCACGATCAGAACCTCTGCCTCGACCTCTGCCACCGCGGAAGCCTGACCCTCTTGTTGCGGATGGTCCGTCACCCTCGACTGGCGCCTCTCCTTGACCCATGATCTCGTGTAGATTCTTGGGGCGAGCAAGCGGGGTGTAGCCATCTTCGCCGGCATCGTCGTCGTAGTTAAGCTCGGTCTGGTTGAGCCTCGAAGGGCCTGGCGGACCTCTTCTACCTCTTGCAGGTCCGCCATCGCCACGCCTGGCGTCTTTCTTCTCCTGCCGCTTCTGTTTGACTTTCCGCTTGTAATCGGCCTCTGCTTCGTCGTCTGAGAATTCGACTTCATCCTCTGCAATTTCTTCGTCGTGGAAGTTGGAGGCATCGCTTCCCTTCATGCCCTTGAGAGGCTGGGTGAAGACGAATGAAGAGTGTTGCTCAACGTAGAAGATGTTCTGCCCTTTGGAGATGCCGCGCTCCTCCATGGCAGCAATACTCTCATAGCGGACTGTATACAAGGGATTCTCAACCCTACCCAGAGTTTCGCAAACCACACCAACGATTTTCCGTTGTTCATCGCATAGCAATGAGCCTCCCTCGAGTACCTGGTATTCGCCCGAGACGTTGGCCTCAATAAGAACATTGTTCTCGACAATGGTCTGGACATGGCCCAGGTGCACAACCTTCATCTCGGGTGTGACTGTGACATCGGGAATCGGCGGTGCATCCTCTAACATTTCGTTTGCCGTTTTGATATGGCCTCCTGATTTGCCTTTCCCATCACCTTCATCGTCAGAGCCAAGTTCTGCCTGCATCAAGATCCGTGCTTGTTCTTCGGCGCTGAGGATAGGGTAATCTTCGTCTTCATCGCTGTCGTCATCGGAGGAATCTGTCGTATCGTCCGAAGATGACTCGTACGGAGACGAGTCCACCTCCCATTCGGGGTGCTCGTCCTCCTCGTTTTGAGCGGCTTCAGTTGTGGGCGCAGCTTCTGCAGCATTTGCAGGGGTTTCGCTAGAGGCGTTCGCATCTGGTAGCTCGTTTGTAACTCCCTCTTGCTTTTGTGCGTCCTTCTGGTCCACCTCCATTGCTTCCCCGGCTTGAGGTACTGGTTCCGGTTGTTGGTTCACTTGTGTCGGCTCTGTCACATCTTGCATAGCTGCAAGCTGTGTTTCAGGCTTCGCATCCGCGATCTCGTTTCCTTCCGTCATATCCGTGTCCTCCGTGTTCTGCGCCGGAATCGGTTCGCTATTCGACTGCAAATCGTGAAGGTTGTCATTGACGAGATTTAACCCTGGAATTAGTGGAGCTGGTTGAGAAGCCGTAGATTCGGTAACAGTGGAATCTTTTGCGACATCTTCTTTGTTTTCATCTTTCTTCAAGGGCGTCCCTGCGTTGAAAGGCGTATTGTAAAAATCGCTGCCATCCTCTCCCGGCGTCACTGCGACGGGAGGCGTCTCGTTCATGGCGCCTGGAACTGGAAGGCCAGGTTGTTGCTGGCCACTCATTCTACTAAAATCTGGAATCAGGCGAACTATTGAGAATAACTCGAAAAGAAAGAAAAAATCACTAGAATAGACTGGGTGAAAGTGAAGGGTTACCGTAGGGGCGTAGGAAAAAAAAAATTAAGATAAGATATGGAACTGCGGTAGTTGCCGAGTCGGCCACCGGACAAGCTCCTCCGCAATAATGATGACTTCCGATGGACTTTCTTCACGGCATTCTGCTGGTATCAAAATTGATCAATTGAAATGCCGTCTGCAGGCTCATCTGAGCAGGCTGCGCCGCGCAAGAAGAAGCAACGGTATGACTGTGGCTGTCCCCATCGCATATGTTCTCTGGCCAGCTAACATAGAGCAGCGCCGGACCAGCACCGTTCTACTTGCCATTGAATATAACGCTCTACGTGTTCCTCATATCGAACTCAATTGCCGCTTTTCTCGCTCCGATCCAAGACTGTGACGAGGTCTTCAATTTCTGGGAACCCACGCATTACGTCGACTACGGATACGGGCTTCAAACATGGGAATATTCGCCGGTTTATTCGATCCGAAGCTGGCTATACATTTCTCTCCATGCCCTCGTGGGGAAGGCTGGCTCGTTGCTATTCCGTGATAAGATCTCCGCGTTCTACGTCGTTCGTTTCGCTTTAGCCGTCTTCTGCGCCTCCTGCGAGACAAAGCTGTACTCAGCAGTTTGCCGAACCCTGAGCCCGAGAATTGGACTTCTGTTCCTCATGATTGTCGCCTTCAGTCCGGGCATGTTCCATGCTTCTACTGCGTTCCTCCCGTCGAGCTTTACTATGTATACGTCCATGCTGGGCTTGACTGCTTTCTTGGACTGGAGAGGCGGGCAGAAGACAGCGCAGGGTATTATGTGGTTTGGGCTGGGTGCGATTGTCGGCTGGCCATTCGCTGGAGCGCTGATTATTCCGCTTTTGCTTGAGGAATTCGTCATTGGATTTCTTGCGGGCTCTCTCAAGAAAGTGGTTTTCAGCGTCGTTGATGGGGCTTTGCGGTGTCTAGCCATTCTGGTATGCTCACTTTCTTTCTCAGGAGCAATTATCTTCCATTCGTACTGACTACTTTCAGGCCGCCGAGGTCGCTGTTGACTATGTGTTCTTCCAAAAGTTTACAATCGTCCCGTGGAATATTGTCGCGTACAACATTTTCGGGGGTGAAGGAAGAGGCCCTGAGATCTTTGGTACAGAGCCATGGACGTTCTACATCCGGAACTTGCTGCTTAACTTCAATGTCTGGTTCATTTTTGCTATACTGGCTGTGCCGCTGCTTGCCTTCCAGGCAATCTTCCGGTCTCAAGCCACCAATAAGCAGACGATTCTACGAACCGTTACCCTTCTCACACCGTTCTACATGTGGCTCAGTATTTTCATTGTCCAGCCTCACAAGGAAGAGCGCTTTATGTATCCCGCATACCCCTTCCTTGCTCTCAATGCCGCCATTGGCTTCCACATGCTCCTCTCATTTATCGGGTCTAGCAACCCGAAAGAGCTAATGGGGCGGGTGCCTGCCCAGTTCAAACTTTCTGTGGTCCTGTCGGTGGTTCTTCTGTCTATCAATGCAGGCTTGCTGCGAACCGTCGGTATGATCACTGCCTATAATGCTCCTTTGAAGGTGTTTGAACCGTTAGAAAAGACGGAAGTCCAGGCTGGCGAGTCTGTCTGTTTTGGCAAGGAGTGGTATCGATTCCCGTCGTCATACTTCCTCCCCAACGGTATGCGGGTGAAGTTTATCAAGAGTGAATTCAAGGGACTTCTTCCCGGAGAGTTCCCTGAAGCTGCTGATTACCCCGCTCTTTCTGATGGTGCATCACGAATTCCCACTGGAATGAACGACCGCAACGAGGAAGACACTGGCAAATACGTGAGCACTCCCTTCTATTCGATATCTGCATCAAAATTGAGCTAATTCATGAGCAGGTCGACGTCTCTCAATGCTCTTATCTGGTTGATTCGTATTTTTCCGGACGTGAAGCAACCGAGCTGGAGCCGCATTACGTCGAAGACGAGTCGCAGTGGGAGAAACTCTCCTGCAAGAAATTTCTTGATGCCTCCCGGACTGGTCTCTTAGGTCGTTTGATCTGGATTCCTGATCTCCCGATCATCCCGGATCGCTTCCGTCGACATTGGGGACAATACTGTCTTCTCAAGTGGCGTGATGCTGGTGAGAAGGTGTAACGTAGTCCACGGGCGAACCGCGGACTTCTGTATTCCATATAAAATGGCACTTTTTATACCTTCAATATCTCAACTGCAAGGTATCTACAGAGCCTAAAACTTAGTATATAGAGTATTATGATACTGAAATGATATACACTGAGCAGAAAGCTTCTACAGATAAATGTTTCTCCAAGTAATATAAATTACCATTGTATTTTTTTGTATCTTTCAATATTCAAGCACCTATAGCTACAAAAAGCTACAAAATCTTTAAAAAAGTAATATACCTTCTTCTAGTGTGTTTACATACTCTTGTCTTATAAATAAGCCTCTATATCTATTGGTGGCTGAGATATTGAGGTGATAGAAAGTGCCATTTTATATGGAATACAGAAGTCCGCGGTTCGCCCGTGGACTACGTTAAATATTTGGTTAACATTAAGCCTCACAGCGTAAATATCATCAAAAATATACATTTAGGAGCTGGCATCGCCAAACTGCTACTCAAGCAGCCGTGTTTGGCTGGTCTTGCCCTGGAAATTAGACCCAATGGGCAATCACAGCATGCTGTTTTAGACTGCCAGTGCTTTAACGGCGTTGCGCCCTCATCCAGGCCCAACTGCCGTGCATACTCATGTCCTCGGTAAAACTGCTTAGCTGCCTCAGTAGATACTGAGAGAACATTGAAGTACCTCCGGAGGTTGACATGCCCGGTCTTTGATCAAACTCATCAATAGAATGTTGTGTACACCCAAAGGTGATACTCAATTCATAACCCTCTTCTTAATAAAAAGACTCAAAGCAAACCCCAACCCCCCAATCCCCGTCAACAAAGCCATAACCGCCTGAAACCCCAGCGTAAAATCATCCTGAATCATCTGCCTCATAACCGGCTTCTGCCCGGTATCCTGCATATCCCTCAACTTCTGCGCATACGCCGTGGCATCCGTCGCAATCCACCCGGGAAGCCCATCATCCGCCAACCGATCCTTCAACACATTCTGAAACATTGTACCCCCCGTAGCAACACCAAGACACATCCCAAAACTCCGCAAAAAGCTATACACCGACGTAGCAACAGCAGCATCATCCTGACTACAAGTAGCCTGCGCAGCGAACAATCCCGGCCCCAAAAGAAATCCGTGCCCTACACCCGCAATAATCAACAAAATCACCCAGACCGCGGCCTTGGTGTCTGATTCGAGGAGAATAAGCAGTCCGGACGCGAGTGTTGTGAGTGGCCAGCCGATCCAGAGGCACCAGCGGTATCTGCCTGTGTGGGTCATGAGGATTCCGGCGATGACGGAGATTGGGAGCATGCCGGCTGTCATGGGGAGACCGCTTAGGCCTGTTTTTAGGGGGTCGAATAGTTTGACGCCTTCGAGGTAGATTGCGACGTAGTAGGCTTCGGCGAAGAGCTGGAAAGGCTTGTCAGTAATTCCTTCTATGATGCGAGTGGTGGTACGTACAATCAGCCCTTGAAGCATCCCACAGAGATACGCCGCTGTTGTTCGAAAATCCTCAAAGATCCAAATCCGCAAGAATGGGTTCTCGGTCCCCCACTTCTCCCATACAATGGTCAAGACAATACCCGTCAACCCTAAGAAGATCGGAACAAGAACTTGGGCCGAATCCCAATCATACTGGACACCTCCCCAAGTAACCCCGATCAAGAAACTGGTCGTACTACCAAGGAACAGCCCACAACCAACAAAATCCAGCCGCCGCCACTTTGATAGAAACGAACCTTTCGTCGTCGTCCCAGAAGACCCTTCAGGCCGATACAACAACGGAACAGCCACCAACGAAACAGCACAAATAGGAAAATTAATATAAAAAATCCACCGCCAAGTCTTAGGATGCGCGCATGCACCCCCAATAACCGGTCCCGTGACCGTCCCAACAGCCCAGGCAACTTGTATCGCGGCCCAGTACCGCGGCCGTAGACGCAGAGGGACGATATCCGTGAAAATAGCCAGCACCATGGAGAAAATGCCTCCTGCGCCGATACCTTGCACGGAGCGGCCAGCGAGAAGCTGCGGGAAAGCGTGCGCAGAGCATGCTATAGCTGTTCCGACGGAGAATACTAAGATCATGACGATGAGGAGATCCCGGCGTCCGAAGATCTCGGAGATGGCTGCGACGACGGGCTGGCAGACGGCGTTTGCGAGGAGGAATGAAGTTCCTGCCCAGAATGCATCGGTGGCGGTTCCGTTGAGGTTTTGGGCTAGTGTCTAGATATGAGGATGCTTGTTAGTGGGTTTCTATATAAGTGAGGGTGCCATATCATACTGGTAGTGTCGGGATCAGAATTGTAGCATCAAATGCCGCCATCAACGATAATAACGTCAGGCTTCCAATCAGAAATAACTCTGACTTAGATGCATTCCAGTCATTGTGGTCCTGGAGTGCTGTCATTATGCAGCTCAGCACACCTTCTTGCAACGTTGGTGTTGAAGTTGAGCATGAATCTAGAAAACCATGTTATTGTCGCATCATACTCGGGCCATGGCTATCCTCCGTACGGGGTATAGCTTTCCCGTTTTACGGACTAGCTCACCCCTATCCCAATGGCTTGGTTGATCCATAGCTGAGGATGTCAGACTCAAACGAGAATGCAGATCTTCAGCCGCAGCGGGATATCTGAACGGTGGAGCTGAAGGCACGTTCTATTGAACCTAATAATATGGCACCTGGATTATTAGATCAATTGTTGTATCCGCAACTGTTAACTTATAGACCGTTCGGCCAAAAAGGTACCAAGGTAACTAGTTAACTATTATGTAGTATTATTACATTATATACAGGGGGTATGCCCTATTAGCGTACGCATTGATTCGTTTCCGACCACAATTATTGAACCGACTTGCGTCGAAACAGAAGAAGCCTGACCATCAATCGTAACCCAACCGACCCAACCATATCAACCAACGACCGCTTCGCAATCTTCTTAAACACCCAATTAAAACACAAATAGATCGCCATCATCTTCCCCAGCTTTTCAACCATCTCCTTTCCGTTATAGAATATCGCATCCCGAAAACGCTGCTGGAACACCGACACCCGATTCCCTGTCGGATAAGGCTGCGGTGGAACAGGTTGTCCAAGGAACTTGCACAGGGGCTCCCAGCCTTCACTGACTTTGTATACCAGCAAGTTCTCGGGAGGGACCATCTCCTTCACAGAGGCATAGTGGGCTTCGAAAGCTTTGCGTCCGTTTGCTTCGAAGTTGTCGTTGAAGTAATGTGTCCAAATTTTTGTCCATGTTGGTCGCAGCCAGCGGGTATGCATGACAAACACGTTCTCCAGGAGTTGCATTAGTGGGAATAGGGGGTGGAAGAGAAGTGGTTGGAAGGTTCTTTTCACGGAGCTATTGATGGTTAGTACGGAGTACTTCGTTCTGTCTAGCTCGCGGGATAGACACTCACCTATGCCATTCATCGACATCCCTCTCCGTGAGTATGACCTTGGCTTCAGGGTATGCTTCTATGAGCTCTTTCGGGAAAGCAGCAGCCGGAAAGTCACAAACAGCCTGGTCCATGTTAGATATTTTTTTTTTCCGAAATCTCGTTGAAATGCAGAGCTTACCTGACAATTACCCAACAACTGGTCAAAGTCCTCTCGGCCAAATTGTTTCCCAACACCATCGTATTTGGCTCGAAGTGCTTCATACCACAACTCGCAATCTCGAGGGTTCTCCAATGCAGCCATATAGCCATGGTATGTATCATTGTATCCCAGTGCCCTCAGAGCCTGTCTCAACGCTGCAGTGTTCGTCAGCTTCAATTCCGCAAGCCCATGTAAAAAAAAATAATAAATAAATAAAACTCACAATCAGTCCCTGTGCGACAGAGTCCAAGCGCCAGGACTTTCATGGGAACTTGGCGCTTTCCATGTCGCCGATCAAGTCTGGTAACCGTCTTGACGACATCGTGGAATTGGTAAGTTGCCATGACTGCTTTTAGAGAAATCGAGGGATCCGGAGATATTGAATGAGTGTGTTATTCTGTCAGGCAATTCCGGGCAGTATTTATTCTCGATTATACTCCGTAGACGGGAGACAGTTCCGTCTGTATTTGGCTATGCTGGACTAGTCAGTTCGTAGATCCACTTCTCCACTGAGCTGAAGATTTGCTCCCTAATACTAGGTACATATCTGCAAGCCCCTGATTCTCATGATTTCACGAACCTGCCCAATTGAACTCTACTTCAGCCATCCTCGTTGGATTTTGAGGATTAGCATGTCGATCATAGCAAACAGTACCACCCTTTGTCTTGGCTACTGCCGGTGCCCGCAGACGCATACGTAGTCAATGTCTTTAAACCCGGGGAAATCTTTGAATTGAATGTTTCTTGTTCAATTATTACTCCCAACGGCTCAAATCCGATTTATTGCACTTTGATATTCCTATCACGGTTATTGCGATACTTCAACATGGCAGACACTCCATTCGAAATCGGACACATCCAATCGTTTGCAGAGCAAACCGTCTTCCTCACGGGCAGCACTGGTGGCATGGGAGGATGTCTTCTGTACAAGCTTGCGGTACAGCTTCCTACAAAGAAGATATACGTTCTGTGCCGTGGTTCCAAAGAAAGGGCAATAGCAAAATGGAGGAAGAGCATGGACAACTGCGCCAACGCTATTCTCGCGACTAAGAAGATCGTGTTTGTCTTGGGCGACATTGTACTGCCCAATTTCGGTCTCAACGAGCATGATCTCGAGAATATGCGCCGTGATACAACAGTCATCATCCACTCGGCCGCGAGTATCGCGTTGAACAGTGAACTGGACGAAGCAATTGAGCAGAATTGCCTACCTTGCTTGGAACTCGCACGAATGGCCACGTCCTTTCCCAAGCTGAAGCTTCTCGTGCAGACGTCCACCGCATACGTCAACACATTCCTTCCAGATGGCAAAGTTCTTGAAAAAATTTACACCGATGTCGCAGACCAAGATCCCGAACAGGAACTGCAGCACATCCTGAAAACCGGAGACCACCCCAACACCACCCAATACACATGGCCGTATGCGCATTCGAAACACCTCATGGAGCGCCTCTTGCACCACCGACACAGCAACCTTCCAATCCTCGTTGTCCGGCCGAGCATCATCGGACCAGCGATTCGTCACCCATTCCCTCACTACGGCCCTCCCGGTTCGAACCCGGCATCCACTTTTGTCCGCGTTTTCCTGTCCAGTGGCTCAGAACCGATGGTCTTCCATGTGCCCAAGGGCCAAACAAGCGGGACAAACATCCTAGACGAAGTCCCCGTCGACTGGGTCGCCAATGTCGCCCTGCTGCACATCGCAGTTGGGTCTGTTGGAATCGTACACGCAGGAGCGCAGCTATATGCCCCTCGCACACTAGACGCTCTCCTAGGCGCCATGCAAGACAATGCTAGAGAAATTGCTCGACGGCAACAGCTTCCGACAATCATTTTCTCCTCCGATCATTCCATCGAGCAGTGCTTTTTGGCGGAACTGTTTCGGATCTGTGCGAGGAATTGGGATTTCGATTGTCAGCGCTCATCGCGGTTTAAGGAGTTGACGGGGCCGCTTAGTTTGAGGACGGATGGACATGATATGATCAAGTTCATTGACAGCCGAGTGCGCATGATTGCTAGTGAGGTTTTGGCTGCTTCGCGCTCTGCTAAACTGTAATGTTGGATGTCTTAGAATGTTCGGATAACGTTTAATACCCCTGTATATAACATAATCTAATAAGTCAGCCAGTAAGTCCAAGTCCTGCAAATACGAAGACTTTCAACGTTGCATGTGGCACGACAGCATATACTTCCGAATTAGGAAGCCTGATCCCTCCGCGATATCAAGAGATAAGCATCTCCGCACGACAATCCCGAAGTACACTGTCACCATTCGGTCTCAGGTGCATGACACTTGTAACGGACGCACGACCGCATTTGATTAACGTGATAGGAAAGACCTTATCGATATGATCATGTTACACGCCGTTGCATACAATAACGGCACAACATCTCTGTACTTATGCTCAATGAAATGTTCATTTCTTGAATCTCCTCTTCATAGTCAGAATAATCACTGTTGCATCCCGCAGAATGGCATCACAAATCCTTGATTCCGGTCAATATCACCTCAAAGGCGTGGCCTTGATAGGTCTCATAGTCGCCGTCTGTATCTGGGTCGTGAACAATATCCTCAAGAGATGGAAGACTAAACAAGAATCCACTAGACCCTCGACACCGGACCTCAAGAAGAAGCCGCTAGGATCGAAGTTCAGAAAGTCGGATAGGAAGCCGGGAGGTATGCATTGTCCTCGGTTAAGTACATAATTTGGTGTACACAACTAACTGTTGTGAATAAGAATGGACGCCGTCCAATTTCAAAAGACCAACAGCGGCGCCGTACCCGAATTGGGACGTTCATACAGCAAAGCCTATACCGTATCGGCCATTTCGATATGGGCCGTGAGTGCCCTGCTGTCAGGTTCTGGAATCAGGTAGCTCACTATGTGCAGAAAATACTTTATCACTATGGGGTTACGAAGTATGAAGTGGGACGAATGGATAGGTAAGACAAGCATGCGAGTATACAAGGACACTTGCTCACGGAACAGAACTTGATAACCACTATTTCCGCTACCATGCCGACAAAACCCGTCGAATCAAAGAACGAGGTCCAAAGAGTTGCATGACCGCCCCAGAGGCAATGGACGGAGCAATCGAACTTCTAGAAGAACTGTGAGCCCCCATCCCGCAAAACCATTAGGGCAATCTAACACCACCCACAACACCAGCTGCACCTACCTCCCCGAACGCTATCCCACCATTTTCCTCAAAACCCCCACCGGAATAACAAACCTCGCCACAAATGAATGTTTCAACATAGTCCAACGCCCCCTCCCTGAAGACCCCATGGCCACCTCCGCCCGCCTAATCCAAGATGACCTAGCCCTAATGATCGAGCTCCCAGACGGCGACTACTACCTCCTCGCTGGCGCAATCCTCCTCCCTGGTTTCTGGCGCTTGCAGGATAAATTCGGCATGCGGCTTTCGGAGATACATACCTCGGGTGATGTTCCGCAGTATAAGGAGAAGTTGGAGAAGGGGATGATGAATTTCTTCCGGAAATTGAGGCCTGAGGATCCTGTGCTACGGAATAATTATTTCATTCAGGTTGATGATAATCTTGCTTGGTCGGATAGTATTGGGCCTGAGGACTCGGAGGAGGTCTCGTGGAATACTGCGCAGAAGGACAAGGCTATTGAGCATCACTTTTTCCGCTCAGAAAGGCAATCTCTTCGTCGGCTTCCGAGATCAGGGGCTGTGGTTTTTACTATCAGGACGTATTTCGAGCCTATTACGGAGATTGTGAAGGAGCCGTATGTGCCTGGAAGACTGGCATCTGCTATTCGCAGCTGGGGTGATGATGTGTCCAGGTATAAGGGGAAGGAGAAGTATGAGGGGGTTTTGTTGGAATACTTGGATCGAAAGCATGAGGAGCAGGTTGCTGCTGGGCTGGAATTGGAGAAAGAGGATGATGTTAGGGGTTATCCTTTTTAGTTACTTCTGTGCATCGGGTTCTTCGTCCACATCTGGATATTTTGTAAATAGGCTTTACGCTCGATGAAAATCATAACGTTCATTGAATCATCATCTCTCAACTGTCCCCAATGTCCAACATGTCTACCCAACCTTCGACTCCAACGTAAACATCCCAAATCTCTCTCATTCGGACCCAATACCAGATATCTAAGGAGTCGGCGCAAGCAAAACAGCCGCACAAGCCGCCTGACAAGACCCATACGCCGTGTTACACGCCACAATACTAGCAGGCGCAGAAGCACCCAGAGTAGCGCCCCAGGTAAAGCCCGCAGCAGAGTAGCAGGCCATGACGACACCTGAACAGCCGGCCTGACAGACGCCGTAGCCTGCGGGACCGGCGATGGCGGTGGTTGCGAGGGGGAGGAGGATGGCGGTGGAGATTTTCATTTTTTTTTTTTTTTTTTTTTTCCCTGGATAAGGGGTGCGTTTGGTAGTTTCTGTAGGGGTGGTTGGGGGTTAGCTGGATGCTGAGGTTTGTTTGGGGTTAAGTGGTTGGGGGGAGGGGGTGTGGTCGTTGAGAAGGAGAATCCTGGGTACTTACGTGGTAGTTTGTGGTCTTGTAGGCTGGGAGACGGGCAGATGATGGATGGTGGATGATGGATGGTGGATGATGGATGGTGGATGATGGATGATGGACGTTTAATAAATAGAAGAAAAGGGAGAATCAGGCATACAAAGAGGGCTCTTACACCGAAATGATGTGGTGATTCCCTTTGTTTTCAAGACGTACGCATCGGAAGAAAGAAGCCGCCAATAAAGTGTCTTAATATCCAGCCGCCACGTGTAATGCATAAAACCAACCCAACCATATCATAACACAATAACGCCAATCCAAATGCACAATACACAAGCTCAATCCCAAACATGAAGTGCCTAAGCAGCAGCCCTCTTCCTCCCCCGATTCCAATTCGCCAACGCCCAAGCCTTCTCCTGCCTCCACGAACACTCATCCCGAAACTCACAAATCCGACACTTCCACGCCTCCATTACCTCCACGCCGCGCGGATCCCTTTGCCCCTTCCACCAACTCATCTGATCCGATAGATATGAGGTCATGCTAACAGGATCGTACAGGAACGATCGACTGCCCAGGGAGCGAGACTCGGAGGCGGAGAGGTAGCGTGCTGTCAACAGTGGGGAGATGACTGTTGGGTAGGATTCGAGGATGGAGGGTTGGATTTCTGAGGGGATGGAGGGGGCCATGGGGACTTCGGTTTCTTGGGATGGGAGGAAGGTGAGGCGGAGGTGGTCTTTCATTAAGCGCCAGAGGTTGGTGAGGTTGTTGTTTTCGATGAGGACGGTGGTGGAGTCTTGGCTACCAGATGGGGGGATTATAGATGAGGAGGGTGATGAGGGTGGCTTTTTCAGGGCGTCTTCAGGGGTAGGGATGAAATCAGGGTCGAATTCTTGCGAGGACATGGCGTCGAAGAACTGGTCGTTCAGAGCACCGACTTCCGCGATGAAGGCGTCGGTGAACGGACGGTTGGGATTCAGGTTGTAGCGCGCCGCGAGTGACTCGATAGTCACATCGTCGCTGGTTACCAGCCGGTTAAGCATATGGTAATACAGCTGCAGCTGCAGCGACGTCGGTCGAAAAGACGTGCTCTTGACAGTAGGAATCGATCCACTACCCTTGGTCTTGATATCCGTCATATACACCCGGGGTATCTCACATGCCTCCGGGGGCGGGGGCAGTGGTGACGCAGACCAATGCACCTCCTCATTCTGATCCCAGGATAATTCATCCAACCGCTTCCCACGCTGCGAAGACGACAGCAGATAGTCCGTCAACGACATCTGATACTCCGGCAGCGCCGCCCGCGTAGCCTCAACATCCGCATAATACGACGCAGCAGAAACCTCAAGCTCCGGATCCGGACACTCATAGGAAAGCTGATCAATCACCCCGTTCACCAGCTCACCATCCACCAATCCCCATACCTCCAATTCCCTTGTCATCCCGAATTCTCGTAACGTCCGCAGTCCCTGAATGATATTCCAAATCCGCAACGCCAGCGCATCTTCCTTGGTCGTAACCTCCACCGACACGGTCGTATGCACCTCATCCTCCAGCGTCTTATGAATCGTAGTACCCTGCTTCATAGCCGCTGTTCTCCTCTTCCTCCCGTACTTGGTCAACGTATACCAATACTGCAACTCGCACCACGCAGGCGAAATCAAATCCGACACGGAAAACGCTTTATTCGGGGGTCGTCGAAACCGTTCTATCGGTGATCGCGTCGTATCCGCCGCCGGATTATCTCCAGTCCCAGTCCCAGTCCCAGCAGGATTCATAGCAGCAACCCATTCCTGCTCCCTGGCAATATCACGCTCTCGATTCCGCGCGCGACCTTCCGTCGAATTCGGATGCTCGACTAAACGCTTCCAGTCAGATGTCAGTAACAAAAAAAAAAAAAAAAAAAAATCACTAGGCGAATAACAGGCAGGCAATTACTAACCAAACTCCGCACCGCCGTTGCTCGAGTTCTGCGCTGGTAGCCCGGGCCCTGGCCCTGTGCCAGTGTCTGCCCCAGAGGTCTTACTCCAAGGACCACCTGCTGTCTTGTATAATTGCCATGAAGTGCCTGGTTTTTCGCGCCCCAGGACCCTTGGAACACGCGGGCTCGAGTGCGGTGCATAGTAGTCTTCGATATCCTGCGCACCAACGGTGTCCTGCGTAGCGGTAGGAATAGCAGCAGCTACTTCCGTCGCGGTATTCCGTGGTAATTGTGACGGTGGTTGCGGGAGAGGTGGTGGTGGTGGTGTAGTGGGCGCAACCGACGCGCTCTCCGTGGCGATTTTGGCGAACAATTCGTTTACCAGCGCCTCTTGTTCCGGGGTGAAGTCGGAGCCGTAGTCGCTGTCATCCGGCGTCGATTGTTGAGGAGGAGGGTTTGCTGGGTAGGACATGCCTATGTTTATGAGAGAGGGAAGGCATGTCAGGTTGTTTGTTTAAGGTTCTTTGATTGATGACGGGAGTTTGGAGTTGCCCGAATGGGTAACGTCATTCGCGCGCTGCATACAGTAACTAAGCAACAAGCATAGTTACAGAGTACAGTGATATGCAGTCTATTGATCTATCTACACTATATACAAGTTCTATAATCTATGTGCCAGAAATCATAATCACGCCGCCATCGCAGCAGAAGCCGAAGCAGAAGCAGAAGCAGAAGCAGCAGCCATCTCAGCAACCTCGACCTCCCTCGCAGCCTTCTGATTCAACCAAGACAAATACGTCTGCCACCCCACCGCAATAATCCCTGAAAACACATTCCGGAACTGCGGCGGCACATACATAAAGCTAAACGCCGTAACAGCCGGCCACAGCTTCACGCTGTTAGTGACACTCACGGGCAGCGCCTTCTTCAATCGCTCATATGTATCTTCGAGCGAGGCACCGCTGAGCAGCGACTGGACGGAGAAGAAGTACGTGTTGAAGACGGGGGTGAAGACGGCTTGTTGGACGCAGACTTTGGTGAGGATGGAGAGGAATTTTGAGGGGAAGTTGAAGTTGTTGTGAAGGAACATGAACCTGTCGCCTTGTCAGCATCTTGTAGATATAACCCGGGGGAATGGTGATGGGGTACCAGTTGTAAGAAGGAATACTCGACCCAACCCCAACCGTCAAATGCCTCATCGTCCTCCACGGGTCATACCCTCCCCCCTCCACTATTTCACCTTCACCATCACCCGTCTTATCTTTTCTAACCACCTCCGACGGAAACAATACCTGCGCACTCAAATCCCCACACAAATAAACCACCACCGAGCTACACAACTGCGTCGCATACGGCCTCCTTTCCTGAACCCGCGCATACGCCCGCCCAAGTCTCCCCAACGGTCCCGCATATATGACCTCGCGCAGAGACCGCGCGCGCAACGGCGCCGGTGACGCGCCGGCGGAAGAGGCGACTGTGCCGGATGGTTGGGGGTGTGGTGGGGAGGAGAAGGAGGAGGGGTTTTGCGATTGTGATTGCGATTGCGGAGGTTCATGGGGTTTTTTGTTCGGTGGTTCAGTGGATTGAGTGTTGTAGCGTCTTTGGGAGCGGATTGAGCGGCATGGTTGTCTTAGTCGGGATGGGATGGAGGATGGCAGTTTGTTTGCGAGAGGTCGCATTCTAGGTTCTGGTAAGGCTGGTAGGATCTATAGGGGTTCAAAATCGGCGGAGGTGCGGTGGCGGCCCGGCGTGGTTTTTGTTCAGGGTCGATTCGAACATTGGACGCTATTAAGGGGGGAAAAAAAAACCCAAAGATAAGCAGGCTCAGCCTTTGTAAGACTGAGAAAGATGATTGATAAGGGAGAGAATATTCTGAACAATGTCGCCTCAACTCGGTTCTCGGAGTCTGTTGCCGAACACCGCAATCTCCCGATCGGGAATACGGGGGACAAGAACTATTTTATAGATAAGATTTTTATTCTAATATAAATGTCTATGTGCATTATTTTTGCTCGTCACCTCATTCTCCATCCAAATCGCGTTATCAACAAAGAGAAAGTATAAACAAAAACAGGGTATATAGTAACAGCAAAAACGCCCAATCAACCGAAAACTTTTCTTTTTTTTTTTTTTTTTTTTTTTTTTTTCCCTCTCGTTCCATCATATATATCACGTCCGATGAGATGAGAAATAGACACTAAAGATTAGGTTGTATGCAGGATTATGTATGTGGGAGAATTCGAGGAGAGCGCCCCTCTAGGGCAACGCGCACGCGGAACGAATCGATCACTTGAACGATTCCCGAGTATTGACCCGATCAATGTCATACGGATTCCCATCGTACGTCGCCTTTCGAGACCCCGCCGTCCTCGAAGAAGCATGGCTGCGAATCTGCTGCATAGACGGCATAGACGGTAACCGACCCAGACGCCCAACATTCGATTCCTCGCTGCTGCTATCATCCGAGACATGGGGCTCCGGCACGGGTGCTTCGGTGCGATCGAACGCTTCGTCTTGTTTCTCCTCCTGGTCGGACTCGGGTTGTTTCTGCGCCTCCTGTAGCTTGCGCATGAAGGCATCGGACTGCGCGGCGTACTTGCAGCTCTTGCGAATCTTCGGGCCGTACTTGTAGAACAGGAAGGGGAAGGGCACGCAGGCGACGGCCAGGAAGGCTGGGATGGAGGAGGCCCAGTGGGTACCCAGGTCTTGGTACATGTAGGTTGTGAAGAGGGGGAAGGCGGCACCGAAGCACGAACGCAGGACGGAGTTGGCGGCAAGAACTGAAGCGGCGAAAATAGTGTAGGCGTCGATAAGGTAGTTCATGATACCCAGGAAGACGAGGACCATTCCGAAGCCAAAGGGAACACCGGCAGCAACGGGAGCCATCCAGTGGACAGAGGGATAGTTGGTCCAAGCGAACCAGAATAAGCCGACAGGAATGGCGATGGATGCAATCAAGCAAGGAGCCAAGCGTGCCTCAGGAGGCGCAAAACCGTCATTTTCATCTTGGACCCGGATGTATCGCTTGTTATCCCAGATTGAATAAGCGACGGCCATCAACATGCCCACCATGATTCCCAGGAACGGAAGACTTCCAACACCTTGGTTCCAGCCGCGGACTCCTTCAAACACGATGGGGTATGCGGCGAAAAGCATGTACAGGGTACCGTAGACGATAGCCATATACAAGGACAACAGAAACACGATAGGCTCACGGAAGAGCAGGAGCCAAGGGCGGGATAGGGCAACCTTGAATGACTCCTTGAGGGAGACTTTGCCCTGGTCGACTTCGAGCTTGCTGCGGTAGATCTTGCCGGAGAGCTTGGACAGTTTCTCGGCGCGACGACGCAGGAGCACGGGAGCGTATGTCTCTGGGATGAGCAGCGAGCCGATGATCCAGACAACACCGGAGAAGGCACCTAGGAAGCCCATGACCCATCTCCAGCCTGCGTTCATTCCCAAGAATCCACCGATAATCGGGCCAAGGACGGGTCCTGCGAATGTTAGTTTGAGATAACGTGAGTGAGCTGGTTGATATGAACTTACCCAAAAACGGCGCGGCAGCAAACATACTCATAGCAATACCACGCTCCTTTGCCGGGAACATATCGGCAATAACACCACCGGCATTAGTCAACGGCGACGATCCAAACGAACCAGCGAAGAAACGAAGAATAATAAGAGTCCAGATATTCTGCGATCCAGCAGCACCAGAGTTGAACGCAGTTAGGGCACAGTATGTGGTGATGAAGAGAATCTGCCGGCCGAACAGTTCACTAAGCGGTGCCCAAAGGAGAGGACCTATGCTCGTCAGTTATCACCCCCTATAATAAAGTAAACCCAACCAACTTACCAATAGCAAACCCCAGAACGAAAAGCGAAACACCAAGCGTAGCCACCTCACTCCCAATATTAAACTGCTCCTCAATCTGCGCAATACCACCCGTATACGCCGACGACACAAGCGCAACAGCCAGTGTCGCAATGGCAACCAACATAGTAATCGTCCATTTCTTCCACTGGCTGAACAGCATCGGATTGCGCGGGTCATTGGGCATCCAGGTCACCACGTAGGGGTCCTCGTCGGTGCCGGAGCCGGGGTATGGGTAGTCGATGATCTCTTGGGTGAGGACGCCCTGGTCGACGACCAGCCGCCACCAGGGGATCTTGGTGGGTGATGGCGACTCGATGTTGTCTGTCATTTTGGTTTTGGTGTCGGTAGCTGCCATGAGAGGCAGATGAGCGAGTCTCAACGTTCGAATGCCGGATGCGGGGAGTGTGCCTGATCGATAGGATGAGATAGAGATGAGATCAACAATCAATTCAAGGATAGCAAGGATAGCAGGATATATGCCTGATATGCAAGTAATGTAAGCTGAAAACTCGAAACCAACACGGAAAAGGACAGACTCGTCTTATATGTTTATGCAGCGACCGCATTTTTCTTTGGCCCTCGGCGGGACCTCGGCGCATTACCGCATCAAGAAAATGAGAAGCAGGATGAAAAGACGCTAAACCCTAAAGGCGACCGCTGATTGGTTATGAGCGGGCCGAACAGCCGATAAGTCAGCATAACTCGGGGTTAATGAGGCTTATGGTGTTGTGCACTGCATAAAAAATGCTTGACGGCTCGGGACTGGTGGGGCCGCTGTTGGAGCTAAAAGAATCTAGATAACGTTGGCCCTGCAATCTACTGTAGTATATTACTCTGTATATTTCTACTCTGTATATTTCTACTCTGTATGTTTCTACTCTGTATGTTTCTACTCTGTATGTTTCTACTCTGTATGTTTCTACTCTGTATTTTTGCCAGTCAATAATAATTATAAATACTTCAATAATCGACATCTGACAAATATATATCACTATCACTCTGCGTACGGACAAAGACTGCTGACTATGACAAGACCCTTATGCATGCATTCACACAGGCATCATGTGGGGCTTATGCACCGGACCACCACGTTTTAGGTCTAGCGGGGCTACTCTCGGTGTTCCCGCCAACGAGGAAGCGTCGATTAGCGGCTTCGTGCCTGTTTCAGAACTCAAGCCGATTATCGAGTACGCCCAGGATTCGACAGGAGTATACAACATGACCTGTAACCTGGTTCGGAAGCTTCGGAGGTGCGACTCTCTGCATTATTATGCACAGATCGGAGTTACCTTATTTAACTCCGTGTCGGCGATCGGGACTTATTTCACCGACTCTATTTTAGGAACAACCACCCTTTCTCCAGTAAACGGATATCCTCCTCGTCATCTTCTGCAATCGCTATAAGGGAATCCTTAAGCTCAGCAACCCTCTGAACAGCCTCTTTATAGCCCTCATTACTGGCCCAACCATCTTCACTCACGCCCACCTGTTCCTGCCAGAATGTCACGGCTTTATTCAAGTCAAACCACAGCTGTTCCTGCTCGAAGAAGCCATCCATTTCAGCATCGGTGAACTGCACAGGACACGAGACTCCCTTTGTATCAGGCAAATACGGCCAATACTCGATCATCCGTACCAACGACCCCTTCAACGTCATGAGGTTTCCACTCCATTGTCTGCCAGCCCTATCCACCAGTTGGCTAGAAAGGAAGGCGTCATTGGGTTTGGGATGGAAGGTGCAGGTGTCTGGGATAATGTGCCGTGCATCATCCTCAAAGGCGTGTGTGATTATGCAGACAGCCATAAGAACAAGATGTGGCAACACTATGCTGCAGCAACTGCTGCCTCCGGCGCCAAGGCTTTCCTAGAGGACTACTGGATACCAATGTCTTCCATGGGTAAGCTAGTCTCCTTTTATTAAAGAATTTTAACAAGCTGACAGATTTTCAAAAGCTATGCCTAATTATTCTTCGTCTCTGAGCTGGCATCAAAGAGAAGAAATAGAAAAAAGGAGCGTAGAAGAGACAAGTGACAGTGATATTCCTGGGGATGAAAGTGGAACCGAACATGAGCGCGGCATCCAGTGCTATTCCTGTCAAGGATACGGCCATATTGCGGATTACTGCCCTGAGGATGCATGCTACAACTGTAAGTAGGCCAAACTGTAGATACATATGAAGTTTGTGTTAAGGCTAACCCTAGTCATGAGAACAGGCGGCATCCAAGGGCACTACGCCAGGACATGCAGCCGGCGACCAATCCGTTGCTATAAATGCGAGTAAATTTACATGTCTTATTCAGTTCATCATTAATTTAGACTGCTAACCCAACAGGTGGACGCTGGGGTCATTACTCCCGTACTTGCTGGATATAGAAGGAGTACCAAACTGGTGTGAAACAAGCTTGTCGTGACAGTCAACGGCTGCCAATGCTGGCGAACGCCGCCAACAGAGCAATATGAGCAAACAGCGAGCTCTAGCCCTTCAGCACATGGTCACATAATGAGTAGATGGTCTTCCTTTGTCTTGCCAGGCAGCCTCCTTTCTTCTTCTTCCTCTCCAGATTTTATATTCTTGTCAATAGGCTACCTAGTCTAAATATGAATATCATTCGTTTTATCTACTAGTTTTTTGAGCCCGTGACACTTGTACTTCATTCTCTTATATATTCTAATCCCTTTTAGTGAAAGGGCCTGTTAGAGAAAGGGCCTGGGAGGAGTGAGGCTTTTATACTTTTCTTTTTTACTAGTTAGCAGTAATAGGGATATTTCCATTGGCTTCTATGCAATTTGTATCAATACAGTGCGGTCTCGATAAGCCGTACTAAAGATGACATGAGAATTTGGCCGGTTTAAAGAGAATCCGTATTATCAAGTTATATTATCTAAACCACTGATCTACTTAGTGTTCACTGTTGCTTTGATGACTCTGCTTTATATAACAACCGCCTCTCCAGCTGCTCAAGATGCTTGATCTCCTCAAGGCACGTCTCCTGTGAGTGTTCTTGATACTGTAGAACTGTACAAATGTCATCAATTGCTGTTTTAAAAAAGGGTGGTGGTGGTGCAGCAGGGCCATCATCATCAGAATCATCATCTATCTGTGGATGGACATGTTGAGAAATTATACTCTCTAGAGATTCTGATTCCTCAGCTGACTCGGTATCCTCTCCTGGGGGATTCATGAAGTTGGAGAGACTCATCATGTCTTAAATATGACCGGCTTGCTGGGTTTCTTGGTAAAAGCTTGTCAGGTCTGGTACAGGCTCTGCTGGAAGACTGATTTGAGGCTAAGACGTTGGAATTGAATTCCATCCAGATAAACTTCTGCTCCCCCCCCGCCAAAGAAGCTAGTTAGAGAATAGCGATAAACCAGAAGAGTACTCAGAAGACGGTCGACTTTCTTTTGAATTCAGCTCATGCTATGTGAGTGATAGCTGGCATACATACTTCATTTTCTGACAAAGTTGATACAGGAGCAGCTGCTATTCTCATGAATACAGTCTGTTTTCTTCGGATTTTTTTAATAAGAGCATCGACATAACCTATGCGCCAAGGTGCGGTTTACATTTTGCCGTTTATAACGATCAGAAGTCGAAGATACGCAGTCTGTCTACATTGACTTCTCTTGCCGTCAAGCTGAGAGTCGCGAGTGATTTCAAAAACAATCAATCGATCTATCTCTGATCTAACGTGAGCCTCGCCCTAAGCCTTTCCCAGAATGTTATTAACCTATCTTGAAATCCAGAAAATGACTACCATTCATGTGGCCATCTATCATCCCTCTGACAAGCGCAATCCATGCTACTGGGCAATCTTGCTGTGGATGGCAAATGGAGGAATCTGTGATTCTGCAGGCGATGAGATCCGGTAGGATCAAGGAAACTCTAGAGTCCTATGCTATCCTTGTCATCCAGGGTAAACAACGAGAGTCACACATGGAATTGTCAGGATTGGATCGTTGGCTGCCTTCGAAGCCTGGACAGGCGTTCCTGCTCGTGGCCCTCGCTGCCAAGCAAAGGCGACTGAGAATGAGTTTCGTTAAGATCAAGCCTTTCTATGGAAGGCAGGATAGATCCGACGATCCAGGTTTCCATTCCGAAGAAATCGATTACGCTATTAGAAAGGACGACCACTCCAAGGCCGACGATATCGAACGGGACAAGATAGTTCCATTCTGGCTGTATCTCAAAGACAGCGCTGGGCGACGGTTCAACGCCCTTCCCAAGGCTACCAAAAATCATTGGCCCACTCTCCATAACTCCAGAATAGAAGCCAGTCCTCATTCGTCGGCCTCATGGAGTTGCACCTGGCCTATCCTGAGACCTGCCACATTATGCTCGAATGATACCAACACGTTTCATCAAGAGAACAGTTTCCTTCTGGCTTGCATCGCGTGCCACTCTTATAGTGCTCAGCTGCGCCGTCATATTTATTCCACTTCGTATACTAGAACCGTTCAGCGGCGGATCCTAATTGGTCCGCTCGGGTTATGACATCACGCTTTCTATTCTCGATTTCCGCCCGGACGCTAATCCATTTCGGGAAATATGGTAGTTCCAGTTCCAACCAATCAAATGTACCATCACCACTTAATCTCAATGTTGCTTTTCACAGGAGACGCGATGGATACGAGTAGAAGAGATTTTTGGAGGATTTAGAGGATGGGTCGGGATTTGTTGAAGTGGGAACGGAATCTATAAATGTAGTCGTTACCCGTGTCTCGTGCCACTCTCTCAAACATCCAACACTCTTTTGATCCGGCACACTCGTTTTATTTCTCTCTATTCTGGAGAATAGTTCAGTCTCTATTTATACGCAAGTCATTCTTTATACACTCTCTCAAACCCAGTACGTCCATTCACCCCATTCTTAACCGTCCAACCAAACTAACCCTCGCTCACCCCCAGAACCAAAATGGCCCACCTAACCCACGAAGTAATCGTCCTCCTCATAATAATCGGCTGCATCGCCTTCGTCTTCATCGGTTACGGCCTGTACGCCCTCGCAAACGGCCTCGAACATGAAAGTGACGGATACCGGAACCCGTCGAACGAGCAGGCGCAGTATATGCGGGAGGTTAGGGGGAGGAATTTGGGGGTTTTGGCGTTTGAGTCGAGGAGGGTGAGGCAGGGGAGGGGGAAGGGTGGGGATGGTGATGATGATATGGTGTAGAGGTTTTGGGTTTCGTGTATTCGTGAACAGAGATGTCGAGGTCATGCCATGCTGATGGTGTTGATCAGATTCAATGGAAGGAAATACTCTCTTTCTTCCCACATCCCGTTAGCGTTTGGTCGGTTTCTCGTGAAATGCAGAAAAGGTCGAGTCTGAGGTATGCTATGGCTGTTCAGCTGAACAACAACATTTTTGCGGATCCGATGTCCTTCAGAGACAGCAAACTGTTCATCGCCAGAGAAGAGTTTGTCATTTCCGAGATCATCTTCGATGGTAACCAAATCCTCCACAAATGGAAGATTAGCCAGTCTCTCCAGTGATATCTCCTTGATCTCGTTCGATGAGTAGTCGAATGTCATCGAACCCGTAATCTCCACCAAATCCGACACCCGCACCATCAACCCCTCTACCCTCCCCTCCTCCATCCGAATATACTCCTCCGCACTCGCAACCCGAGGTTTACACTCAAAAAACCCCTCCTGTGGAACGCGTCGAAGTAGCGATAATGCTTCCCGTCGTAAGACCGGATCACGACAGCTGATAGCCGTGAGGAAGAGTGGTTGTCCTACACCTGATTCGAATGTGAATAGTGTCTGGACATCTGTAGTGCTGGCGAGTGCCTGTGATGCATGGTTGACGATGGTTCGGAAATGGGACAGATAGTTGTCGAAGGCAGCTTCGCGCTGTGCGAGACATGTAGATAGGATTATGTATATGGCTGCGTGGAAGGTCCGTAGCGTTGAGATTGCACTTTGGTATATGTGATCTAACTGATTGTTTGTCAGCCCGGTGAACGAACGATACCAATCTTCGAGCCGTAATAAGAGACTTTGTCGACGAGCAAAAACCTCCACAGATACATTAACTACAGATCCAACCTCTAGAATATGAGCCCCGGCTTCCCATCGAAAAAGTAACGACTCTCTCGTAAGAGGTGCAAGGGCAGCCCGTGCAGCCTCCACCGTAAAGAAGCCAGTATCTCCCCGATAATCCGCAAGAGCAAATAAATCCCTAACAACAGGCACACCTGCCGTCGACAGCGCCGCAGTTCCCATTCGAAAGAATAGCGGGATGATAGTATCTTCCAAAAACGATGCTCTTGTGGCGGAAGCCGTGCGTAGTTCGTAAATCAGAGATACACCTTGTTCATATAACTGCAATGCTTCGCTCATATGTCCCTGCATGGTTTCGATGCAGATATACAGAACGCAAGTGACGATTGCGATCTCTTGGTCGGCTCTGTTCTGCTCGATCAGTTTCCGGACGTTCATCATCGAGCGCGAGTACCAATTCAGCGCTTCATTTTTCTCGCTACCCTTTGGAGAAAGGTCAAGTGAAGGAGATGGTGTCTCGTAAAGAGCGCTGATGGCAATAACCGCATCCCATACCGCCGGTTCCGAACGAGATAATTGCAGCACGGTATCTTTCCAAAATTTGAGATCAAGAGCACCCGCAATAGACAATGCCCCGCGATAAAAGTAGTACTCAAATGCGCGTCGCTCCCTCTGAGCTGAAGGATTCACCCTCGATCCCGATAATCCCGAGAAAGGATACGGTAGTGTTGGCGCACCATATCCCGACACGGAAGACACTGGGTATTCACATTTTCGTCCGGTGCTCGTACACCGCTGGCAACGCGGTCGTATCTCGACACATTTTACTTTTCGAGATCTGAGTTGTCAATGATTATTCCACGTATAGAGATGGAATACGTACTTGCAAGTAGCACAACCGTTACGGGACTTTGTTAGGCCGATTCTCGAGGGTGAAGTGGACTGGCGCATCCTTCAAACGTTCAGTCAAAAGAAAGAGAGTCTGGTTTATCCCCCGTCTCTTCCCTCTGGTAGGCATGGCTTTCGGCAATTACTCGTTCGTTGAAAGGGATATCCGTGGCTATTTTTAGTGAGTCGCGTAAATCCATCGATTACACGTGAGGAACGCGACTGAGCCTATTTCGCTGATGAATATATGGGTTATTCAATATAAATCGACCTCTAAATAATTATATACAAATTTAGCATGATGGTAGATTTTGCCTGTTCAGATAGTTGGGCGGGGAGTCTTGGGGTCCAGGATATATATCCGTCGTACATGAGTAGGCAGTCAGTTCAACCACGAATACGAACATTTTTCTATTGATTCATTCTACCGGTATGCCCTCTATCTTAGTCCGTATGCGTGTTATTCCCAAATCTCTGCATCGCAACCGGTGGAACACTCCGAAATCCTCTACGGAACGTTGTATGACTTCACATTCGCCACATCGGGAAAGTATGTCTACGAAGTGTTGAGTCATTGGGAGTCAAGAGCGCTCTCATCTTACCCGACCTCAAATACACGTCAGAACATGGAGGGGTAGGCGCGACAACACGGTCGCGTCGCGGAGTGGAAAAAGGAGCGACCGTGGACAAAGAGACAAAGGTTACGAAGGAAATGTGCTTTCAAAGTGCATTTCATCATGAAGTGGTGCTTGTTACAGACACCACGGTGGATAGCTTTAATGTACAATCGGACGAGCCTTGACCAAATCCACCAAGCCGCATCTCAACGACTCTTCAGTATTTATGGTAGTCAAAGCAAAACAAAACACAAACCCAGTGCCGGAACCCAGTGATATTTGAAGCAGAAACCCATCATGTATCGCCAGTAGTCATGAAAAAGGAAATTAGAAAAAGCAAAACCCCATTATCGCCTTCCCAAATAGAAACGAGTTAAAGACAAGTATTAAGGCGCATCCCTTTAAGAACGCTCACCGCGGAGACGGCGGGCAAGCTGGATGTCCTTGGACTGGATGGTAACACGCTTGGCGTGGATAGCGCACAGGTTGGTGTCTTCGAAGAGGGAGACGAGGTAAGCCTCAACGGACTCCTGAAGAGCACCGATGGCGGAGGACTGGAAACGGAGGTCCGACTTGAAGTCCTGAGCGATTTCACGGACGAGACGCTGGAAGGGGAGCTTGCGGATCAAGAGCTCGGTGGACTTCTGGTAGCGACGGATCTCACGGAGAGCAACGGTACCTTTTATCGTTAGCATAAAAGAATCGCAAGATACTGATAAGTGATGATCGACTTACCAGGCTTGTAGCGGTGAGGCTTCTTGACACCACCGGTCGAAGGGGCGGCCTTGCGGGCAGCCTTGGAAGCGAGCTGCTTACGGGGAGCCTTGCCACCAGTGGACTTACCTGGAAATAGTTAGTATCGTGAAGGAATATTAAAGGTAAGAAAGTTACTCACGGGCTGTCTGCTTGGTTCTGGCCATTGTGGTTGATGGACTTGGATGAAAAAGTGATAAGTAGAGATGGATGGATGAGGGAGATGGAAGAAAGACGGAGACAGCGGGTGGGGGAAGGAAGTATTTGTAGTAAGCGAAGGGAGGGAAGGTTGATCTGGAACCGCCCTATTCCCGATTCGGTCGGCGTTAGACGAGAGGAAAAAAGAGAACCGCGGAAAATGACTGTATTGCATCAGTGATACACTGTCCTCTGATTGGTCAGGTTAGAATGGAACAGTCAGGTGCCGCTAAGCGAGGCGTCCATTCCGCATCAACCAATCACAGCGCAGGATCACGACCATCAACCATACCAGCCTGTCAACCCTTGATCCCAACCACAAGGGAGAATCATACCCGCCATAACTCGTATCATGTAATTAATTACCATTCCTAATATCATTCTGATCTGTTTGATCTCTTCCTTACTAGTGGTTGGGCGTGTATTGCGTGTATTGCGTAAGATCAATTCGGTCCCGGCAAATCGTTGTTCCGAAAAAGATCAATCCGTCCGTCGGATCCTGGTCTCTGATTGGTCGATCCTAATATTAGCGTGGTGATTCCGGTAGCGGCCCCGCGTCCAGCGACAGACGATACAAATATCTCCTGCTCCAGACTCTCTTTGCTTCCTCTTCTTCTCCTCCAAAGCTATCTACGTCTCTCCACATTTATCTTAACTACTTTACCTTTTTTTTTTACCTACTCAACCTAATCTCACATCATGTCTGGCCGTAAGTCTTCTATCCCCCTCATCTTCAGCGATGACCGGTATCTAATAACCTCTACAGGCGGCAAAGGTGGAAAGGGTCTTGGAAAAGGTGGTGCCAAGCGCCACCGCAAGATCTTACGTGACAACATCCAGGGTATCACCAAGCCCGCTATCCGTCGTCTCGCACGTCGTGGTGGTGTCAAGCGTATCTCCGCCATGATCTACGAAGAGACCCGTGGTGTCCTCAAGACCTTCCTTGAGGGTGTCATCCGTGATGCCGTCACATACACTGAGCACGCCAAGAGAAAGACCGTCACCTCGCTTGACGTTGTCTACGCCCTCAAGCGCCAGGGCCGTACCCTCTACGGTTTCGGTGGTTAAACGACTTTTTCTCCTTATTCTCTTTTACTACCGCTTTATGTCATCTTCCTCCTTTTTTATATCCTCCTTTTGCGCTACAACAACAATACACCACCATCCTGCGCGATTCGACGCGTAGAGGATACGCGACGGTTTGCTTTTCTCGGGTTGGTTTCACGGTATGACTGGGACGTTGAGGTGTTCTGATCTGTTTTTCGTGTCTTTTACAAATCATGGGTCTGGGTTTGGTTCTTTATCGTATTTTATTTCCTATTGCGCGTCCACTATTGGTCTGCTAGTGTTCGTGAGCTTTTCATTTTCTGTATCATAGCGGCCTTTTCGCTTCGGCTGATGCCATAAGGCACGATCGTATGAGCATCGCGATCATCATGAATAAACAGTCAGAAACGATTTATCCTCTATTTGTAGTGTCATTTGTAGTTTGTTTACTGTCGCGTGTGCTGTGTACTTACGCGTCTGTTGTGTTTTGGTCTACGCGGGGTCTGAGTATACGCGTACTTGCTGTGTGGACTACCTTTCCCGTGTGTATTCTTATCTATCCCTGGCAGTCAATGGTCGCGTCTGTCTACTGAGTAATATCGTAGGTGCTGGTTCTGTCGTACTCTGTCATCGGTATTCGTGCAGAGTAGTTGGTCATCTAATATCCTATAATCTTAAATGCTCTAGTTTTTCTAATAAGCACTAAGCTATTCCATATTCTCCTTGGTTGTAGCCACTGGTCGCGTCTACTGTCTCCGTATGTGCGAAAATATGATGGTGTTCGGTATAGTATGGTGGACCATCTATCCCATATATGCGAAATCTGCTTCTGTGACTATTTTGGGACGATAAATGAGATAAACAAGTAGCCTACGTTACTCTATACACTCAACTTACAGGGAAATGGTCGATTTGTAGTAGTGTGGTGGTTTTACTGGTGGTGTGCAGTACCTACTCGATATATATCTGAGTGACATTTAGTAGAAGAACTACCATATGGATGATATACCTACAAAACCACAGAAAAACCAGTCAAAAGTGGCGCCAAAATAATTCCCAGGCTCCATATTACTTAAAACCCACTAGAAAACCACCAAATATGCCCATATAAACGCGCGATCACGCCCTGTATACTCAACACCCCATCCATCGACGTAACCGCAGCGGAAAACAACGAGCTACCACGACACCACAAGCACCCTTTCCTTCTCTATTCTTGACTGATCCAGCTCATATTACTACTCAGAAATAACACAGGAATACTCTACACCCCCAATAGCCCCCAAATCACCAAAAACCACACCAAAATCACCACATCGAACAAAGAGTTCAACTACCCCTTTCGGGGGTTCAACTTCCTGGGTTCAACATCCGCTTGACAGCTCAGCGCACCTATTTCGAGCCGGATCAGAACGGGGTCCGCGCGCACACTGAAAAATATGTTTGATCTTGATACGTTTTTTGTGGGTTCAGGTTTTCGCGAGGCTTCGCGATGGGTGCACTGGACTGGGGGTTCAGATTGAGGGGGGTCCGCGGGTGATCCGCGGAGGGAGTGATTTGGTTTCGTGCTCAACGTTGATTGTGAGGGATGAATGGGTGATTATGATGGGATACGGTGGTGGATTGTTTCGTATTCTACGGATTTACGTTTCACTTCTCTGAAACGCTGTATCATTCCAAGTCGTGATTGTAGTTTTCGATGCGATGAGTGAGGTCTACTCGAATGGGATCTGCATCTAGGTCGCTCTGTACTACTTAGTACCCGAGTCGGCTTAGCTCTTGATATTTCATGATGGATGATTGGTTACGATGAGATAGAGATACAGAGGCGTATTGCTCTTTATTCGACGCGACGAGGTCACCGACACGGATACGCTGAACAAGGGGTTCAATTCGAATGGGGTCCGCGGCCAGCTCGGGCTCTGCCAGAAACTCCGACACGGGGTTCAACTCGAGAAGGGTCCGCGATCAGCTCGCGCTGCGCGCAGGTTGATCCGGCCTTTGATTTTTTCTTGATGGATGAAAGACCATGACAAGAGACACGGGTAGAGACATAGCAGAGCCACGGCCCTTCCTCCCGGCATCATTGCCGTATGACTAGGGTCGGTCGTATCGAGGCGTAGTTGAGCTCCCCGACATGGGTACCCTGGTCCGCAGCCAGCTCGCGCGCCTGCGCGCCGGTCGATTCGGCATTTGATCTCGATTTTTCGCGATGGATGAATGCTACGGCAAGAGACACGACAGTACCTCTGTACGGAGTAGATTATTCTTTATCCCATAGAGCAACCATCACCCTGCATGCCGGAGTAGTTCTTTGGTGGAATGAGCTCTCGGATATGGGTGCGCTACGCTGTATTCGCGTACTTGGGGGTTCAACTCGAAGGGGGACCGCGGCTAGACCATCTCAGCCGCATCCGCACCCGCGTTCGTGATGGATGATTGATCACGACAAGAGGTACATAGTATTTCCAGAACCACATTCAATTCCCTTGTCTACTCTCTATACACCTGTATCAGTTCAAAGCGCGGTCGTGCACGGAGTATTGTTCAGGGTAACGAGCTCTCCGATACAGGTGCGCTCGCGTAGGAGTTCAACTCGAATGAGGTCCGCGACCAGATCGCTTCGATGCTCGATATTCCACATGGCAGAGACAGAGATGGATGGATGGACGGCGAGGTGATGGATATAGACCGGTATGTATCCTGCATCATCACTTCCCTTGAATGTTAGTATCTTTAAGATCATGGTCAGTCATTCGTGCGTGCCAGATCTGAAGCGGATTTAGCGAGCGCGCCACAAGTCACGACGTACTCCGCAAAGATATGGTGGCTTTATGTGGCTGGAATTATGTACATGAGCAAATATGAATAAGAATGCATAAGCCGCTATGCCCGCCTTCCGATTCTGTACTCCAGTTAACTTACGACCTTCAACTACTGCAGTCATTGAATATCCACATACAACAAATCAACTGATCTTCTTCAATTACACGCAAATTGACTCAATATTCGTACACTACGCTAGGACTTCGGGATTAGCCAATCGCGATAAGTATGCTACCTGATTTGTGCGTTGACCAATTCATACACAAGTAATTGTTGCTTTGTATATGTCTTGGAACAGTATAGTTTTTTCTATCTATCCAGCCATGAATAGCTAAGTGCAGAGACCGTGTTGGCTAAGCTCTAACATTCAATTTGCATCTCGGACCTCTTTCCGAGGCTGACAGCTCAAGGTCAACCGGGAGGACGTCCGATGCTGTAACGCTTCTGCTTTCAGATCAAACTACAAATAAAACCTCAGGGTTTAAATCACGTATTCAAACAACCCACTCAAGCCCATAAGACAGTCACCAGCATGGCCCAAGTGAATCGATACTACCTCCCACCCACAAACCTCATCCCCAACTCCCCGCAACCACTCCTCCACTACAAAGGCCTCCTCTCCGAACCCGACCTTCGCCCCGAAAACATACACAATAGATTCCACCAAAACGGCTGGAAAACACAATGGATCTTCCGCTACGGCCCAACCCAGCAGTCCCACTATCACTCCGCAGTCCACGAGTGCATGACCGTCTTAACCGGCACAGCGACAATCCGTTTCGGAGTCGCTGACACAGACCCAGACCTCGACAAGAATACCTGGGCCGGCGCTAGGGAAAATGGCGGTGTTGAAATTACTGCACGCTCCGGCGACGTCTTTGTTATCCCGGCCGGTGTGGCGCACAAGACGTACGATACTACACCCGCTGCGCCGTTTGCTTTGCTCACGCCGGGGAGGGGACGGGGGATTCAGGCGTTGAATGTGGAAGAGGCGCTGTCGAAGGTCGAGCTTACGGGTTTCACGATGATGGGCGCGTATCCGGAGAATCGGGGGGAGTGGGATTTTGTAATTGGTGAAGAGGATGTTGGAAGGTTCAAGGCTATATGGAATGTTGCGAAGCCGAAAAGAGACCCGGTACTTGGGGATGCCCCGGATGGTCTAGTTGGACTATGGAAGGATACTCCAGAATTATATGCAAAGATCTAGATGATGTATTTAGATAAGGCTATCTTCGCCGGATATTCCTCTTACTGTCAATCAACGAAGTCAACGTATCAAGCCAAAAGACACTGCCGTATCTTCTCGTCTCTGGTGCTATCATCTACGCTAGTCCGGGGCTTTCCTGCCATCGCATTGTGGATTCATGAAGTACTCGCGCCTCCTTGGACGAATCCCGATTGGAGGATAACGACAACTGTGATTCCGCTGCGGGGAAATCTATAGCGGCCGAATTGCAGGGTTGAACTAAGCAAGAATACTGCAGATCTGATAGCGATAGGATTCTTGTTTATCTACCCCGTACTCGATCTGCCAATGCAATAATGAAATCGCGGGGTTGCTTCTTCTTCCGCTTCCCTTCTATCATCTCCCGCGGACGATGGGCATTCTTGATCCCACGAGAACTCAAGAGCAGTCGTGTTTTATGGTAGATGTTAGCCCATATGGGGGGAACCACCAGCGATCCCGCGAAAAGGCGGGTGGTATATACGTAGGCTTTCTGTCTCCACCTTTTCCAGAGTGCTTGCTAACAATCGAAAAAAGATGCTTGCGATGTCGTCGGCAAAAGATCAAGTGCATAGGCGGCTGCCCCTGCAACAATTGCAAACGTCGCAAGACAACGTGCACATTCGAGGGCGAGGACACCAAAATCCTGGTTACAAAAGAGCACCTGGCGGAACTGAAACGGCGGACTATCGAGTTGGAGAAAGAGACCAATGCCTTGCGGGGGCAGTTATAAGGAAATAATAAATGCACGGAGCCATCAATTGACCATGTTAACCAAAAGCGCTCTCCGGTGGTTGATATGAACCATGAATTCCTGCAATATCCTCTTATTACCCGACCCGAGTTCTGACTTGTCAGAGCCTGGTCTTTATGGTGATGATCATGATAATGATACTAGGATGGTGAATCATTTATCAACCGGGTCACTGAGATATATCACAGACATAGTCGGGAGGCCTCGTGAGTTTTACCATTACATTGACAGGAATATGATCAAGCTAATGGATTACCATAGACTATCTCGGACACACGTCAAATTGGTCACTGACAATGCGGCTCCTCCATCTCAGTCATCACTCCATTCATAAGTGTCCTTTCCCCACCACAGCACAAAATATAAATTCCACGACCTATGATTAGGATGGGACGGTCTCCGGACAATAGAGATTCCTGACATCACAGGACCTCCCTCGTTGGACCACTCCCTATTTCTTATCAATGCTACAAAATTCCACACAGGCTAAATCTTCCACCTATTCGGTGAGCCAACATTCATGGCCCAGTTGTATGAGTTCTATCAAAATCCAGCCGAAAAGATCCACACGTCAGGATTATGGTTTATTCACTTTCTGGTCATTATTGCGCTTGGAAAAGGGTTTGTGGAAACAAATACTAGGGGCAGGGCTCCACCGGGGGCAAATCTGTTTAAAAAGGCATTTCTGATGCTTCCGGACTACTGCTATCCGTGGAGAGACCCAAGCACTTCTGCTGAGCTGCTGTGCTCAATGGCACTTTATTTCCAATGCATTGACTGGCGGACCTCTGCGCAAAACATGGTAATTTTCTTTTCATTTGCTGTCTGATACAACCTACTAAGGATAAACAGATAGGACAGGCTCTGCGCATTCTGCTAGTTCACGGCTACCACACTAATACCCCCCCCCCTCTGAGACACTCGGGGCTCAGGCAACCGAACGCTATCGAAGTATCTGGTGGACGGCTTATATCCTCGAATGTAAGATGTTAGTCCTAATGGGCGTGCCCTTGGGTATCTGCAAAAATGAGGTTAGCACTCCGCTGCCTGCATTCCCAAGCTGACCGCATATGGCTGCAACGGTGGCTATCCATGTGAAGTTATTCCAGGCGCTTAATGAGATTTCAAATAGTGAAATTCCACCGCACTTTGTACAAGCAAGTGTAAATGCTAATGTGGTTTTACATAGCGATCCATGGGCGAGGCGTTCGTCAAATGAAAGCCATATTCGTGAAGAGAAGGCAAAGTGTGCTCAAAGGTGTTACAGATGTGGCTTCTGAGCCCACGACTTATTTTCCAGTACCAGAGGATGGTTTGGTGAATAGTATTTCGAGAGTCTCGGGCTACTTGAATATCCTTTACCATGAGGTTTGTCCGCTATAAAACACGGGTGAACCGGATTCGGAGATTGCCTCGGCTGACAGTATCCACTTGTAGTGTATAATGTTAGCCACCCAACCTTTCTTATACAGTCTTCTCGAAAAGCGCCTGGAATGCACAAATACCGAAATACCTATCTCCACCCCCGTCAAGCTCCTCTTGCAGACATGTCTTAAATCCGCCAAGAAAACACCTGACATATTGCGTGCTCTCCAAGATCAGAGCCTACTCGGTATGTTCATTTATACTGTGCCTACCCAGGGGCGTGTGTCCTTCCTCTAACAAAACCCCTATTCTCATACCACGTCCCTCCTATCTCAGGATTCTTTTCATAGATAGTCAAGTCCAAATCAGGCATGGCGTCTCTGAATTTGATCGCAGCAATGATCTCCGAGATACCAGCGCCGGTGTAAATGGCCTTGAGAGACCGGGGTGCATCGGCCGCACGCTCTGAAATCAGACCACTGGGCTTGGGCTCTTCCGTGTAGCTTTTGTGGACTTGTGGAGTAGAATACCCCCTACAGTCCAGCCCTCGACGTGTGCATTGGCGACAACTGGGCTTTTTTTCATCACATTTCAACCTGCGCGAGCGACAAGTCCAGCATCCGGTAAATGTTTTTGTCCTGGATTAATGCTGCATCGTTGGTATCCCAATCAATGAACAACCAATGTATGACCAGGGGCAATCCTGCACTAGTTATACGATAGCTAACCGTTATCTTTCTATTGATCCTCAATCAATGTGGGGGAAGCGGGGAAGAGAAACGGGGACTTTTCGCATTGTTATCTATCAGTCTCTGGATGCCAATGCGATGCTGGCACCATATTGTCTATAGATAGCCCCCTGCGATCAATAGTTTTCTTAACAGAGTTCTTCCTCTATTTACTCTGAAGAGTGCCTAACCCTATACTCCCCGGATATATACTTCACCGCTCCGCATCTGGCAGCACCACAGTAGAGATCCATGATGTAAGTGGATGTGGCTTGATGTGGCTGCTAGGGTTCTTCCTTTTTGGTCAGTCGAGGGTTATGTTCGTACAATAGAACAGTTATCCCAATGAATACCACGAAGACCGGGTATTGTACATTGCTGTCCTGTCTATTTTCTCGATAACTCGGAGTTCTCTGCCAGCTTTATAGCCCCGTCTCCTTCGAATTAGTCCATGAGTGTGCGTAGGCATAGCATACGGAAAACAACAGACCCCAAGTAGGGCCACAATACCCTAGATAAAGGGATCCGGGGTAATAGCATACTTGGCACTTTTAAGAGCCAATATAATATCTAAATCCCAAGCCCTTCCAGCGCCCCGAGAAGTAATTGATCTACCCCGTACTATTGCAACATCGGAACGTCATACAGACGAGCTATGTATTCGACCAGCTTCAAAAGTAATTCTAGACACTAATCTACATACTAGCACCTTTATCACATATTCAATCTATTCTCTTCACATAGCACTTGAAACAAGCAGAACAGCAAAATGTCACTCCCACGAACCCGCATCGCATCCCTCACCCTCCCCATCCTACGAACTCAACTACGCCCAACGACAGCCCCCCTCGCAACCAGAACACTCCAACAACCACAACCAACCCGCTCAATCTCCATCAGCGGCGCCTACAACAAACTCTTCAGGAAATGGCGCGGCGTGCCCCCCCAAGAACACGCCGTCGACCGCACAAAGCACAACGCCGACACCACAGATCCCGAGACCAAAGCCTCTGGTCTGGGGATGGAAGAGCGAGATCGCAAGGAGGGCATTGCCGATCGGTCGCAGAGCCAGGCGACGACTGAGCGCGGGGGTTTGGCGTATGGGAGGAAGGCGAAGGGCGAGCATCCGAGGGCGCCGGAGCCGGTTATTGGGATGAATGATGAGAGGGCTCAGGTATGATTTTTTTTTTTTTTTTTTTTTAAATTTTGCTTGGGGAGTTTAGGGTGGGAATGTGGCTGACGGTTGTATAGAGGGGTCAATGAATGGGTTTGATGGATTGGTCTATTCTATGGGATATGTACGAGTATTTTTGCAATGTTTCATTATCGAGCCATCAGTGTACATAGTAGTTACCGTCCGGGTTTGAATGAGAGGACCTATTATCGTTAGCAGAGTACAACATGGAAAAGGGTAAGCAACGTACATCATGCTTTCCTACGGCCACAATCTCATCTTCAGACACCCGCGTACCACCGACACCCTCGATGTAGGAAATGGGCACGTCGCCCATGACCTTTCGCGCAACATCGCCCACTGTGCTGTTTCTATTTGAAGTCAGCAGACAGACATAATCCGGTGCAGCTAGATACTCACCTCTTGACCAAAACGCAGTCCCGGAAAACAGCTGTTCCCGCACCAGATGAGAACGTGTGCAAGTTCCTGACCGGGAACACTGGCACCAGACCAAGGAGTTCTGCTGCTCGCGAAAGACACTGCACAACACCAGTAGATCCGAAGCGGTAGAGAACCATATCTTTCATGTTCTCGACACGGCTAGTAAAATCAGTAGGAGCACAGAGATATGAGCAGGTGAACGCACGTCTTTAACTTATCGTCCATCTCTTTCAGGTCTCCACCATCAGGCTCGCCCATGTCGACGAGATCTTCCCTTGTATCTAGGAATTCGCTGCCTTCTACATACTTGATGTAGTTTTGCTTTGCTAATCTCCGAAGGAAGACTTCTGATACCGCAGAGCAGAGGACGATCGATTGCGGATCTTGCATCTTGGCGATTTTGCTGATGTTCTGTTCTTGTCAGCACTGCCATCGGCACAGGTATAGAAGAACGCACCTTATCTGAGTCGGGATGATCGATCTTGTTCAAGGCCAACACGGTGGGGAATTTCTCGTCGATGAATGCCCTAACCACTTTTTCGATTGTCTCGTCTGACCACTCGTCAAGTGGCTCTTTCAACCCAATTTTATCCAGACACCGTATGACAGTCTGTATTGTGCTTCCGTAACCCGAGAACTGGCCCTGTAGGGTTTCGGGTGCCGTCGCCTCTGTTTGGGTTAACAACTGGCATAAATTAACGGGAAGACGGGTGACTAACTGATTGCGACATGCCTTCTCTTTATAGAGCCCCTAAGTTTCGTTAGTATTTGCGACTTTCCTGCGATATTGTAGCGTATACCATTTCTGCATCAAATTCCCCAACACCCACCGCACGATCTCGGATCGGAGCCAGTCGATATCTGCGGATGGGTCGTAGCCTCGCGTTGCCTTTCCTTCAAGCCAGTCTATCAGCCCTGCGCTTTATCTATCCCTCCACCAGACATACTAACCCTCCGCATCTGTTGTCCCGCTAACATCCACCACATGGATCAAAGCATCCGCATGACGCAGATCATCCAAGAACTTATTTCCCAAACCCCGTCCTTCGTGCGCTCCAGGGACAAGACCAGCAACGTCTAGGAGTTCGATAGGAACAGACCGCCGTCCCTCGAAGCAACCTCCGTAGTTCGGTTTGCACCTATCAGAGACGTTGAATCGCTGGCATGCGCATTCTATTTGTAGGTAGCCAATGGCGCGCTGGGGGTCGATGGTGGTGAAGCTATCATGGATTAGACGGATGCAATGAAACTCGAAGAATGCGACGTTGATTGCGAGGTAGGGCGTGATCGAGGGTTAGAGGAGATAGCGACTTACGGGAAGTTTCCTATTGAGACAGTTTGGTGAGCAATTGCACATATAACCCCAAGAAAATATTCATAAAAGCTTACCAACTTTAGAACTAGCATCCGTCAAACTGTTAAGCGTCGTCGATTTTCCACTGGAAGGCTGTATACCCCTCTGGTCAGCGGCATGCGATAAGACCGAAGACGGACGGACAGACCTTGCCAACCAAGCCAATCAAAGGATCGCGGGGCATTTTGAGGGCCAGGAATCAAGTGCAATGGGCACGACAAATATAAAACAAATTTAGAAAAACCCTCGAAACTGCACACAGAGACGAGAGAGCAGGAAAAAGCGTCTTCTGTGCCGGCGGGGAACGATTTTTGCCGTTTTGAATGGGAAGGCGGTGGACATTACATTTATGCATTTATGCAGACATCGCGAGAACTCCCAAGTCAACGCTCAACGAGAGATTGTTCAATCTGGATTACAGATGCTATATCTCACATGGAAGCCTCATATATGGCTCGAACTACTATGATACTCAGAGTATCTCCGGAGTTAACAGGATGCCGACGACTATGCCTCCGTGTTGGAACCAGCACGCGTGACGCGACCAAGGCCCCTTCGATAGGTCGATAGTCTATTCGCCTTCTTCTGGTTGTCTACTCCAAGTACGAGCAAAGACGGAGCAGAGACAAGACCGTATTGGATATTGTGTACTCAATCCAAATTGACTTGCAACTGCGCCGGGTGCAATGATGCCGGTATACCTTCACCACGCAACAATCTGTTCGCAATCCGACTGCGCAACAGAGCAATGGTCGAGACCACCCAGTCTACAAGGATTTGCAAGGATTTGGGGTACTGAAGATGCTACGAAGCTTACATAACCGAGACATTGTGACGGGCCTATGATGTAGAGGCCCCCTAATCGATTCTCCCAGCAAGTGATCACGATATTGCATTCCAGATACGATTGTTGATATCAAGATGTTCTTGTAGTGGGGTTATTCTCTTGTGTCCTTCCTAGCTGTGGCTATGGTGGAGTTGGAAACCAACTGAACCAGGCCTTGGATACTTGGAGACTCGCATTTCGTCATTATGGCATTGACGCCGCCATGCACCCATGAGCATATAAGAACGCCTCTACCACTCTTCCAACGCCTTCATACATTAGCATCTTTCATCACTATTCCTTGACCTGATTCCGAAAGAACACTACACAACTACAACTTCAAAATGACGAGCCACACCAACGTCCAAGACCTCCGGAAGCAGGAGACCCGTACTGCTCAGCAGCACAACGGCACAATCCCCAAGGAATCGGAAGTCTCCGCCTTGAAGGTGAGTTACACCTGAATGATACATGGAAACGCATACTGAAATCTTAGTCCATTGTCAACGAAAACACCAACAAGTCCAAGGAGATCGAAGACCACCGGAGCAACCTGCCTTTGCCCGAACAGCCACCAACCGCTAGCGACTGGCAATCCGCCGACCAGAGAACCGTCAATATCGGCTCCGGAGAAGGTCCTCTCTCTGATGAATACAACAATGCTCAGCGGGACCCGGCGACCGCATCGAGCAGCGTTAGAATAGACGGAGACGAATGGCACCACAGCACAGCGCCGTTGGGCAATGTTGGACGCCAGGCGACGGAGAATCTGGATGGCCTTCCGAGGGATGCTCTTGCTAGGTAAGGGGTAACTTGTAAATCTAAGATATTGTATTTCTAGCATACTTTGTTGAGCGATTGGGATAATGCAAGTTTATGATTTATGATTTTTGGCATGATTTGTACTTCGTAGGCACAATTTCTTCATTTGATATTACAGTACGACCGTTAGTAAAAGTAGTCAAGTATCGTCCGTTGGTATAATATATCTCATCTAGCTACTAATAAGGTTATCGCCTTCATTGTCATCTTCGTCGCCGTATACAAACCCGACCGCTTTAGGTTTAGCGCGTCACATGACCATATTGCAAGTAAATCGAAGCCGGCTTCAACCATTCGTAGAGCTTCAAAAACTTGAACGACTAGCTCAATGAACTCCTCGACCCCAATAAGGTACCCTAGGTGTGCCCTTTACCCCTACAGGGCTACTCCGTACAATGACTGTTGAACACAGATGATGTTGCTCGCCTGGCCATGACGTCAACCGACCATGTCTCTGCCCAGTTTGCGGTCTCCAGCAACCCCGAAGAACCATGGCACAACAGAACCCTCTGTTTCCGGATATGGCTGGTTGGTGCATCACACACTGGGCAACACTGTTGACGTACCTGGAAGCGTGTCACCGTCAATCTGACATCACCTGCAACATGCTGCTCCTGTCTTTGCCTATATAGGGTTGCCATCGCTCTCTATTCGCCTCTACATCTTCAATCATTCAGACAATCAATTCGGACTATTAGCAAACCCATCTCTCTACAACGACATATATCCGAGACCTTTACGAACAATCAATCACAGCAATCATGGATCTCCAAGGACAGCCCATCGGTGCCTCCAGAAGCACTAAGGTGTGTATTCTGTCTTTATGTCAGTCTTTATGCATTTTGACACTAACAAAATAGGTCACCACCGACCCCCAAGCCTACAAGCAACCCATCAACGAACCCTCCGGCCCCGTTCCCAACGACTCTCTCGCCGCCGAATCATCCACCCACGGGGGTGCCTTCTCTCAAAACCGCGGCGCCGAACCCCTCGGTGTCTCTGGCGGCCAATCCACCCTAAACAACACCAACACATCCGGTGCTACCACCCTCCCATCCGCCGCAGTCGGCACCGCCCGTGAGAACCTCGACAGACAAGAAAAGTACCCCGAAGCTCTCGGCGGCCAGGGCAACTTTCCCGGCGCCCACTTGCCCCAGTCCGGCTACACGGGCGGCCCAACAGCCGCAAAGCAGGACCTGAACATCGGTTCTGGCCAGAGCTCCTCGCACAAGGTCGGCGGCGGCGGCGGCGCCAGCGGAAGCGGCTACCACAGCCAGTACAACGCGGGCCAGGCTCCCTCGTACGTGAGCGATGTCACCGAGCAGCTTGGAAACACCAAGCCGAATGGCAAGAACATCCAGGAGGGTGGCTTTGACAGCGACCCCAAGTATAACGCTAGCTTCAACAACCAGATCGGTAACAGACAGGACCCTGGTCGGGCTGCTTTGAATGACCTCCAGTATCGGGTGGCTCAGAGTGGTTCTGATGCTGGTGGTGGTCCCAGACAGAAGGGTATTGACAACCAGCAGCCCTACGAGGCGTTGGAGCGGGACCAGCGCGCATAAAAGTGTACTATTATGACAGGAATGATGATTTATGGTGTTTAGGTCATGAGCGTGCTTTGTTGTTTATTTTCGGGGTTAACAACACAGATCCGCGTTTGCATCAACTGTACGATAGATAACAAATGAGAAGCAAATATGCATAGGCTTTTGTCGGTGTAGGGCGAAATCTTCGTAAAGAAAGAACATAAATCATACCGAACGCAACATTCACGTAGAAGCACAAACAATTTCGAAGAGCACAACATTGCAAAACAGACCTGGGGAAGGAGTTCGGAGTAGGTCCAAATAATCGTAAAGAACATGAATCACACACAACGCAATATTCACGTAGTAACAAACAATCTCGAAGAACACAACACCGCAACAGACCTGGGGAAGAACGTTGCAAGCACCCATCTCACCACGACTTCTGTAGTAACGACCATATGGCCACTTGTTCCCGTAAACTCATGGCGGTCTTTTGCTCCCTCGGCCATCTTTTACCCCTCGCGTCGTCGAGACCCGGGGGAATAATGGGAAGTGCGGATGGGGATCTTGTGGCGTTTCATTACTGTTGACTTCAAAGGCGACTTTTCCTTCACAGTTTTGTATGTAATTGTTTAGTTAAGCCAGGGGCTCACAACATGAGGACCCGAGGGATCTTACCGTCTGTTCTCGCTTCTAATGCGGTTGCCGTAGTGGAAATCTAGGGCTCTCGACGGGCTCCCGGAGTGAAGTTTCTGCTTTCCTTTATGGGGCGATGACTTCATGCTATGGGAGATTTGTTAGCGCAAAACGGTTTTCATAAATTGAGACTTGATGAGGATATCTTACAGATGTAAAGGCGAATCAAGGTCTAGAGGTTGAACTGACTGCCGTTGCGGCCTTGCCCGTAAGATCTTCGTGGGAGTTGAGGGGGTCATGTCTTCAAGGCGAGGGTAATTGAAGGAAGCACTGTCCCTACAGTTGATTTGTTAGAAAAGTCGTACAACGGAAGATTCAAGGATAACTTACCTTAAGAGATCTGCCATATCCGAAGCATTCACATTGTTAGATGAGAATACTTTGGGACTGGCTTCGTCATCATCGTCCGTAGTATCCTTGTCCTCAATCTCGCCGGGCCCACTCATAGCGGCAATGCGTTGGAGAACCTATTGAAGGTTGAGAATCTCCCAGGATGGGAGGGGCCGGTGGACGGGGGTCATCCGTTGTTAGTTTAATAATACTGCCGGAGGTGATCACTTTGCCCGTCGCGTTATCATAAATTGTAGCTCCTTTTGACGGATAGAAGCCTTGCACTTCGAACATCAGGTCAATTTTCGGCGGATGCTTGAATTACTTTAGCTAAAAAAAAAAGCGGAGCTCGAGTACCTTCCGATCATCGGACAGATAGATAGGTTGCAGGGCGAAGTGGGCTAGACTCCAGTACGTGTGCAGACTCGGACTCAAGTAGATCAAATTTTCACACGTCTCCGTGTTCTGGGGTCCCAAGATTGCTTCCTCCCACCGTCTAACCCTTTCACTCGACCAGAAATATCGCAGCATACCCCAAAAGGAATTGTACCCGTCCTGTCCGGATTTGCTATTCTTGCGAAGAGAGAAAGTGTAGATGTGCGCCGCCTGGTTTGCAATTTCCACATGGGTGACTCCACAGAGGCACTTACCTCTAATAGCGCACTGTAAAAGTTAGCGTTGCTTAATGTAACATGATGATGGTATACGGTATACAAACGTTTTTTCTTTTTGTTCGGATCGGGTTCCTGGTTCATGGGAAGAGTTGGGGACACGCTTTGCTAGCCCTACATCATGGAAACAAATTAACAGAATTTCGACAAGAGTGCAGCTGTCAGAGAGAGAATGATCACTTACATTTTGCCCCCAACTTGAAGTTGCAGAGGACATTCATCTGTAGCATGAAGAACGATCGAGTGTCTCGATTTTCAACCTGTTAGACGAGTTCTTGTAACCTTGCTACATCTGATAACCAGATGCACGACCAAAGGATTGGGGGAAAATTCGAGTGATATTCCTCCTGGCATATCTTATACAGACGAGCAACCAATGCACGCCTTTCATCGTCCTGGTACTCCAGGAGATTCGTAGGAATTTCTGAGCTATCTTCACGCGAAGCAGGGACCCGGGTCTCATCGTGAGCCAAGGGGGGAGGGTGGGTGGAATCGTAGCAGCCGCTAACCTAGAGCCGGGAGTGGATTAACCTGGCCGATAACAGCAGTAGAATTAGGTGACGACATGTTCTTCTACCACTCGAATCTGGGAGTGCTAGACGAGTCGATGAAGCTGGACGACGCCGTCAAAGGAAGAGGAAGTCTGTGACTCTTCGGGTTCGCGTCCGCAAACATTCTCAATGAAAGTCAACACCTATACTGCCACTTGTAAACGAGAGGTATGATGGACGACTTACCGTCACAAGGGAAAGACACGTTGGCAAAAGCTGGAGATCTGTGATGGTTGGGATTCACGTCCACAAGCAGTCTCGATGACAGTCAACCTCTTGAACTGCGAACTATCACGAGAAAAGAGTCGGTATCTGGCCAAGGTGAGAGGTTCGTGCTCTGCCCAGAAGGAAAGGTGGCTATAACATCGTTATTAGAAAGGTAGATCGGGTTGAGGGCGAAGTACCCATTTACCCAATATTTCTGGACGTCTGGAGACAGGTAAAGGAGGTTGGCGCATGTATCGTTCGTGCTTCTGTCTAGAGCCGCTGCTGCGTTCTCCCAGCGTCTGATTCGTGGCGTTCGGCTTCTGCGTACTCTATTAAGATAACAGGAATGGGAGCTGAAGAGCTGGAGTTAGACATGGTTGCGATGAGGAGTTAAGAGAATATGCGAAGAACTAGAGAAAGGTAAAAGGTATTGAGTGATGCCTATCTTCAACGGGCTACAGTTGCCTGGATTCTATGACATGAAATGGCAAAATTCCTTTCAAGTACGGAGTATAACGATGCGATAAGTGTTTAACGGGTCGTTCTTCCGATGCCGATATGCAGCCTCCGAAACCACCCCGCATCGTCTCCTTTGATTGATATTCCAACTGAATACAATTCCTTGGGCAATACATCTCAACACAATGTCAGCATCCATATTTTGCGCTAGAAAATCCGCTCTTTCCACTACCTGGAATCACCTTTCCAAAGGAGGGCTTTCTCCCATCCGCGTCGTTGGGTATCGGACCATGGCTACGGCTACCGGAAAACCAAAGGAATTTCTATGTATTCTTCCTGATAAGCCTAATGCTCTTGATATTAGGAAGAAAGTCAAACCGTGAGTCCTCGTGAGTTGCTTTTTATTGATCTCTCACCTAATCATCAGTAGTATCCATTACGAAGGAATGAAGCCTCTTGTTGAAACGGGAAGATTGGTTGCTGGTGGTATGCTCCTCACTTCTTACGGTATACAAGTATGTTGAAGCTAAATGGTGAAGGCGCCATGCTTGAAAAGCATCCCGCAGAAGGCGAAGATGCGCCGTTCAAAGGTAGCATGATTGTCTACACAGGAGAAAGTGTTGAGGATGTCCGTGAGGCAATCAACGGCGACATTTACGCTAAGAGTGGTGTCTGGGATCTGGAGAAAGTCCAGATAATCCCTGTAAGTGCTTTCCCCCAATATTGAGTGATGGAAAATTGCTAATGATCCGTTAAGTATGTTTCAGCAGTGCGCAAGCCTATGCCTTGAACTTGATGCTACCTGTACATAGTCTAAAGCTATACGGCAGCAATTAAGCCAACCTGAACATCTACTTTAGCTGGGAGATTCGAGACTACGAATTCTGGCATGATGCTCGCGTCTTGCTTGTTAGCTGCAGATCCCTTATGCATTAAAGATAACATACTCACAATGACCTTGACAATCCTGAAGATTAAAATCGTACTCCGGGCTGGTAGCGTCTCAATAGGCGTTCTGAAATCCGTTTATCGCCACTTTTCAGAGCGATAAAGAGGGGCGATTGGTTATGCTTATCTCTTAGATCTTTTTCAACCCGCGCTCCTCTTCTTGGGAGTAGAAGCGCTACCACTGCCTCATGTCCATTCAATACCGCCCAGTGCAGCGGCGTTCGACCATCCATATCTCTAGAGTTGACATCCACCCCTTCTATTTTCAGTAACAGGTCCACCACTGCCTCATGGCCTCTCATTGCAGCCCAGAAAAGAGGTGCTCGGCCATGCCTATCTGGAACATCTGGACTGGCATTCAATCCGATTAACAGCTTGACCATTGGCTCGTGTCCTCTCATCGCAGCCCAGCAGAGCGGTGTTCGGTTGTAATTGTCGTCAGAGTCTGGATGGATTCCCCTCCTTCCAACAAGAAGATGCGCCACTGCCATATGTCCACGCTTTGCGGCCCATATTAATGGTGTTTGTCCGTCTATATCCTCAAACACCGGGTTAACATGTTTACTTGCGAGTAGCAGATTTGCCACTGCTTCATGTCCATTAATAGCGGCCCAGCACAGCGGTGTCCGATTTTTAATGCCCTTGGAATTGGCATTGACGCCCTTCTTTGAAAGCAACTGTTCCACTATAGCTGCATGGCCTTCCTCAGCGGCTTCAGATAGAGGTGTTTGACCATATAGATTTGTGGACTCCAGGTCAACCCCGCGCTTTGCAAGTAACAACTGAAAAATGGACTCGTTCCCAGTCCTCGCAGCGCATGCCAGCGGTGTCCGTCCATGTCGAGAATCTCTGACGTTGATACCTATCCCGCGCTGTGCGAAAAGGAGTTGCAAAATGCTCTCATGGCCGCTGACTGCAGCCCACCAGCATGGCGTCTGATTATAATCATCAGTGCAGTTGAGATCGACTCTTCCTGTATCGAGCAGCACCTTTGTCACTTCAACATTTCCCGTGGATGAAGCCCATAACAGTGGCGTCCTATTCATCTTATCTCTGGAATTTGGATTTGCTCCCCTGGAAAGGAGCAGTTTGACCTTTTCTACTTGACCCTGTATAATCGCATTTCCCAGCTCTATACCTTCTCTGCTGACCCTTGTTGGGGGCCCGTCAAAATTGTCAAAAGGGTCAGAATAGTCAACATCGCAGTGTAGGTCTAAATCAGCGACTGTCCGCTCAGGTAGGTGTGTTGGATATGTCTGTATCTTTGAATGCATTGTCCCTGGCTCCTGGATGTCCTCCTCTAGAAAGGCAGGGTCACTTTCACATGCGGACTGCATTAGATCCAACGCTACTTGTCTGATCTGTTTCTTCCCAAGTGGCCGAGATGTGTAGTACGCATGGGAGGATAGAACATCCTCCGCAACATCGGATTGACTGTTCCAGACACTCTTCACTATATCTGACAATGCCATGCATATACTACTGATCCCCGTGAGAAGAGCCATCATTTGTCCACTTGAACTCGATATCCCGGGTGTTTGGAGGTGATTTGCATGTACCATTCTTTCCACCGAGACAATCGCGATCAGTGGACCGAGAACGTTCATGATCACCCAGTGTAACCATGTGATCGGGCTTGGAGTACCCTTCCAAATTCCTGGAAGTTTTGGTCGGAAATATCTCTGTTGGCGAGACATGGCGATATCAAAGCGAAAATTCGCTGAGCCCGAGGAAAAATTTAAAGCACTTGCCACTTTCACCCCAATCCGACTAACTGCTTTCACTGCAGGGCTTTTGCTTTGGCCAGACACCATTATAACCAGGTGGACTGTGAAAAAGAGGGAGAAGATGAGCCCCGCAAAGATGGTCATGGTGGCCGCAAAATTTCTCCAAGAGGAGCCATTCAAACCGAAAACACCAAAACAGGCCGCTTTCGCAACACAGGAAGGGGGTTGAGATTGATGTATCCCGTTTATCCAAAACCATGCCCCAAAGAAACTGGTGAAAGCAAATGCGAAATTTTGCAGGATGAGGGGAACATCAGGGCGCAAGATATAGCGCTCCGTTTTTGTAGAAGCCTCTCCTTTTTCTAACAAGTTGTAGGACTCGGAGTAGAAGAGTGCTATGGTAAGATAGTAAACAATGAGAAAATCGGTTGACAGAGCTGAATCTTTGGCATAATCAATCACCAGTGTCAAGACAAGGGAAAAGCAAATAGCATTGCTGGTGATCCGAACAGCCGAGACTGTTTTCCATGAGCCGTTGAAATTTCGTAGAAGGAAACCTGCCATCCATTGTAGATACAAACCAATCCGGACGCCTAGGCCGTAAAGATCCCCGTCCCCGATGGTGATGCACTCAGAGGTCATTTCGAGTATGTATACTGTAGTTTTAAGTAAATGTACATGATATTTAGTAGTGAGATGTCAGCGACTTGCAGCAATGAGGGGGAAGAAAAAGAAAAGAGAAAAAGCGAGGCTGTGAGGCAGATCATTACTGTATGTAAGAAGGGTATAGCTGTATCTATCCACACCGGCTTCCTGTTACCAATGTTGGATTATACTCCCAATACAAGGTATATACATGGCCATTTAGGATAAATTCAAGGTTAAGACTATAGAGGTTCGTTAAATCAGCTGTGAAGTTTATTTAGGCAGTCCACAAGCCTATGTCTTGAAATTGACCCTATCCGTACAAAGCCTAAAGCTAGACAACAGCAATAAAATCAACCTGAATATCCACCCCAGCAGGAAGTTTAGACACCTCCGCCATGGACCGAGCAGGCTTATGAGGGAAGACTGGATCGTACACCTTGGAGAAATTCCGGCATGATGCTCGCGTCTTTCACATACACCTACTCAGACTTTTAGCCACAAATAGCCTGCGAAGAAGGAATAGGGATAATCACCACGACCTTGACAACTCTGTCCAGGCTAGATCCAGCCTCCTCGAGAATTGCTTCCGTATTCCTGATGATAGCCTGCGTTTTCTCCGCCACAGACCCGGTAACCAGATTGCCCTGTGCATCCGCGGGAATTTGACCAGAGAGCCAGACATGACCGGCAGCTTTAATGGCTTGGGACTGTCTCGATCAGCATGTCATATCAAGTGTATCCGTAGGCTCAACTTACGTAATGTGCAAATGCTAACTAACTAGTTAGTTAGTTATATGAATGTAAACATTACCAATCCTCATTTCAATGAGTCAAGCATATACTCACGGCGATGCGTCTTATCCGTATACACGGAGCTCACAGTAGACTTCTCTCTAGTTGGCTGCTGGGATACCATTCTGGAACAAGGCTCGACACTTCACGGGAGTAGTTGCAAACGCCGAGTGGCGGTGGTAGAGCTGCGCAGGGCTTGTCGGAACATTTTGTACAGCAATTATGAGGGGTAATGCTACGGTGAAATTTGAACGAGAGCGAAATTGTATGATCGATTGATAAGATCTCGGATCGCAACACCGGCACGTATATAGAAGAAGATTTAACCAATCACAAGATGTTGGTTAATCGATTAGGCTCCACAGTCGGAGGGCGGGTCCCGACGTTGAATCTAAGCCGAAAATCTTATATCGCCATTATTAATTCAAACCATCCATTTAATTGTTTGAAAGATAAGGGAATCCCTCAGGGACTTATTTTGCCACGGTTGACGGCAAAAAGCGATACATTGAAACATGGCAATGAGTGCGAAGACCATTGGGCGACTTGTATCTCGGAGGTTTGCATTGCCCCCTCAAAGCGACCCCGGAATTGTTTGCTAATTGTAGTATACAGATCTACATTGTTGCCGGGCTTTATTCGAACTGAGAGGACACCCTTTACAAGCCCCCGAATGAGCTCCAGTTCAGCTGCCGCTGCTGCGGCGATGCCCAAAGAAGACAGCGTCTCTGCAGCCAAATCCAACTACAAGATTGTTGCAGACGTGGGGGATTTCGACAAGACACAGTCCGAGCGCCCAAAGTTCGACTATAGCAACAAACCCATTGAAGTCACCCAATCCCCCAACCCGAACTGGGAGTACGGACAAGGCGTGCCTGATAATGGTGCAAGCGCCAGTAAAAAGCACCATGAAATTGACCCCTATGATCCTGACCGGCCAATGGTTAGCAACTATCAACTACTGGTTTCTGGGATCGCACCTCGTCCGGTTGGGTTCCTGAGCACTGTATCTGGTAGCGGTGATGATGGAAAAACCACAAAGAACCTTTCACCGTTCAGTTACTTCCAAGTCATCGACCACGATCCACCAATGTTCATCGTGGGATTCTCATCCCGCCCAGAACGCGTCAAGGATACATTCCGTAACCTGAAAGAAACCGGCGAGGTAGTAATCAACACCGTCTCAGAAAACATGATCGAAGCCGTCAACGCCACCTCCATCGATGCTCCATACGGCGTCTCCGAATGGGAGGTATCCGGTCTTCACGAAGCTCCGACAACAACAGTAAAACCGTCTCGTGTGCAGGAATCGGTTTTCTCAATCGAAGGAAAGGTTGTTGATATCAAGGAGTTCGAGGACCATGTGAAGCCTGGGATGAGTATTGCGTCGTTGGTTCTTATCAAGGCTACGCGGTTTTGGGTCCAGGAGGATGCTGTTAATACGGAGTTGAGTCATATTGATTTGAACAAGTTGCGGCCTTTGGGGCAGTTGGGTGGGATTTCGTACGGGCGGGTTACGTCTACTTTTGAGCAGCCAAGGAGGAGATGGAAGGAGGAGCACCCTAAGAGTGAAGTATTGAGTCGGTTGGAGGATTCGAAACGGGAAACCGAGTAAAGCCTTTCTGTTTATTAACTTGCATTGTGAATATTACTGATAGCATCTTAAATTGAGCATGCTGTTAACAACCCGTAATATTGACCGGTGTTCGAACCCTTTAGCCTTCTGATTAGAATGAAATCAGTATAAAGAGCGTCGTACCATTAGCCCCTCAACGATCGGTCCCTATCTCCGATACAAAACAGCCCTAAGGGATGGGGTACGCATGTGTAAAGTCGGATAAAGCCCCCGATCCTGTGTCCCCTCACCGGACGGACATCCTATAAGATGAAACGACAGAACTCATTTACTGCCAATACTTCCACCATTTGACACATTACCATCATATCACCACCATGCAATTTCTAGCAGCGCAACGCGTGCGGACTACTGGCCTAGGCCGGCACATGAGTGTCGTAAACCGGGCTATGCGGAGGAATTTAAGCTTGTGGCATCCACCTAAGTTTGAGAATGAGAAGCCTGTGAGATCACTTTACTTTGGGTGTTTGTGGTCGTTGTAAACTGACAATATAAATCAGCTCAATTATGCCAAAGGATCGCCCGAGAGAGCTGAATTGACGCAAAGCTTGAAAAAGCTCAAGTCTGAGATTCCTTTTAACATCCCAATTCAGATCAACGGCGCAGCTGTAAGTATTATCACATTAATTCAACGAATGACGCTGAAGTGCCAACAGACAAAAACAGAAAAATCCCTCAAACAACTCAACCCCTCAAAACACCACGAAACAGTCGCCGAATACGCCTCTGCCACCCCCAACCAAGTAAACGCAGCCATCGACGCTGCTCTAACCGCAAAGCCCACCTGGGAAGCAATGCCCTTCGAAGACCGCGCCGCCATCTTCCTCCGCGCCTGCGATCTCATCACAGGCAAATACCGCTCCGAACTCGTCGCAGCCACCATGCTCGGCCAGGGCAAAAACATCTGGCAAGCCGAGATCGACGCACCCGCCGAAACAATCGACTTCTTCCGCTGCTACATTCAAGAAGCTTGGGCGTTGTATGCGCAACAGCCAAAGATTCAGCCTGAGGGGAGTTGGAATAAGTTGGAGTATCGGCCGCTGGAGGGTTTTGTATATGCGATTGCGCCGTTTAATTTTACGGCACTGGGGGCTACGTTGGTTGGGCCTGCGGCGTTGCTTGGGAATGTGGTTGTTTGGAAGCCTTCGGATTATGCGTTGCATGCGAGTTGGTTGTTGCATAGGATTTTGTTGGAGGCTGGGCTTCCTAAGGATGTTATTCAGTTTGTGCCTGGTGATGCGGAGGAAGTGACAAATACTGTCCTGAAGAGACCTGAATTTGGGGCGTTGAGTTTTATCGGCTCGACGCAAGTGTTCAAAGGAATTCAGAAGAAGATCGGAAATGGTATTGGTGACGGTATGTACAATTCCTACCCTCGCGTTATTGGCGAGACGGGAGGGAAGAACTGGGGTGTTGTGCATCCATCTGCCGATGTGAAGAGCGCGGCCTTTAACACGATCCGCGCCGCATTCGAGTATCAGGGCCAGAAATGCTCTGCTAATTCCCGCGTCTACGTTGCTGAGTCTGTCTGGTCGGAGTTTGCGAAACATCTGCAGGAGCAGATTGCGCAACTGAAGGTCGGCGATGTCGAAGATTACGGCAACTTCATCAACCCGGTTATCCACGAGCGCTCGTTTGACAAGTTGAACAAAGTCATTGAGAAGGCAAAGAACGACCCCGAGCTGGAACTCGTGGCTGGCGGGCAAGCCTCCAAGGAAGAGGGATACTACGTCCATCCCACCGTTTACAAAACATCCAATCCGCAACACTCCATCATGTCCCAAGAACTATTCGGACCAATTCTGGCCGTCTACGTCTACCCCGACGCCAAATGGGAAGAAACCCTCAAACTAGTCAACACAACCTCCCGCTATGCCCTTACCGGAAGCATCTTCGCCAAAGACCAATATGCCTCCCGCCAGGCGCAAACGGCCCTAAGACACGCCGCTGGTATGCTTTATCTCAACACCAAGTGCACGGGTTCGGTTGTTGGACAGCAACCCTTTGGTGGTAGTAGGGATTCTGGGACTAATGACAAGACTGGGACGATGGCTCATTTGCAGCGGTTTGTTAGTGCGAGGACTATTAAGGAGGAGTTTGGATCGCTGGGGGAGGTGCAGTATCCTTCGAATGAGGTTTAGGGTGCGGGGTTGTTATGATGTTACCGAATAGCCGTAGAGAGTATAGGAACGAGAGATAAGTGACTGTTTGATTCCGAAAAGCCAATTATGTACAGATTCGATTTCCGTATCACGAGACTGTCGGAGGGACATGCCGATGTCCAGGCCCCTCATGGGATTATGTTTATACCTCGATCAGAATGTAGAACGAGATAGACTCTTATCAATGAACTAGAGTTAAAGCTCTGCTCCATCCCTTCTCCAGATTGAGAATCCAAGAGACTCTCCTAGACCGTCCAGAGAACATGACGTTCAAACACATTGACCCTAGAAGGGGAATCCAGTCCACTCCGATGCTCAGACAAGTCAGGACTCCCCGGCCTATTGTCAATGCATCCAAGCAAGCCAAACAAGCATCAGCTCTGTCAAGACTCCCCACAAAGACCTTACTACGCTCTTTAGTCCTGACATCAATCATGTCGAACCGATGGGCACTGCGGCCTTCCCTGGCAGTACTCGGCTGTCTCTCAGAGACAAAATCCAAGCTGTTAAACCCCGATCGCAATATCTTTCTAAACAAATTGCTGAGATGGACAGTTTACAACCACTTCTGCGCTGGTGTGGATCGCAGGGAAGTTGTCCGATCTGTGGAAGGGATCAAGAATATGGGATATCAAGGTGTGATATTGGGATACGCGAAGGAGGCTGTATTGGATGCCGATGAAGCTGCAAACAATATCATTCCTTCGGCTGCAGGTGGTCAGCAGTATGGTCCAAGGTGTTATGAGATGATCGAGGAATGGAAAAACGGTACTTTGCAGACGCTTCGGATGCTCGGGCTTGGTGATTTTCTTGCGTTAAAGTACGCTTACTTTCTTTTCTCTCATTCTGAATGACGTTAAAGCTAACGATACCTTTTTCTCAGACTGACCGGCGCAGGACCAATCTCCATCGATGCAATGAGAGCACAAAAACCAATTCCCGAAGCCCTCAAAAAAGCTTTACATGAGATATGTGAAGAAGTCGCAAAAAAAAGATCTCGACTATGGCTCGACGCGGAGCAACAACCCCTCCAACCCGGACTCGACGAATGGGCCATTTCCTTGATGCGAAGATTCAACCGGAACGGAAAGGCCCTCGTATACAACACGATCCAGACATATCTGAAGAACTCAAAGGCTAACGTCGACCGCCACATCACCCTTGCTGCAAATGAAGGCTGGGCTGTGGGAATCAAGCTTGTTCGCGGCGCGTACATCGAGCATGAAATCCGATCTCTGATTCACGAGACCAAGGAGGACACCGATCGTAACTACGATATGATTGTCGATATGCTACTTTCTCAGTCGAGTGGTAATCTTCCACCGACGGCATTGTTTCTCGCGACCCATAATGCCACTAGTACGGAGAAAGCGTTATCCACGCATCGCCAGAGAGTCGCGAATAATCAGCCAACCGCTTTCCTGGAGTGCGGTCAGGTACAGGGAATGGCAGATGAGCTAAGTTGCAAGCTGGTGCATAACTATGAGACATCTCAACAAGGCTACCAATTATCAGCGGACAAGGCTGCCGCTGTGCCTAGGGCATTTAAATGTCTTGTTTGGGGATCGGTGGCTGAATGTATGGGTTATCTTTATCGGCGCGCCATTGAGAGCCGTGGAGCGGCTGAGAGGACGAGCCATATGGTCGATGCGCTTAAGCAGGAGCTGAAGCGTCGTGTTTTTGGATAGATACAACGACTTAAAATTGATTGACCATACTGCAATTTTTGTTAATTCTCTTTCTTAAATCCAATATGGCTCAAATGACCGATTTCCACATAGCAAGTAGATACACTGGACACACGCACAGCAGTACTCTATATTCTCCATTTGAACCATCTAGGAGCTAATCGATAAATCCCAACCACAGATTCTACCTGTTTTCGACCAATTAGGGTAAGCCCCCCTCAGTCAGGTGATGCATTAGTCATCTCCCCTCCGACGTGCTCCGACACATCGGACGAGCCTTCCGACCAGTCTCCATTCTATCGCCCTCCGATGTTTAACTTACTATGCCACCGTCAAACCGAAACCAAGCAAGAGTGACCAAAAAGTGTACCAAGGCGTAAGTAACAGTGATGTTCTGATCGAATGCAGGATCGGAGGACTGACCGATGCACAGCTGCGAAAGATGTAGGTCCATGAAGGTCAAGTGCTCCGGGTCTCAGCCCTGCGCACGATGTGACCGTCGAAAGGAGCCTTGTCATTTTGTGATGGAGGAGAGTCGGATTTCAATTCCTGAAAGGTAATTGTGCAGGAATTCCTTACATGCATTGTAGTCCTGAACTAAGAATCTGCAGCTATCTTCGAGAACTCGAGAATCGGCGTAGTAATGATACGGTCCTGGGAGAGCAATGTACACCCACAAGGCACACTATAGACCGGAGTGGCAGCCATAGACTAGGGACTGGTCTCGGTAGTACATTTTCGCAGAGGTCTTTTCCAAGAGAGAGGCCGGATCAGGAGGGTTATACGGCCGATAGTAGGAGCAAGCACGTCCCATCGCTTGTCGGGAGTATACTGACCAGCTTCTGTAGTCGGCCCCGAGACAGAAATGCCTCAAGACGAAGTAAGCGCTGCATTCCGGCAGAATCCGCTGGTGGATACCGATTATACCTTTGCCAAATCGCCGGACGGTCGATATTGTATGGTTCTCCGCAATGACAGAAGGTGGCTCAATGTTAACCGAGTTAGGGTATATGGGACCATCCTCGTCATGGTCTTTTTGTCGTCGAGTCCTTGCCCTAATAGGAAAACACATGCCCGAAGCGAATTGTCCGCCTGATCCATGGAACTTGGATGGCGTCGCTTTCAAACTGCAATGGAAGCCATTAGGACCGGATCAGGCTCCCGAGGTTACCAATCTGCCTCCGCTAGATTACGCCTTGTTTCTCTTTAACAACGTCAAATTCTATTTTGGGCCGCTGTTCTATCTAATCGATGAGTCGGATTATGTCCGGAATCTTCACGAGTTTTACGAGAATCCTGCGACCAAGGCTAGTGAGTCTAGGCTGTGGTATGCACAATACTTGCTCATTCTCGCATTCGGAAAGGCTTTCACTGGTCAGACTGCCGCATCGTGTAGCCCGGCTGGGTGTCAGTATGCTGCCCGGGCAATGTCGTTGCTTCCAGGCTTAGGGTTGAATCCTAGCCCGTTGCTCTCCGTCCAAGCTTTAACGTTGGCTGCTGTTTATTTTCAGGCTATTGATATGCGAGTAGCAGCTTTCCAACACGTGAGATTTTCACGTCAGTCGACATGAGTGAATTGATGAAACTAATTCCCAACTCCAGATCGGACAAGCACTGCGCTCTTGTGTGATTGAAGGCTGGCATCGACACATGCCCGAGGACGTGGTAGGAGCTCAACATTCGCATCGCTGCAACATCACCTTCTGGGTAGTATACATGCTCGACCGAGAATTTTCAGCCCTGATAGGCGCCCCAAGCTCGATACGTGATGAAGACATCACGGCCAAGCTGCCGTCACAGACGAGCGACTCTCTGGATAGCTGGAACATGACTCTCCATGTGCGATTGTCTCGTCTCATGGCTCGCATTTTGTCAAGTGAGCTATGTCTTTATTCTTTTAAACATTTTCATACTGATGAGTGTAGCTGTTTATGGCGTGGGCCAAGGATTCGATTATTCGTTAATGGAAAGCATGCAAAATATTCTCCGTGACTTAGCGGACCTCTCTCGGGACTTGAATGCGCTGCTAGACACACATTTCCAAGGGTCTGTGAGCAAGGCGTCGCGAACGGCGATTTGGTTGATACTTTCATATCATCATGTGAGTGATCACTTTTCGAAATCCACTGATTCAACACTGACGCCTGACAAGTGCGCGGTGCTCACGACGCGACCATTGGTGATGTGTGCGCTACATATGCACATAGACCAGGTTGGGAGGAATAGTCTGCGGTCGATCACTCTCTCGCCTCAGGTAGCGTCTTTCATGCAGTCCTGTGTGGACTCAGCTCAGAACATCCTCCGTTTGCTCCGGATATTATGCGACGAGGATTTGATGGGTATCCCTCCTTTCACGTATACTTCTCCATATACGGAGCTAGCTGACATCCATTCTTGCAACAATACAGACGCATTTCTTCCTTTCCAATTAGAAGATGCATTCTCATCCGCCTTTGTCCTTCAGCTACTCCGTGCAATCGCCCCATGGCTCTTCCCCGATGATACCTGGAGCCACGACGTCGAGTGTATCCTGAACCGGATGATATCGAAAGGAAATGTGGTAGCGCCAATGAGAAAAGTGGAGCTCAATCAATTGGCGCAGATAATGACGCCTTTGACATCCGGTGCTCTTCATTTTCAATCTCCACCACAGCAACATACTAACATAAATGATGAAGGAGGGAATACTGATAATGTACCTTCTGCAGTTGTTCCTGATCAAGAAGGAGAAGGAGAGTCTAGCTGGGACTTGTTCATGGGCAATCCGATGGTTGGCCTTGATCAACGCGAGATTCTGGATTTGGCAGCGCGGCTTGATGTGGATAGTTTGATGCATACAGTAGGTATATAATTTAGTACATATTTACACCCACATCACCCACTTGGTGTACTCAAGTCCGCCTAATATGAGGTTGTCGGGTTCGTCGAATGGATTAACCATGGTGATGTTCAGTTTGGAATGATATCTTGTACTGAGAATTTGTTTTGTTTTGGTGGAGAACATGATTTTTTTCGCAAAAGGTTTCCCTGAGATATGATTGGTCAAGATAACTGGTTAAGGGTATGCAGCTAGCATCCTTTTAAGTACTACTATGCCCAACACACATTTTATTTATGCATGTCACATCCTCTCCGTCTTTCGTATCTTCATCCCGTAGCACTTTCCGTATTCAGTTAGCTGAGAATTGCTTGTCTTCCGTGCAACCCGGGACTGCCATGCATTTCTGGCGTGAAAGTGTTCTGCTGGGCGTCTTGCTGCCGACTTTGCCCTGGCCAAGGACAGTAAGTAACTGACCCTACTAATACTATATGCTAATACTATGTGATTCCAACTGACTCGGCCAGAGTGTTCCTCCTTTATCGAGATCAGCGACCAGAGCGATGCCGACGAACTGAAATCCTGCAAGACATTCGCTGGAGATGTGAGAATCGATGACTCTTTCCAAGGGAGCCTGAACCTGGACGGCCTCGAGGAGATTCAAGGTCATCTGGTCTGCGGTAATTCAACTGACTACAGCAACAGATCCGTCACCTCGATCTCGTCGTCAACCCTCCGCTCAATCGACGATCGGTTTGAGCTGAAGTCCCTCCCCTCCTTGGATACCCTCAGCCCCCCGGCCCTCAGAGAGGTGGTGACCATTGACTGGGAGGGCCTGCCCAAGCTCAAAATGGTAGACTTTGGAGACGGCCTGGACAAGGTCGGCAATGTCACTCTCAAGACCCCGGGCCTAACGGATGTCAGCCCACTGGCCACGAAGAAAGTGGACAAATGGAGCATCTCGGATCACACCTCGTTGGGAGTCGCCGATCTCTCCAAAATCACCACCTACGAAGAATTCTCCGCCGTTTACAACAATAAAAGCCTGGAACTCGTTCTCTCCGGCGTGACTGCTGCCGGCTCGACCACGCTCGATACCCCAAAACTCGTCAATCCTGGCTCCCTGGAAACCACCACAGGGACGTTATATATCGGGGGTTATGTTGACTCGCTACTCACTTTTCCCGCTCTCCGCCACGCCGCGGGAATCAGAATGGAATTAGAAATCAAACATCTGGCCTTCCCCGTTCTTGAGACCATTCACGGCGATTTTGATGTCCGTGTCGCAAATACAAGGTAGGCCTCCAACATGCAATTTACCATTTCACTGCAGGAAACAAGTAGATAACTTGCATTTCTTGCAGAATCTCTCTCCCAGCCCGATGATTCAACTTGATGAACTGTTGATGTTAATTACATATGTATATACTTCCTGTGCGATGTATGTTTGTTCGTTCCTGGGGTGGCAACTCCACTATGACATCAACAAAGGTAAAAACTGGTTTATCTGTGTTATTGTATGCATTCCCAAACCAGCACAGCCGTCCTGTACGGCGGGACTACTATGTAAACGTCGTCTGTGCCTCTCAGAGCATTCCTTATCACGATACTTGTTTGCCTACAGAAAGAAGACAACACAATGGCAACGGAAATGATAAAGAAGCACCTTGAATATCACAATGCGCCTTCGGAGGATGGCATTTCGCTCGTCTCGAATCCCCCCGGCACCGTGTCGGACGAGATTGCGTTCGCGTTTGATATCGATGGGGTTCTCATGAAAGGGGGCAAGCCGCTCCCTGAGGGGATTGAGGCATTGAAATACCTGAATGGGGATAATCCTTATGGGATCAAGATGTATGTTTTTTTTTTTTTTTTTTTTTTTTTTTTTGTTGTTGTTTGCCCCATCATTTTCTTTCCCAAGTTATCATGGACTGACTTTTCTTTTTTCCTTCTTCTTTTATAGACCCTACATCTTCGTAACAAATGGCGGAGGCAAGACAGAAGAAGAACGATGTCTGGATCTCAGTCAACAACTGCAATTAGATATCTCCCCTGGCCAGTTCATCTGCGGCCACACCCCGATGCGTGAGATGGCCGACCAGTATCACACCGTCCTGGTTGTCGGAGGTGAGGGTGAAAAATGCCGAATCGTCGCGGAAGGCTATGGATTCAATGATGTCATCACTCCGGGAGACATCATCAAGACGAGACACGACACGACACCGTTTCGTCGATTGACCGATGAAGAATACAAGAACTCGCGGTTCCGGGACCTGAACAATACACATATCGACGCTATCTTCGTCTTTGCAGACAGCAGGGACTGGGCGGGTGATCAACAGATTATTCTGGACTGCCTTATGACCCAGAACGGGCACCTGGGTAGACGCTCCATGACGGGAAATGAAGGGCCTCCGGTGTTCTTCTCCCACAATGATGTTATCTGGCCTACCTCGCACGAGCAGTGTCGTATTGGGATGGGCGCCCTCAAGGCATCCCTTGAGGCCGTCTACAAAGCCATAACAGGAAAGGATTTGCTGGCCATTGCATTTGGAAAACCGCAACTGGGGACCTATAACTTTGCTACGCGCTTGCTTCAGCAATGGCGCAAGGATAGCCACAACATAGATAAGCCCCTGCGCACCATTTACTTTGTCGGTGACACGCCCGAGTCGGACATCCGCGGCACCAACGAGTCCAACAAGGTCAGCAAGACCGAGTGGGTGTCCGTCCTGGTCAAGACGGGTGTTTACCAGGATGGTGACACCCCGAGCTATCCTCCTGCAAAGATCTGCGATACTGTTCTTGACGCTGTCGAGTATGCTGTTGAGCTCGAACATGCCAAAAGTAAAGGCGAGCTGGGTCAATGATGTGGATTCCGGTAATGATTCAGTATCTGCTTGTCTTCGCAATTAATGTCGTCTTCTCTTTCCTGCCTGTCTTTTGCTGCTCTAAAAGAACGTCCCTCTCTTCATGTATATATAACCAGGGATATCCGCCATATTAACACTGTGATTGGATATCGGTCTCACTATTAATCCTCATCCTCATCACTCCCCTTCGTTCAATACCGCCCAAATCAATAAATTCCAAAAGGCAATCTAGTCAAACGAATGTAGCGGTGTTGAATGTGTGTTTGTATGATGTTGAAAGTCCTCCTCATCTTGCCTAATCCTTAGTGAGGCCTAGATCCCTGGAGTTGAGTGGCTGTATATTCTCAAACCTATGTATTACTACTTCTGTTTTGTCAACTCCCTCCCTCTCTCCATAATGACCTTATGGCCTACCCATTGTTCACTCCCTCCATTCACAGCCAGATCCATCATCATTGCTGCCAGCTCATCTATCTGCACCGAAGACATCCACAAGTCAAACATCCCAGCAGAGCATTTCCATCTTTTGCCAGAACTGCTGCCAGTTTCACAACATAACTACATCTTTGTCACGGGTTCGATAGCTAGTAGATAAAACGAATAGTATTCACATCTAGAAAAGGTAGCCTATCGACGATAATATCGAATCTAGAGAAGAAGAAGAAGAAGAAAAGAAACCATCTAACAAGACAAAGGAAAAATATCTACTTATCGTGCGGTCACGTGCAGAAGGGCTAAGGCTCGCCGTTTACTCATATGCAGTGTTTGCCAGCACCGGCAGTTGGCCATTAGCAGTTGATCATCACACCGATTCCATCCATCAATCACTTTAGTTGTTAGTTATAGCTTATACTGCCATCGACAAGTTATGCATTGCCCGCATCTTTGGAGGGTCTACTATGTCCTTCCAATCCACCCAAAGACTTTTTCTCGAAACAGAAAGGTATCGTGAATGTACCCGATCGGCATGGTCTCCTCGACCATCCGGATCGGTTCCCGCAGGATCTTACATAGGGGGCCATCATCGAAAATGACGTACTTGAGATTTTTGGCTAGGCCTTCGTGCAGTACCTGGAGCAGATATTGTTCCAGGCTGATAACACTCCGCTCCGTAGCATGGTCGCCCAGGTTGATATGGAGCAGCCGGATTTGGGGTAACTTCAGTACTGGTTGGACGACATGCTGCTAGAACATAATCGTTAACAATGCATCTGTGAGGAGAAACCATGGAACTATCTTCACCGGGAGAGTGTGAAGCATTCCGAATCGGAATTCTTCAATGTTGGTGAACCGGGTCGGCATTTGCATGAGCGTTTCATCGTCCAGGAGATGGTTCGCCAGGGCGCCCTGTGGGTCGACTGAAAGCACCTTTAGTGTCGTCGAATGCTGTTCCTCCAGAGCGTCTAGGAGAAGGGGGAGCGGTTCCGGCCGACACGCGACATTCGGAGATGTGATACTAAATGCCTCCAGACCGCTAAATGAGTGGATAAATTGCTTCAACCCATGTACCACCAGGTTCGTGGACAGCTGTTTGGGCCGGAGCTCGGCCACGACGGATGTCTCCCAGAACTCTGAACAGTCAGCAACATCGAAATCGGGGCCGACGTGCAAGGTCAATGCCATCAGTTTGACCGGTGAAAACAAGTTCCACAGTGCACATGGCCGTGTTCCCAAATCCACAAAACCCCGGAGGTCTAGAAACGTTAGTTCGAATGGGAGACAGCCACGCCAGCTGCTGGAGACTTCGCTCAAGCTTAGCATGCTATCGCCATCAGCCCACATGGTCAACTCTTTGAGATGCGTAGCAGTCCGAAGAGCCGCGCCTACTGACCGCAGGACCGGCTCATCGTCAATCTGGATCAGATTCAAGGTCCCGACGTTGATCGGAGGCTGAAACTTTAGCGACGGGCGAAAATACGGCAAGGGCGTACTGTCAGTGCCTAACCGCAGCTGCAAAGTCTCCAGTTTCGGTGCGTGCATCACGGTGGTGACGAGATACTGAGTAGGGGATATGCATAGGTCCCAACTGTTCGGTGCAGTTAGCAATGCTGACAATAGGGCTGTGATGACGGGACCGATGGACCCATTATGAGGATCATGAACGCACGCACGGGGGCCAAGTACATAAACTCTTTCAGATTCGGCATCCGGATGATACAGGACGTAATGATGTTGCTAAGCATTCTTGCCGCTGGCGAAAGAATCTCGTGGGAGCCCAACATCGAGTCAATCTCGTGGTAGCTATCGTACCACGATCCTGTGACCAATACCTGCTTGGTGTGCACAAGGTTGGTGAACCGAGGGTCCCCAAAGGTATCCAGTTTCAGCTGGAGCGGGTCATTCTGTGCAATGCACCCTGGGTTATGAAACTGTATTGTATGGTACAGATATGGGGTGACTACATCATTCCATTCGTGACACGTGCGAGCCAAGATGGCCAGGTCACTGTGGTCCACCTGGAGGGATAGTCAGTGCCGCACAATAGGAATATAATAATCAATGGATAAGGGAATCAAATAAGGAGAGCCAACATGTTCTCTGAGGAGCTCGAAGAACAGGCGAAAGTTCTCCACCATCGCTGCAGTATTCCCGAGTATTACAAGACCTAAATTGTGGACTTACTCTGAGTACATAATTAAATGAGTGACACTGGCAGCACCAGCCGTCACTGGGGACTCAACTCTCTTATACTATGTGCAATTATAATTGCTAGATCATGTGATATCATGTTGATGTCAGGCGTATAATAGCCGATACTAGACCGGTTTGTTGTTGAAGCGGGTAGCTCAGGGATCGGGGAATCGGGGAGTCGATAATCCGGACTACACGAGGCTATATATGAAGAATTTAAAACTACCGAAAGGATGTGATATTGATAGCTATAGATACCGTTGCTAATAATAGAATGAGTGCTTAGCCATTTAAAACGCATGGCTGCGGTGGCCCGGCTTCGTCTATCGGGCCGACTATTAATCCATCTTGACTTTCATCAAGTTGTTAATGCCGGTGACACCCAGTAAAGCTAACTAGGGGACAACTCAGCGACTGGAAGTCTCCAATCATCAATATTTTTAACGCATCACATGTTCTGAATCAATCATTGTTGAATGATAAAACTCTTTGCCACCCGAAATCGGATCTTCTTCCACACTTAATCACATTGCACTTCCCATCTTCCTTACGCTTGAATGAGGCATCACTGTGTGTCGATACAGCCATATTTCGGAATTTCAACTTCCCTACACCCAAGCATTGTGTTGCTCCCTGGGTCAAGATGGTACAGAAAATCCCTATTCAACGCCTGAGGCGCGAAAGGCGTGAAAATGAAGGGCAACAGCGTACAACTCGAGCCTGCGACACCTGCCGACAACGAAAAATGAAATGTGACGGCAATCGGCCTATGTGCGCTCAGTGCCAGGCCCAGGGTCTGGCGACATGTGCTTATTCCGAAGTGAAAGCTGTTAAAGTGCAGAGGCAACTAGAGTCAGCGAACCTGAAAATTAAAGCCTACGAGGAATTGCTTAAGGATATTTCCCATCGGATCGGGGGGTTCCTTGCGAAACGAATCGCCAGCGTCCTAAACGTGTGTCTGTTCTCCTGTGTTACTGCACACTAGTCAGAAAGGATTAATTTGTATAGGACCCTTCTGCAAAACAGAGTGAGCATCGAAACAATGCCTTTGATGCCTCATCCTCGTCGTCGATCGGTTCTCTGGATGATATCGGTACCGTGAGTGAAGATCTCAATCGGAGCGAAGAAAGCAGGGCTACGGGGTACATGGGGAAGAACTCCGAAGTTACGTGGATGCAACGGTTGGAGTTTGGCACAACAAGACAGAGGGAGGATTCTTTGGAGACCCCTCCACAATACCTGCTTCGTGGTGACGACTCCATCGCCTCCATGAATTACCGTCTCGATCATGACCGTCTCTCCGATCCAGAAGTGAGAAATGCTTTCGTCCTACCACCAAAAGCCTTGGCAGACCAGTTATTCCAGATTTATTTCGACAAGGTCCATCATTCCATGCCTATCATTCGACAGAATTTGTTCATGGAACAGTACAACCGCCTGTTCTCAGGAAGCCCCATAAATCCCGGGAGAAAATGGTTGGCTATTTTTAACATGGTCCTTACGATTAGCAGTAGATTCTGCCGACACTCCAAACAAGGTGCACGGGGTTATTCTGATGAGAACATGTTCTTTGCGCGAGCGAAATCCCTCAGCATTTCAGAGAATGTCCTCTACGACCATGAGGATCTGCAACAAGTGCAGGCCGAGGCTCTTATGGGGTTTTACTTCCTGGCTGTGTCACAAATTAACAGGTATGAGTTCCAAAAAAGCCGCTTGCAGAGAAACTGTCTCTGCGCATGTTGTCTTGGCATATCTGACAAACTCATATATCATGGAAAATGATCGGAATTGCCGCACGTTCGGGCATCGCATTAGGACTCAACCTCCGACGAACGAGCAACAAATTTGATTCAGAATCAAGCGAGTCACGGAAAAGGCTGTGGTGGTCGATCTTTCATCTAGAACATCTGCTCTCTGTCATGACGGGCCGGGTATCCTGCCTTGGGGATGGTTCCTGCTCTGCACCTCCACCGCTGCCCACAGGAATTTTGGAGTATGGGGTACCTGGTGTCAGTCAGTTTGGCAATGAACCATTGGCCCAGGGCTGTGGCATCCAGTGGACTATTTGTCAGCGCCACGAACAGATTGAAGCACAACAGGCGTGCCTGAAATCTGTTGCATCCAGTCCATCTCTCTACTTCTTCTATCTAGTAGATCTGTCTTTGATCATGCACGCCATCACCAATCGAGTGTATAGTACTGACGTATTTCAAGATGGTTGGGCTCAGATCAAGAGTCGCATTGGCGTCTACAGTGAGAAGATGGACCAATGGTTGTCTGGCTTACACGCTTCCTTGGCCTTTGAAGACATTCATGGTAATACATTCCCCAGGAGTAACTCATGTTACCAAGTCTCGTTGGCGTTGCACTATTACAGCGCCCGGATTGTCCTTAACCGGCCTTGCCTCACACGCCCACAAATTGATTCGAAGAGCGGCATTAGGTTTCCCCATTCACAGTTTCATAACAACACTGCTTTAGCATGCCTCCGTGCGTCCTTAGCGCTCATCAATATTCTGCCAGATCAGACAGAAACGGGGTGGGTCTATAACACCACCTCATGGTGGAGTTTCCTCCATTTCTTGATGCAGGCCACTATAATTATGCTTATACATATGTCTGTTGGCTCAGTGCCAACGAGGGCTGAGAAGGGTGCGAATGTCGAGACTGGTGAGGGCGCTGTTGGGATTTCTGAATCGCCTGAAATTGTTCTTGCTGCGACAAAGAAAGCCCTCCACTGGCTGCATTGCCTTGGGGGGTCTGATGAGGCCGCTCGTCGGGCTTTCCATATTTGCAATAACTACCTTCACCGTATAGCCCCGAGCAAGGGCCTGGATCTCAGTGGAATACCCTCCAATATCGGTCTATCTCAGACGTTCGGCACTGCCGATTACCCGCCAGGAGAGACAAGCAGTTCCACACCTCAGCAACAGAATCAGAGCAACAGCGCACCCCAGCATGCACAATCAACGGCCTTTCGGGGTTTCGACTACAATGAACGAGATGATATGCTGTTCCAAGAACCAGAAGAGACACAGGCATCTCTAGACAGTATACAGAGTTCCTCTGCGGTGCTTGACACTGATATAGACATGTCAGAGACTATCTCCTACCCAACCAACGCAAATCTTGATGACATATTATTTCTATTGGGGTCCAATATATAATCGCTTTCTCACTAGGTTATCTAGTCTAGACATGAATAGCATTCATTTTATCTATTTTACGTACTAGCTATCGAGCCCATGACAGAATACAATTTTACAGGTTTCACACATAGAACTGAGTTGAATACATCCACACAGTTGCGTCTGGGCGTCAAAATTTTTTTTTTTTTAGTTGAAGGGATTGCGAATAAGTGGCGGCAACAGAGCTTTCCACAACATCTGTCCTCCAGAATCGCCATCTGTCCAACACTACAGCATTTGCTAGATGCGGATGCTACCACTACTCCAGTGATGCTTGTCATGATCCTGACCAACATTTGTACACTGTTGGACCTGTTTAACTGCGTGATGGAAGTGTTCGCAATCATAGTAGTTAAGCCAGCTGGTAAGTCTATTTTCCATTTTGCGTGCTATATCAGTAAGCAATGCTGAAAGACATTCTGGTCAAATCTGGTGGCAAATCACCCATGACATATGAAAATGTGTGCTCTCAAACTGTTATTTCACAAATGATATTCAGATGTATTGACGCCTATAAAATCCCTTCTTCCTCGAGATATATTTCTTTTTCCCTTTTTCTCTCCAGATTCAATATTCTCGTCGATGGCTACACTAGTTTAGATAGGAATATCAATTCGTTATTATCTACTGGTCCGAAGCCGTGACAGGAACATTACTTGAGATGCCAAATGATTTTTGCATCATCTTGGGTCACTCCCTGATCGTTTAAAAATGCTAGGATAAAGGAAGGACTGTATACACAGGTTACTCAAGACCTGTGCTAGATGATATTCATTATTACACAAAATAATTATAGAGTTGAAGAAAGTAGATTGCACAGAGGATAACAACTCTATGGTTGTGACGACCAACGGCCAGCGCCAATTGTCAACAGTGCAAACGACAACAAACGACCATACAAATGGCAAAACCCTAGCCCTCCAACAAGAGAAGCATACGAACAGTAGGTAGTATCCTTTGTCTGGTGCTGATGGTTTCTTCCCTTTCCTTCTCCATGTTAGTATTTCGTCAGATAGCCTACCAATATATTCATATTGCTCGAGACCGTCACAAGGAATATCATTCGTTATTATCTGCTAGCTTCTGAGCCCTTGACAATTGTTTAAATCGAAGCAGCTTGACAATGGTCTCAAACCCATTCTTAGCGGCCTGCAAAAGCTGCTTTTGACCAGGCCTAGCGCCTCTCTCCAGCAACACCTTGACAATGGCTTCATGCCCATATTCAACAGTGTCACGGAGCTCAGCTAGGATAATGGAACTTCCTTCTCATGGGTTCTACCTAGGTAGCTATCGACAAAAATAATCAACATGAGGAAAGAAGAAGAGGAAGGATGTGCTATCAGCGTTGACGAGACTTATATCCCTCGCTTCCAGCACGTGAGAGGTATACACATGACCAGACCGTCACAGTCTTCTCTTCATCAAAGAAGTATACATCACAAATCCACTGATTATGAGGTTTGTCCCTGTCAAATCTATACTCACGAAGAACCCCTGGGATGTAGATATGGGATTAGCACCATACTGGCTGGATGTCTAGCATAGGCTGAGAAAATACCTGCAAGATGTGTGCCTTCTGGATATTGAAAGAGCTTTTGCTTTCAAGCAAGCGCAGTAATTCGATCTTGGAGATTCAAGTTGGGATGGAGTAGGGCTGGAACTGTATCTTTATTCCTCTCAAGAAGAACCCTGAACTCAGGTGAAATGAGAAACCGGCCTATAACAAATCAATAATGGTATTATGCATATGCTCAGGCCAAGCCTACGCGCTGTCAGATCTAAGCAATCTCTTTGTCCAAGCATGCTTTTAATTTGGTCTGCAATAACCTTGGGTGTTTTCTGTGGTGGTGGAGGGTGAGCATGGTGACCTCGGGTCACAAGCAAAATAAATGGAAATCAGGCATAGTAATGGGGAATGTAGATGTCAAATCTAGAATGGCAACCTTTTCAATCCAGTTGCTCCATCAGACATGCTCCATCAACATGGTCATAATCTATAGAAATTAGCCCAGGCGTAGACTCAGTGTATGCTAGGCACTATACCACAATAGACTTGGCGGCTACTTGATGGTGTCACGGACTCAGACCAGTAGATAATAATGAATGGATATTCCTATCTAAACTAGTGTAGCCATCGACGAGAATATTGAATCTGGAGAGAAAAAGAGAAAAGGAATCTATCTATTAGGAAAGAGGGGCTTTATCTATGGGTTGTGTGGCCGCGCTAAATGCTTTCTTTGTTTGCTTGGATGGTGGCGTTTGTTGATATCAGCTACTGAGGCAGATGCAGTGACTCCGACCAGCAGGGAATCTGCACTGCTTTCTGCAGTATAAGTCTATCCAAACTGTGTTCTATGTCCATTTTTGGTGGTAACCCATATATAGTTCGTTCAAGTCCACCAGCGGCTTCTGAATACCCCCATTGGTAAGCACAGCCTCCTGTGCCTGACTACTACTTTAACTCAGACCATTGCTGCAGTTATCCGCGCTCTGAAGGGTACTGTTGACCACTTTGCCTTTCCTATCATTGATACCGTCCCGTCTTGCGCCCAGGATGCTACCCAGAACAAGAACTCCTTGGACTTGACTTTCGAAGATGCCAACCAAGAGTATTAGACCTAGATTAGTGTCAAGTGTCACGCGTCTTAACTTCTTGGCTGATCTTTTACGGTCAAAGTGGACGTCTTCAGTACTATCTTAATATTGCTCAAGCGTTTTCCCTCGTGGAAAATGCGCGATGTATGTCCTGTCAATGTTGTGATGGGTGCGGAGAACAAGAAACTTGTACTCTCAGCAGATAGCCTATATAACCTAATAATCGTGATATGAAATCGACTTGACCTGGGTTCGAAAGATCCATGGTGGCTCACTAGGAAGAGATTGTTTCATCCATCTGCTCTCCTATCATGGGAAATGGTGACACCAAGACTGGTAATCAATTTCGGCATGGCAATAAATCAACACATTCTTGAGGTTCAGACGCAGTTAATCAAATGTGAAACGTATCAATTTTAACATGGCTATATTCTGCTAAAGCAAACTAAGTTCTAAATAATCATCATCATCATCATCATCAAGCGCAATGCTGGAAAGAAATACAAATGGCAAATTATACAACGAATGGACCTTCTCCCTTTATCCTTTCACCACCAGCTCCCTAGACAGCAATTGTCGTAGCAAGACTGCCTTTCAAGGGCTCATTAAAATTGTCCTTCTCCATGCTGCAGCCGTCCATAACCGTGTGGAAAGTGATGTTGTCGTGGCTGACGGTAGCGTTCTTGGGAAGACATTGTTCAGCGGGCCAGATTTCGTGGTCGGCGGCCTGCTCCTTCTTGCGATGTTCCATAACGACATCACGCACAGTTTTCTGGAAATGCAGAGGACCCTTCTCCATCTCGGGGTGAAGCTCGCCGTTGATAAAGACGCCGGCGTTGAGGTTCTTCTGGCTGTTAATGCAGAGGTACTTGTCCTCGGACATGATTCGTTTGTACATGTCGCTGATGAGGTTGAAGGCCTCGTCACTGGCGTTCTTGTGACGATAGACTTCGTATCGCATCACTGACTTGGTTGGGCTGATGGGAGTAAATCGCTGCATGAAAAAGAAGTTAGGACTAGGAATAAAATTAGCAATGTTCCAAAGCATAGTGAGAGTGATGTTACTTACGACACGTTGAAAGAGGCATTAGGCCAGAAGTAGGTAGTGGCAATTCGGAAGCCCTTCTCAATCTGGTCTTGTCGCTGCGCGCCGTAATGTTGAATGTGGCCGTCCTTGGTCTTGACATAGTAGGAGTTGAGGTCGGCGATTTTGGGGATGTCAGGGTGAGCGACCTGACAGTGGTAGCACTCGTTATAATTGTCGGCCAGAATCTTCCAGTTAAAGTCGCCCTCCATATCCCAGGTGTGGTCGAATGTATAATCCTCGAAGTTGTAGTGGTCGAACCGGGGCTGCTCATCGACACCGTCGAAGTCATCCTTCCAGGCAACCTCGGGAACCTCGCCAGCGTCCAAATTGACCCAGACGAAACCATTTCGGTCAATGTGCACATGGATAGAAGGGGAGAGATCGTTGTTGAGGAAAGCTTTGATGCTTCCTTCCTGATCCTTGAGGATGACGAATTCATAGCCAACGACATCATATCGAACCCAGTCACCGGCGTTGGGGACACGGTGCTTATGGGTAGTGAGAAGCCATTTCCGGGTAAAGATAGATCGTCGTTCAAGCTCAAACATGCTCTGGGAGGTGTACCAGGAAGCGGGCAGAGCACGAATAGGGCTCTTCTCGTCCTTCACCGCAGCAGCGGAAGTACCAAAGAAGTTCCTTAAGAATGACATTGCGAGAAACAAAGTGCCAAAGACACGTCTTTGTAATTGGGAAAAGAAGGATGATTTAGACTTTTAAGTCTGAGCTTTGAGATTGAATTTTGCTTTGAAGTTGCTGTTGACTACACTTGAACTTGGAGACATTTGCTCTTTTAAATATCTATTACGAGCAGACCAGCCTAACGCAGATAACGGTGCTCAACACACCCTATACAACCTGATACACCGGTAACCGGCCCTTCGCACCCGATAGCAATAGCACATTTGGATGGTCAATGGGACCGGGTGACCATTTCCAACGGTAATTATGCTTAGGTACCGATCACCTGATCGGGGGTTCCCGTCGGGATCGAATAACCTAAAAGGGTTATCGAGCACTTCGTGCTGTAAAACACAGAGAATCCAGCCTGAGCGTGGTTATGGAATCCCGAACATCCCCGCCGAAATAGACCCGTCCCCACTTCGGTCTTAGTCCGTCCTACGCCGGGATCTTAAATTTACCCTAAATGGCAGCGTTTATCGTAGTTCCCCAAACTGGCGGCGAATATCAAACCCATATATGTGGAGAACAAGCCGCAAGGCATTTCTGATAACAGGACGAATGATCAGACATACATCAAATGACAATGGTGGCGTGGTACTCATTTCTGACAGAACCCTGGTCATGATAGTAACAAGAATAGAAATATCAGCGTTCTCCGTCAGTCGGGCAGCAGCGGTCCAGCCGGTCAAACCACCTCCGGCGATAATATAGTCAAATTGCCTGTCGACCACCTCTCGGGGGTCATTCAGGAGGCTGGATATCTCAAGCCGTGGTTGGAATAATCAATGACCGATAACAAACATCCAGACGCTATCTCGCTGGCGTTGCCTTCCTGGTCAGCACCCCAGTCTACGTCTGTCTCCGAGTCGTCTCCACGAGCTCTATCAGGGACAAAATGCTTTTTATGCGCATTACTGGCAATTCTCAGCTCATGCATGTCCGCTATGCAGACGCCTCACCACTGAGATAACTTACATTGTCTCGGATATAGAGGCACAGGCACCGGATACCCTTGGCGAAAAAGGAGAAACGGCCCTTGCCTATGTACTGATTTCTAGCGCTCTTGTTGGACCGACCTTGGCTGGGTTTATCTAGGACGCTGCGGGGTGAGGTGCCATGTCATGGGTTCTTGGGCTTTTGCTGGCATCGGTGCGGTTTATGTCCTGTTTTCCTTGAGTGGATTTTCTATACGACTTCCCCCTAGGCATACTAAGCTGTTATGTACCAGTAATACAGCGTATATAGCCTGTTTCCTAGTACCGTACGAGCAAAACTAGGGATCTAATTGCTGCATCGGAAAACACAAGGCATGTTGTATGGCTTGTCTGGACAGGAAGATCTCTATAGGTACAAGCAATATCCTACTGACCATATGTACAACTCACACCTCTCCCATCGTGATGATAGCTTGGGATTGTACTCCTGTAATAAGTCGTCAGAGCACCTTTATAAACCTGCCAAAGAGACTAAATCGACCTGAAGTCTTGGTCTATCATGTGGTCGATGGAATGGTCCTCCTAGAGCTCAACCCCATCCCCGACAGTCCCTTACTAACCAGGAACCGAATTAAGCAAAGAATCGCCGACACCAGCCGTAGAATGCCCAACAAGGCAACAATAGGTCACCGGTGGATCTTGCAAACGTGTTGTACAACATATCTGTATCATCTTTGTCATTCATGTACTTGCACAGCATGTTAACAATAGCCTGGTGTCCTTTTTTTTCTCTTTCTTTTGAGCACACTGAAGTGGTGTCCAACCAAAGCAGTCTTCACACTCAGGATTAACCTTTCCCATCTCAAGCAGCATCTTGACAATGATCTCCTTGTCAAACAGTGCTACAAAGAATAGTGGTGTGCGGCCGGATTCATCTTTTGGATCCGGGCTCACCCCATCCAACTCAAACAGTAATTTGTAAATAGTGCTACTATTTCTTTTTGATAAAATACCATGTACACTATCATGAAACAGCGTTTGTCCAGAAAAGTCACACAGATTAGGGTCGACTTTGCCAGATTGGAGAAGGACACTAATCATATCCGGATCCGTTGTACTAGATAGAGCTGTTTTGCCTTTCTTGTTTTGTGCGTTTGGATTCAGGCTGTTGGAATGTAGCAACATTTCCACAACGGCAGGACGACCTGATTTGACAGCAAAATGCAAAGCCGTATTGCCAGAGGCGCTCGTCACCTTAATATAAAACCCATTGGTTTTAAGAGGCTTTTCCAGAACCCCGGCGAGACCGAAACGCGAAGCGACGAAAACAGAGTTCGATATTGTATCAATTTTGGGCTTACGAAAGCGTGATAATGTATAAGCTTTATCCCTGTGGACATTCAGCCAAGACGACCCCTTGTCAGTCGATGGATTGCAAATTTTGAAAATGCAATCCAATATCCCTCCACAAGGCTCCATTTCAGTCACGAATATGAGCCGTCCATTTAAAATCCGAGCACCGTAGGAATGTGGACCTCTCTATCCTCGATAGCGTGTCAATGTAGAACATGCAACTTTCAGCGAGGACACCGTTGTTAGGGGTTGGACTCAAGCTGTCTTAACCTAAAGCTACCCTTTCATTATACAAGAAGGAATTGTTGAAGAAGGAAACAAAACAGAGCAGAGGCGGGAGCAGTCTTTATGCTCGTATGGGAACAACATTCCGGATAGTATTCCCAGTGATCCCCCTCGGATGTCAGGAGTTGTACGAAGGGGTCACTAATAGTCTGTTATGGACCCCTTGCTGGTTGTGTTCCGTGCTGGCCTTGGCCAAACTGTCATCCCTTGGGCTCATACGAGAACCCCATAACAACCGTGGGATTGCTGGACAGTGATGCAGTGATTCCAACTCGTTGCTTGGTTGCAATTATCACGGCGCTCATCTTCTCTTGCAATCAGGAACTCACGGGCAGTCTGATGAAGAAACGAGATTTTATTGTCATGAACTGAGATGAATAAACCAGAGATGCCGGAGGGTTGTCTTGAAGTCAACATCACTTTCAAGCTTTATTTCCTAATCAAATATCACTGACTGGTCAATGTTAATTCCGATGTTCATCTTGTTCTCCAAAGATAACACCTTAGTCCGAACCAATTCATTTACCTCATGTGATATAACAAGGTTCACCTCTTCACCAATTTCCTTTGAATGATCTTCGCCTGGTATGTGAATGTAGGGGGAAAATGCGACTAGTTTATTGAACCAGGTCATAATTTCCCAGTACGGTCGACTGGTGAAAAGAAACTTTATCACCCCTGACTCGCGAGTCTGGTCATAAAGCTTGTCCTCAATCATCATCACCAAGGTTTGGATATCCTCGGGCTTGCACTCGTCCAGTGTATCCAAAGCAAAGACCACTGTTCCTGCTCTGGGTTCGCTGCTGGCTTCCCATAGGATACGCCAAAGGGCATCAGTTACATTAACCAGGTCATCACCGTTCCTTCTATACTGCGGCAAGACATGTTGAATCAGGCGACCATCAAAAGTAAAGAGTTGATGCAGTAGAGCACACAATGCCTGATTCAAGGTGTTCTGATCCGAGTCTTTGAAGAGAAAATAGCAAATCTTGTCTGACTCGCCGGAGTCCTTCATCGATCAGAAACTTGGCCAAAACGGACTTCCCACAGCTAGGATCAGCAAAAACAAACAGGAGTCCCGTTTTTTGTTCTTCCCAAGTCTTGTACTCTGGGCGGGACAAGAACCATTCACATTTTCATTGCACTCGCTTCTTTACGCGGTTTTTGTACCATTCGTACGAGGTGCCAGTTTCACGGTTTGTAAGCCAAAATAGCTGATGGCATTGGCTTCATCTTGGGATAAAACATGTGTCGCGATTTCCTTGTCAATGTCGCGGGTCTGCTCCAGCACCTCCAATTGTCTCTGCGACAGGGCCTCCATGTTATGCATGGATGCGATGAAATCGCCGGCTGAATAACGAATCCCTTCCAGTTTCTTTGTGGAAGCGATAGTGTTTATTTTTCTCATGTCGCTGTCGATCAACTCTTCGAGGTTCTTGATACAGATCAGTCTCCCCTTCTGGTTCTCGGGGAGTAGCTGAGACTCTAGAGCGATGTAGAATCGCATACGAGATATCACATACGTGAAGCCCTCTTTATTTGCTTGAGCCGATGCGCTGGGGTTAGTAAGGATAGGAAGGATAACGAAAACACCAGCCCAGGCCAAGGAGGCTTCAGGCGATGCCTTGACTGCGACACCGATGAATTCCTCAGGCAAAACTCATGAACAGTGACGGTGTATCTGATCTGTTTCTCGTCTATCCGTTTGAGGCATTGCCTGTAATAGCTTTCATCTGTTCCAGACGGCTGCGTCTATCTAATTAACTGTCATCTTGGTCGTTAACAGTTCCCGGAAAGTTATCTGCAAAGGGCTTCGTTAGCCTAAGAGCTTCCGTATTTCGAGTAATGCACTGACCTTCCTTCACCAGCTCCCTGGATAACAGCTTTTCATATTTATCGACTAGTTTTGTATCGAGAGAATCATATACACGACCTATACACGACCCCATAGTGACTGTGGTTGAATGTGCGATTTTAAACTGTCACTATATCCGCCCAGAGTTGACTGGCTACCAGCAACCGAGAGGGATTTCTCGCTTCTGTAGCCACCTTTGATAATTTGCACCATGATAGCTTACCTTTGATATGGGGAAAATGGAGCATATCTAGTTATGACTGTGAGGGATCAAGAGAGCATGAAGGGAATAATAGAAGAGTGATGAGAGAAGAGTGAAAGACTGCAGTTCCTGGAAAGATGAGGGGTGAACAGATGTACACGTTTATTGCTTTTTCTGTCTTGGTTACTGAGCTGTAATTACTACTTTACTACTCTGTAGTATAGGCCCATACCTGTAGAAATCCACTCAAATTCCCAATGTCTTCTTCACATCTGACACATCATGCCCATTCAACCACTCGTCGATAGCATGATACATGTTCCAAAACTGCTCAGTCTCAGTCAACGTCGACATGTCGGTCCTAGGATATTCCCCTTGTCTGGCCCGCGCAGCCGCCAAATACCGATGCGCATACGCATATTTGTCCAGCTCCTCCTTCGAAAACGTAGGCACACTCTTCCCATCCACAGAGACAACCTTATCCTTCTCATAGATAAGTTTCACAAACTGAATCTTCCATCCACCCGAACTCGCGCGCGGGCCCAGTCCAGTGCCCGGGACGGGATTTCCAGCGTTCTCAGGGACGGGGGTCTTCAGGCAATACATAATAAAGCGCGCGTCACAGTCGATGTCATATTCAATCTTCGTGGAAGGGTCGATGAAGCGCTGGGTGATGGTGACTTTCATCTTGCCGACGGCGCGGTTGGTGCTGGGGTTGAGGTCGACGAGGGTGCCGAGTTCGCGGTGTGCCATGAAGACCCCCTTCTCGCGGCCTTTCTGGGAGTTCTTGACGAAGTCGTCAATGGGCTGGGAGCCGTTGCTGCACACTATTTTTTTTTTTTTTTTGGTTTTGCTGGGAGTGTCTTTATGGGTAGTGGATGTGGGTGTTGTACGTACAGGTAAGCACCCAGGCATCGTCTGTGAAGCAGTTGCGGTAGTTCTTCCATTCCGAGTAATCCACGTACACCAGCCAGCCTCGGGCTAGTTCGCTGACGCAGTAGCGGTCGAGGATCTGGTCCACAGTGCCGTTCAGGTGCAGCCAAGTTTTCGGCTGTGTCTCTTTGGCGGTGCCGTTGTAAGCCATGTTGATCTGTTGTTTTTCAAGGTGCAGTGCTCTGAAGTAAAGGTGTTTAGTGATGCCGAGACATAGTGAATCTGTCAGTCTAGGATATGACTCTTTATAGAAGAGACAGTGGCAAGGTACTCACGAAAATGACTGGAGCAAAGGACTGGTGACATTGAGGAGATGTTTTCTGAATTCGACAACCCTAGGGGGATGGACGAATGTTACGACGAATGCCACGACGAATGCCACGACGAATGCCACGACGAATGCCACGACGAATGCTACGACGAATGCTACGACGGTTACTACTCAAGGCATGTAAACATAGGACAGATAGTTTACAGATTACTGTACGCAGAATCGAACGTATCAAGACAGCGAACAAAACGCCCTTCTTATGCTTCAGGACATCCAACACAGGGTTCAGCCTCATCCGTCCTCTCCATGAAAGAGATGAGAATCATGTATTCGAACATGGATAAGGCATGAAAACAAGATTTTTGATATAGGAATGGATGCCAAACAGCGGAAGGCGCGACCCATTCCCGTCAACGATTATCAGCATTCGGACTGCATTGACCAAAGTAACCGTGATCTGAAACAACTAGAAATTATTGTCGTCCAATACCGCTGATGAGTCACCATCTCGTAACCGCGCAGAGCGGCTGGTGGAATGCTCCGGAATTGAAGACTGAGTGGGAGAGTAGGAATGTAGGATCATGTTGACTTCCGTTACCGTACATGCTGAAGGTCTGATATGTTGGTACCTAATATGTAATTGTATGTTTTTGCATCGCTGACTTTCTTATTTTTATTTTTATTCCCCCATGAATCAATCTTATCATTCTTCCTACCCCAACCGGGTCTTAATATACCTGGTGTCCACCGCTAGCGCCGGCCCAATCGGGTGCATTATTAGGGCTGATAGCATGTACAATGATAGATAACGAAGATGCAGTTGGGGTAAGTAGTTGGAGTAACTTAACCAGTCTACCAAGAGGAATTAGGTCAGCTTGAGGTGGGCCAAAATTTGTGTCAGACGACTAGTCCAAATTAGGCGATTAGTAACCGCCGCGTCAAGTGACTATTCCAAATTTTTTGGTGTGTGGTGAATGGTTGATTGGTTTATGGCCTATCGGCTGAGCTAACTATATAAACTACCGGGCAGAAAGCGAGGGCGGTCAGACACGTGACCCGATGGGTACTAACACCCCCCCTCGCACGAGCTGGGAGCCCCGGAGAAAAGAAGCTCTAAATACACAGATAATCGCATATAAAATCAAGCAGATGAACAAAAAACAAATAGCAAACAAAATAGTCGCCAATGATTGGTTTGCTGAATTAGCGTGCCAAGGAAAAATCGAGGGTACATAAAGGGCAATGCCTTCCCATCCTCAAGTACTTCAATCCTTCATCTATTCTCCATCCGAAGTAGGATGTAGATGATTGCGATCCATGTTGATGAGGTGAAGGAAATGTTGATGCTTGGGTGTGCTTTGGATCTTAGTAAGTCCATCAGCTGGGTTATCCTGGGAGCGCACTCCCTCGACGCTAACCAGGGCCAATGATTGTAGGTCCCGTATATGATGATAGCGTACGTCAATATGCTTTGACCGTTTCGTTCCTTCTGTTGATGCCAACGCCTGGGCGCCTTCACTGTCTGTGTGGAGACAGATAGGTGGTGAGTCTGGGCCGGCCACTTGCATTTCAATACACACACGGCGAAGCCATATGGCTTCTTTTGCTGCCTCTGATATCGCCATGTACTCAGCTTCATTGCTGCTTGTTGCAACGCATGTCTGGCGTTTTGACTGCCAGGAAATAGGGGATCCTTCATACAGGAAGATATACCCCCCGATTGACTTCCGGCCCGAGTTAGGACCAGCCCAATTAGAGTCCGAGTAACCGGTTGGAAAACAAGCGATTGTTGATGAAGTTGTTGAGGCAGGACCATAGGTGAGGCCATCGTCTATTGTCCCTTTGAGGTAAC